ATCACCTGTACTGCTAAGGAAGAGCATGTAGGATCAATCATACAAGAAACACCGTCGATGCATTTCTTTTTTGACAGACCTATATGACTCTTGAGTGTTGAATAACGGGTAAAGCGTTTTTTCTGACTTTGATCTTAGCTGAACTTGTCAGAGTTAATTCGTTTGTAGCAGCTTTGGTTGTGCGTCGCATCATGTAACTTTTCCCTCATCGAACCCAAAAGTTTGAAGCTTTGTTATCATCCACCATAAAGACTTCAAACTGCATACTTGATTACCGCTATTTGACCATTGGATGGAGCGATCTGTTGTTCCTTACACGCATCGCCATCTGGTAGACTGGTAAAGAACAGTAAACTGAGTGATTGTCTCCCCGCAATTCAACGATTCCTTGCATATTCTGGCCGACCGACGGTTATGCGCGACTATGCGGAAATGCGGTTTTGAGAAAGTGCATTTAAAGTTAAACATTATAGGTGATTCTTTTCGATGCTAATTTTTGCCAGTTCAATTTCAAATTAAAAAGAGTGTGTAATTATTGCCGTCAAATGTAATCGTCACTTCGTGAGATGATCTGTCATCCTAATATTCCTTATTGGTCACAATAATTGTGCACACTTGTTTGCATTCGTCACTCCAGAAGTAATTATCTTGCGCAACGCAGCGGCCTTTTCAGCTTTGACAAATGTTAACATTTCAATCTTCAAATCAATGGCAATCTCTAAAGGTTGTCTGCAACAATGAGTGTCCGGTAATTTGTCCTCAAAGCATTCGCCGTTAAGACCTCGGTATGAATATTGGAAAGGTCAAATTTAAATAGTCATTATTATGTGAGCTACCAGTAATACAACTTATTTTCAACAACTTGAAACTTGATCATGTTAATTCTTGATAAGGCATCATATTACAAACAGGAAGACTAAGTTTCACAAATACAAAAATACGTTGAAAAACTCAGAGATTTTCTGTTAGTGTTGGTATTTGCTCGATTAAGTCCAAAGTTTCGGGTCTAGCGTTTAATGCTCCTTTTGTCACCGTCCATTATTCAAGGTTGAGGACCACATAAGGTGGTGACTAAATACAAAGACGCTTGTTAAACAGAGAAAATGAATCCGTTGATATTTGGATTGATCTGTCGTAAGTTGTAACTTGGCGGTAAGCAGTTTTTTGGAAAGGAATTTCCACAGTGAGACATACCAGGAAAAAAACTTGAAGATTACTTCCCATTGGAACACGTCGGTAAGCGTGAAAGGAGGCAGCAAATCCAGTATTGGGTGATGGTACGCGTTGGAGCAATGTCAAGTGAGTCCACTTGTGTTCGTTCTTTTCTTTGAAAATCTTATATAACTTTTAAAATTGTTTTTATAGTTGGAGATGTCGTTGATATAGAATTATGTTGATTAAAGTTTTGTGCATCATTTCTGTCGCATCAAAATAAGGCAATCACTAAAGAAGAAGTCTTGATATTTGTATAATACCACGACACCGTATATATAAAGCAATTGAGCTGGATGTAAATGCGAGTCTGTGTTGACAGCATACCTGTGTGACAACTAGTGATGACCTTTGCCATGTGCCTATCTACTCATCTATGTTTCATAGTTCAATTTCCACAAATCAACATCGTTATCTAGTCCACAGTCTAGCAAATATTTGACCCTACGTTTATATACACTTTTATTGTGCTGGGAGCATTTTAATCTAATTGTTACAATAACGCTTTTGTGTGTTCGTCATCAGAGTTTGTTGGTATGTCAAACACCATGTCCCCTTGTACCCTGAAATTGGTCGCAATATTTATTATAACAGACACGTAAAGATTCTGATGTATGGATTAACTGTGACCATTCTATACACCATGACCACTCCGTTTAATGTCATCTAAGTTTATTTATTGCAATGGCCAATGTTTCAACCGCTCGATTCGCGGTACACGTGTTCTTTTTTGTCTTTTTTTTATCGCGTTAACGGCAGTATTCCGTGAGTCGTGGATCTTATCTCTTGACTTGATTAGCCTACACTGCATTCAGTAGCACGTATATTTTATCTGTTGATATTTTACACATGCATTGGAAAATCTGTGTTTTCGGTCGGTGGATTCTCGGCAAGCAAAATGCGGATTGTATATGATTGACAAGTGCATATGTATAGTGAGTATACTAAATGACTTACTTTTTGGTGTATACTTATGTTGCTTACCGGCATCAAAACCCACGCTCGGTGAACATAATGCTCGCTCGGTGTACTATGTGGCCATCTTATGTGGTCCTTCAGACCGACCGTCACTATGATTATCGACGGAATTAACTTTTCGATCGAAAAGTAGTTTCGCAAGTCAGTTTTATTTGTGGTAATGAGGAAACACCTGAACAATTGGTGTTATTTTGCGTAAAATAAGTCTGACGTTTACGCGATGGTTGAGCACATCCGTGCACTTTGTGCCAATAGAGAGACCCGTATACACTGACCTCATCATCTATTATAATATCCACAACGCGGCTGATATTTATCCAATCAGTGTTAAACATCAACCAACAAAACCATCACGGCAAATGTAACCAGGTGTAATAAAAACGACATAAATTTTGGTGCACAATATGTTACCTCATTTAACATTCATTTATGATCGGTTGTTTTGTCCGCTTGGTGATGATATGGTGGCTGGCAAGACTGTTACCAACAGCTGGTTGGTATATTGTAAGTCTGATTTCTCAACGCAAAGTTTACACAGTATAGGGTTTACTCTCAGCCAATCAGGTATTTGCTCGTTCAAATCGCTCTGTTGCTCTGGATACTTAAGTGATACCGTTACTTCAAACTCCACAGACGTTGCTGATAGAATCATTTGTGTATTCATTATTATATCCGATGCGATCACCACAGAAATGACAGCAAAAAAGACCTGGAAATTATGAAAATCATCAATCATTACCGTTAACAAATAATTCCTTTGGAATTAATCTAATCAAGGTCTGGTCTGTTACTTCCTCTTACAGGAAAAGATAACAATACCTCAACACTGCTTGACTCTCACGTAATTTAGTGACATGTACGTATGCATGCACACGCATACTCCCGAAGAATAAGAGATCATAAGTATTTATCCTATCATCGGCACGCGTGATAAAACAACGGTAGCTTGATAAATAATGACCAAATTGACTAGTCTTTGGGATAGACATGAGTACAAACTGATGGTGATCAGACAGGTGAGGACGACAAATGTCATGAATTAAAATGTATTAATTCAGGTATTGGCAAGAAACCGCGATAAGATTTAAAATGTTATTAAATACTTCAAATTAGGTTTTGCCCTTCACCGACGTATAAACACTGTATACTCAGTGTGTTACCTCCCGAGTGAAAGTTGGGGGAAAAATCAGTCGGGTGGGACTCGAACCCACGACCTCCTGCTGCCTTCTAGTGCAGATGTCTTACCACATATTTTTTTTCAACGTTCACTCGGGAGGTAACACACTGCGTATACATTGTTTGTACGTCGGTGAAGGGCAAAACCTAATTTGATTTACATCACCCCGACGCAAAATTCCATCTTATGAATTATGTACATGTAATACTTGTTGAAAAGGGTATATTTGTTGACTTCGGCTTCCTGGTGATTTTGTGAGTTTTGCTTCCTTTATCCGGGGTGACATTCCATTTCTTCAAATGTACACTGTGAACGAAAATGCATGCAAATAAAAACAAGTCATGATTCAAACACACCTTTATCTGAAATATACGAACAAAGTCATTCCTGTAAAACATCAACAATGGATACCGGTAGCAAATGAGACTGAACGTCTACATCGTTCTGAAACTGTACAGATTTGGACAGATTTAAATGGACATGAAAACACATATTTGCTGTATAGGCCTACTATCCAAAAACAAATGCTCACTTGGTCTGTGAATGAAGTTGTCAAACGTCATGTTTCAAGTAGTGGCGTAACTACAGGGGGGGGGGGGCACGTGCCCCCAGCGGATGTCCGTGCCCTCCGAGGTGCTCCCCCACCCACCCATTAAAATCTTGAGTTGAAAAATATATATACAAATATTAGTTGCCTTGAGTGCCCCCCCCCCCCGCCTTGAAAAAGGTGTCCCCCCCCCCCCCCAGATTATACTTACGCCTCTGGCAACGATGCCCTGGCATATTTTGCTGGCTCCCCGTTGTGCCTATTGTAAAATTATGGTTTGTGGTTATGAAATAGGGTGGGACTCGTATCCAGGTACTTTTTGAAACAAATGCATATTGCTCTCTTTTTTATCAACAACAAACTGTTTTTTGGAAAGGAGCATTACGACTGGATGTAACATTATTATTCAGCTCTAGTGTTATAGTTGTCAAAATCCCTACGATACATATGACTTAAATATTTCTCAACTAACTTAGTTGAAAAGCATTTCTTTTTTGCGGGTTTTTTTTGGGGGGTGGTCCTTTCTGTAAAGTTTATACTCAATAGTGAACAACGTCTTAACGCCGAAATAAACTTCTGCAAATTGCCGCCTAAACCGTCTAGAAATTACGTTTCATAGAGCATCGTGTTAATCAGTTTCAATTTGATTTTCCTTCAAGAGAATGTGATTTGGTAGTAGGCTATAGGCGACTGTCTTCTATACGTGGCAGTAGTATATTCACTCTGTGATTTCTATTATAGACAGCTTGATAGTTGCATTATCAATGCTGCTTGCAAGCTCCTTTTTGTCGTGGCTATCTGATCGTCTGACAGGATGACAGAAGTTTGCAGCTAAGAGCGTGATGACAAAAAGGTTTTGAATTTACCAAGATAAAGGAGACGGTGAACAAAGCAGTTGGGACAATCACTTTAATGGTCAGGCTGACACTTATAAAGATTAGGACTATTCAAAGGTGAAAACCCGATTCTATAAGGCTCGAGCTTAATCGCATACCGATTATCATTACAGTCAGCACTCTGTACAATTATTTGTCAGACAACCTAAACTGCCATCTTCCTCAGCCTAAGTCACGGCTATCCAGTGCACGCACAGACAGCTTGTTTAACATAATTTATGACCAATGGAGCTTGTTATGTTTCAAGCAGTTTGTGCTCGTTCCAGGGCCATTCAACGTGACTGTACTACCGAGTGACACCATTACTTTGTGCACCATAAAACGCTGCGTGTCTGGCCTGGGTTCATTCTTAAATCTGTCGTTGTCAAGCAGAGACCTACTCTTTGCTACCCGGCTCGACTTTGTCTCTCTTTTCTGGAGCGTCGCGAGTATTTAAGACTAGTGTGGATCCGACAAAGATAATATTTCGATCACAAATAGTCAGACCCAAAGGTACTTGTACAAAAGTGTGTTTCTACAGGCTTGACTCCCCGAGGCTCGACAGATATTGAGTAGTTCACCTACCGCATACTAAAGTGCATGAGCTGTAAACTTTCCTCGTATTGGCAAATGTTGAACGCGTGGCAAAGTAGATAATCTTGCCTTACAAGTTACATGACAGAAACCGTCTATTACTATCTACTCTTCATGTGCATTGCGTAACCGTAACGTCAGAGACCTCAATATTTTTGAAATTGTTTGCAACGCCCTCTCGAGTCTTTTTGTCATTGCGTGCATGCTTCTTTGCGCTGCGCGGTACGAGCCAGCGATTAAAAAGGAGTGACTCTAGACACTAACAACATCAACTTGTACACGACAGCGAGGCTTGAGTGCAGCCTCCTCCGTATCATACCTGCGTTTTGACGCCTTGAATCTCTTCATCTTACTTCGCTGGCAGAGACACACGTTCGGCGTGGAGATATAACACTTGTCAGCATGTCATCAGACACGACTCTTGCATGTCATCGGAGGATGATGCTGAGAACTAACCCAGTACGGCTGCTTATGTGCTTGATGATACCGTGTTTACTAGCATCACTGATTCGACTAACCCAAGCTGAGCGAAAAGGACAACCTCAGATACCCATCAGAGCCGAACCAGACACCCCTCACTCAAGGGGTATACCAGGTACGTCAACATGTAGAAAACGAACCAGAAAAACTGACATAACTGTATGAGGTAGTTGGCACATTCAGCAAGAATACAGCAAAGTAAATGTATTCATATAAATTGGTACAAGAAAACCAAAATGGACAGAAAGTTGCATTATTTTGCCAGTAAAGCACTTCCACTTAGTGTGTAATAATGTTGTGGCTCTTGCCGTTCAGCTTGTGTTTTATGAGAATTCCCAGCATTTAAACCAGTTCTTCCGTGTAGGGACCGGGGATATTGAAACCTCTGTCAGATGCCTACTCCTTACTTTATGAAACGTTGTATACTTTTGCCATGCAATTCACATAAACGTTGTTTATGATTGTAGTTGACCCTCTTGCCACATGGGTGCTAGAGTTTACTATGCTTGGACATTTTGTTTTGTTTTCATGATTAATTGCGCGCAACCACCCCGTCACGCTGTCTGTCAACCTATACACTTTCTATGAAATGATACGTGAATACTTACTTGATAAATGTTATACCAATTACCTGCCTTGCTTCTGTTCACCTGCGTGTGTTTATTGTTTGCCAAAGGGTCAGGATTTTAATCCGTCTTCATATTTCATCATTTTGTTTCACAAGTAGAAATACGAAGAACGTTCGCAAATTCAGTCTGGTCTTTGTTTTCCTGATAAGATGCGATGTTTCAAAAGTCGTAAAATGTGCACGTAGGCCTTGTAGCTATCTAGCATTTAGAAGAAAACACTGCGTGATGTTCTAAATCGGGCAGAGGTTAATATAATTTTAATAGTGATGAACTGTGTTTGATACAGTGTTTAAATCTAGTACACATGGGTTATTTTGTAAGCATTTAAACAGGTAAAGAAACGGATTGGACTCTGTGCAGCTTCGTCAATAAGCTGACTCTCCCAACCCGAGATAACTACATAGTACGCATACCATTACAAGTCAAAGGTTTCAGACTCACATTGTAACTGATCTATTTGTCAATGCCTAATCATTTTAATACTCATGTTAAAGCTTTTTTTTTGGTATAATGACCTTCGAGAACGACTCGAATATAGGTTATAATCAGATTCTGCACTCTTTGACCGTCAAACCATGTTGCGAATGGAAAGTTCGCAATTTTTGCAAGGGGTGCATGTTGTGAGCCCAACTATTTTTATCGTTTTCAATTCTCATTAAAGTGGTGTGCATTATAAGGCATGTCCGTTCAAAAAGTGGGCTGCTGAGCAACGCGGTGTGTTACAAGGTCATCGTGAATGCCATTGGACAGCTGTTCATAGGTGATTGAACTTGACTTGTGTTAGATTGCTCCTGGATTCCGTGGCTAATCATCAAACACACTGTTAAATAGAACATAAATCATCGGTATTTCACTACCGTATTTATTTTAATAAGTCTCTTAGAATTTAACTATAACCTAGTTACTTAACAATATGCAACAATGGCACAGTATGCATATCAAGTGAAAGTATTGCTTGGCGTCAGGTTATGCGTGTGATATTGTATTTAACTGACAAAAATCAACCCATTGGATTCATAAAGAAAATATTTCAAAATATCAAGGAATGAGTTTGAAGGAATGTCATGATTCTGTCCTGCATGTTATTGTCTTTAGGTACGGACATCCCTGAGTTTAGCCATAAAATCACAGATCTGACATAAGAAAACAATCTAGAAAGGCAAATAATGCCCAGAACGATGGCAAGACCTATTTGCAGCAGTGCAATCCAGTTATGCATTTAAAGCAATTATGTGGCATGACGTGCGCACGCTTTTACAATCTTTGCTGATCAAGTGCTATTTCTGGATATATCGGAACCATTGCGTCTTTCTAAGTTCCCCTGCTACGAGCCCTAGGGTGAGTCTTAAAAAGCGGATTTGATCCGTTCCAATCTATATACGAGTCTCCAATGAAATCACGTCAGTTCTTGAATAATATAATCGGAGTAAATTGTGCCCATATACCTCGGGCGACGTCATAATTCCAAGCCTGTCAGCCGGTCAGATGAGGGCTTGAATCGTGGCAACGTTTGGGGCTTTAATTGTGATATATTTTTTATAAATTGTCCGATGACCCCAAAACTATGACTAGATCTGGGCCCCTTCCTCGTCAGCAAATTCCATTCATTCTGTTAACAAAGTACTGTTCAGTTTGTATGGTTTATCGTTTACTTAAACAACGATGTTTTTTTTTTTCGTTTTGGGGAAAAAAGGCTTGAATTAGACGTCGCTGTTGCGCTCAAATAAAACGCACAAAATGTCGGGCGCAAATAGTATAAGGAGCGTAAAGCATTTATTTCGTCGCCACTTTGGCAAATCTTTCTCATTCAAAAGTGAATACCTCTTTGTATTATAGACAAATAACAATACCCCCCCCCCCAAAAAAAAAAAAAATCTGGGATGAAACTCGAAGTAGCACGGGATACCAAGTTGTCCTTTTTAACCACCCCTTATTTTCTATAAATAAAAAGGATGAATGTTTTATTTTTATCAAATTGTGTTGTTTTCGCTCATCTTGATCAGTGAAATTGCTGAGACATGATTAATGTTTGTGCTGACTGGGAATTGTCAGTTGGGAGGGCTGAGCATGCATGTACTGGTTTGAATTACGCGGCTTCCTCTGCGGTGTTTCCTTAATCATTGGCCTGTCATGAGCCAAGAACTCTCCAACATGCGCAAACGTCTTATACAGGAAGTGCTGACTCTAACTGTTTGCCCTGGGGAGTACAAGTGTTCCACTTCGGTGGGAGTTGAATATGTCATCTTTTCTAAAGAACTAAAGGAACATCTCATTTTAGAAACAATGACGTACATGAATTGCAGCTGACAGGTGATAAACCTGCATGACTTGTTTATATTATGTTTAACCTTACGTGCAAATCACACATGTATTATATGATCACTATATAATGATCATGGTTGTTAACCTGGTGCTATGTTTCTATCAACAGGTTGTATGTTTGATGATGTCTTCTACGATCTAGACGCACATTGGCATCCTGATCTTGGATTTGGTGAAATGGCCTGCATGGACTGTCAGTGTGTTCCGGTAAGAATACAAACAATGCTTTATTCCATCAATGGTTTAAAAACCACTAATCAAATTCTCAATAGTTGTGTGCATGGAGCTGTAAACACTGTTTTGCTCTTCAACGTTTTTTTTTTCCTTTCTGACTAAGTTGTAAATATGGTTTGTTTTTTCGGTGTTGGGAGTCTGCGACAACCCTCTGAAAAAGGCTTGCCTCTCTCACAGATCTGCCGTGCGAGTAAACTGGTCCCGGTCTCTACATTACTGATTTTGTTGGTCGGCAGAAATGTTAAAATCGAGCAGTTGGCCACTCATTTTATTTGGTGATGAGAATCAAGTATATTCTTCATCAATTTTTTGGTCTGGTTTTTGGGTTTTTTTGGTTTTTTTGCCCTCGTTATTTGAAAACAGTTTTGACCATTTATTATTTGTCAGGTTTTACAATGAACATGTATCTATAAGTCTTTAGTTGTGGAAGTTGATTAGTCACACGTGTAAAGTTAGGATTGTTGACTCTTGGTATTGTCCACGAATTATGGTTGAGGCTATGACAGTTTAACGACTGGTTTTTTACTCAGCAGTGCATCGGAATTCGACCAAGTTATCCCATGAGCTCAGCATGCTCAGTGAGTTATGTCGTTGTGAACTGAGCTCTGCTAAGTGTACTGTTAACTAAAGCTTTAAATCATAAAATCGTGGTTAATATGTCTGGCGAAATTGCCTATCATTATTTTGAGTCGGCATGAAAAAAAGACAGAATTGAGTTATCAACAATTCTTTGTAGCACCTTGGCATCCACATACCAAATGCCATAATATCGTGGTAAACTTTAGAGAGGACTCGTTCAACTGGTGGATACGGAACAATCCTGCTACAACTTGCACAAGGCGGATTTTTTTAATCGTGGGCTGTCAAAATACCCTGGTCACTTGTGTACTCCCGCTGTGTGAACGCAATCTGATGCCTGTAACCTTGTCAATCGCGTGCAACAATTTTAAATTGCATCCGCGATGAAGAATTTAGGTTGCCTCGTAGCCTTCTGCCCTTTGAATGCTTACAAATAGTGCAATGTCTATGAAGTATAATGAATAATTGTCAAGATTCGGCTCGGAACATCTATTTGTTTCACTTGTCGATTTTTTTCCCCAGAGATTGCCGGTAGCTTGTTTCCCCTGATCGGCAAAAATGTTGACATCTATTCTTTTCCTCAGTATTTGCACAATGCTCGTCTGATCTTTTGACCTACATTGTCATCATGTGTAGTTTTGTTTGTCGCGATTATGTTATTAATCATGTTGATATATATTTTCTCAGTTATGCTTTTGACAAAGATAACTTTGTTTACTTCAGATCTGCTAAATCTAGAGTAAACTAGCTTTTTGCTCATTGGATGTACACCGCCAATTTGTGAACGAAGTGCCATTTTAGACTTGTGACGACTTAGTTATTAGGCAATAAAAATAATGATTAACATCGAGGATGTAAGCCCTCAAAAGGAATTTGCCATCTGCTTTACTTTGACCTTCCACTAAACATTACACGGGTTTTGTATTGCTGTTTCATATTTGTCGATCTTTCTTTAAGACGTATCAGATTGGCTGCAGAACGTGCACATGCAGATAATTGTAAAAGTTTAATGTCTTGCTAAGTTGCTATTGGAATGCCTTGCTATCCATTGAATTGAATTTTCTGATATATCCCATTATAGAAACAAATCTTGCACAAGTAAATTTAAGAGGCAGATTTCAAAGGTGTAACAAATATGAGAAGACGTTTTATATTAGACGGAATATTAGATGTTTTAATCAGGATATAAAAGGACCTACTATTTACGATGATCAATGTTGCATTATTGAAATGGTTATGAAGACATTAATCCCGAAATATTAACACAATAAACAACATGATAAGAGTATAATGCATGTAAGGACCGTGCAAGACATTCCATCCAGGACGCGTGTTCTTTGTGAGCTAGTTGTAGTTGATATGAACCCCCATTGTGTATGTACCAGGCTGCTGATCGGCACGTCAGCTGGCTTTACTAGTCATAATGTATCGTGAGAAGGGTTCATGGGCCATCAGACTAGGGATATGTTGTCTTTTTTTCAAAGCCGATTCATCAGTCCTGTGTTTCGCCGGGTCGACGCCTAATGAAAAAAAGAATCAATAGGTTTGAAATGAATAAAGAGAAAAAAAAACAATAGTTTGGCTCATTGGTTTCATGCCTTAATGGAACTTCCACATCCTTATTCATGGCTTGCTATGTTGTCGAACACCTGTTTAAAATAGTCGAGGTCCAGACATAAATTGGGGCAAATCAGCAGAGAAATTGACCATTTGAGATTGTCAATTATAATCATAGGGATTTTTTTTGCACCTTGCATGCCTAGAGGCAGTGACTTAGGTGGGGGCTTTCATTGGCTATGGTGACCCAGTGTTCGTGTAGTGAGAGTCTTATTCTGACAAGCCCATGACCGAGATATTGAACACGTATCTGTCACTGCCTCTCACCTGCGCCCAGTTAGTATGCTGACTGCATCACAACTAACAAAATAGGACAAAAGTACGTTAACATGCATTCAGTTGAACTGACCGAACATGTTCCTTTAATATACACACATGCATCTAATGTAGTGGTCGCAGGTTCGAAACCCGTTTTAGTAAATGTCTTTGTTAACCGAATATAAATTACAAGAGAATCTAGATGGTTTGCTATCGTGACTCAGCTGACATTCGATTTGATTTGGATGGAAATGCCTGGTGCTTTAGTCCGATCATAGTTGGATGAGTTCTCCTCTCATGGCAGCGAGCTTCAATTGGGTCAAAGTTACTTGTACAAAACAGATAACTGATAACATTTATTGTCCACTTCTTAATAGTTTTCTCTTTAAGTGTCTGCAAAAATAATCGTGTTCATAGCCATTGATCTTAAGCGAGTCGATGTATATATGCTCGTATTATTTTGATCATCGTGGGGATTAGCCTATGCATATTTTTTAATGGCCGATCTATTTCTTTCCTGCATAAATCACGCACAAAGTCTTCAAAAGACCAGTCCACGCCTTGCACTACCAGCCTTGTTGTAGTGAGCTTCACGTGTAGTTTCCATCATCACATATTATGCATAATCTGTAGTCAGCTGCAGCTGTTCATTTCAAAAGGGCAAAGTCAATCGTGTGGAAGATGACATGGAGAGTTTTTTTCGTGGGGCAATGTGCAGTTTCAATGTACATTCATAAATACCTAAGACAGTTTACGCATTCCTTTTGATTTGAAATCGAGATCCTAGAATGTTGTTTTTCTCGAAATATACAGCTGAAGCTGAGCTGAAACTTCAACAGGTTAGTTGTTCAGCACCCTTCTTTAGATTTTGAGCACTTTTGTTGCTTCAAACGAACAAAATGCACAAATTACAAATGATGGACTATACCTATACCTTACACAGACATAATTATAAACGTGCGCATAGACGTACCGCCAGTCGTGCGCGTAAAACCGTGATTCGAAAAAGTATGGGCAAAACACTGGTTGACATTGCGCGTATCCGCTCGACGCGCGTTCAATGCAGATACGCGCTGAGCTTGGACACTACATACATTTACATACCAAGCATAATTTTTTAGCTAAAAAAGGCTGTTTTACTCACAATCCGATTGAAAAAGGTTGTGCGCCTTATTGGTTTTTAATCTACCTAAATCATTTTAAGTACACAAGGGATTTTTTTTACAATCAAAAAATAACTTCATAGAATTTTTTTAATGGAATAGTTTCGGTGTGTGTAAAATCTCTATACCGAGGAGTGAATTTGCCCATAGTTTGGGATGCTGCGAAATCACAGTATGCGCGTGTAGTTTCGAATGCAACCTCGTGCCGGTGACGTTACGTGCAAAGCACGCGAGCGCATTATGGGCGCGCCTGGCGTGCAATCTTCGAAATGCGCGCGCAGTACGCTGTGAATAGCCAATCAGCGTCATTTACGTCATCATCACAGCCAGGGGTTAGTGTGAGGAACGTGCACGCGCCCCTGGAGTCGAGGCTGGTCTGTGCTTAAACACTTTTCCAGTGTCACATGAAATTTGGACTCCCATGAAATCCGGTGCCTTTTAACGTTTCATTGGTTGAACGTTCACATTCCTCACGTATGCATGCGCAATGTACTACAAGTGAATCAGAATCGGTCCGAAATTCTCATTACACCAGCCCAGCTGCGTTTTGCGCGACATCGCGCAGTACGCGCGACCATGGAGGTGGAATGCGCGACGCGAACGCATTCTATATTATATATAGTCAGAGGGGTGTTTCTTAAAACATGAAGTAAAATTGTTGAACAAAATGGTTAACAACGTCTAGTTTTTGACTTGTTTTGATTTTTGGACCGAAAAGATTTGTTTTTTTTGACCAAAAAGATATTTATGAATGGGAATAAATAAACCGGTGTGAGTCTGGACGAGTGATAATTACCCATCCAGACTCACACCGGTTTTAAACAGAGTGTTATAATACCTTCGGAACACATTCCCTTATTTGTTATAAATAGAATCCTGAATGCAACAGTTTGCACAATCTGAACGGGAATTTTGAGCTTTTGTTATTGTTTCCAGGTTTTCAACACTAGGCTTTTTGTGGATATAAATTTTAAAAATGTATGTCCTTTTCTAGCAAGATCTGCCCTTTCGAAGCAGGCTTTATGCCAGTTAATATTTTACTGACTGGTTCAAGCTTTTTGTACGAACAATTTGTTTTACATATTTTAACACAAACCAAGAAATCCAATGTTCAGCTCGTGTATTTGTCTTGCCTGTCCCTGTGGGTGTGTCTGTAAATCCCATCTGTCATGCCGACCTTACCCCGAGATGCCCACACATGCCCGTTGATAAGCCTTGCCAATGATCCCAAAGGAGCTATAGCTATACCTCCAAGGTCTGGAGGAAAATGGTAGCTTGACAAGTTTACACTAGAGAAAGCGGCTGCTTCATGTCGAAGAAAGGCTGTGTTTTCAATTTGGATGAGAGCCCAAAATGTCTGTACGATATAAAAATAATGTTACTTATTTTCTAACAACTTATAATAAAATTGTCTTTTTCATCGTGTGCCTTATAACTTATATAGGGCCTAAGCATGCATTTTAACCAAAATGTTTTGTTAACGAAAGTTCGCTATATCCACTGTTTAGATTGCTAAAGATGGAATGAAAACAGGGAGAGTTAGCTGTCGAGACATCAAGAAAGATTGTAGGGAACCTGAGTGTCCGCCAGGTGTGGAGCCTGTACTTTCTGATGGAGAATGTTGCAAGGCATGCCCTCAAAGCAGTAAGTCAACAAAATCTATGTCTCCCCGCTTATCTTTTTCCTATACCCATAATAATTTAGTTATAATTATGTAGGCCATAGAATTGTTTTCGCTTTTCGTAATGAAAGTGATGAAAAGTTGTCAACATGGTGGGGGTGGGGGTGTTATTTATTTTTATTTATACATGCAGTATATTTGGGACTTTTGATTTTTCCCCTTCATTTATTTGCTTACGATGAGTAAATCATGCCTTTAAACAATTCATGACTAATGTACTGAGTAAGCATGCAAGAGAATCGTGTAGGTATGCTGAATCGGCCGGCCTTGTCTGCAGGACTGCACATTTTTGTTATCAAGTAAAGCTGACGATTTGTATGCAGACTTTCTTTGCGTTCTCGATTTGACACTGAACGTTACCCGTACCGTATACAAAGGAGCAATTTGAGCAAGGAAATTCAGCAGCATTTGAACGAACAATACTATAACAGGACCGATATAAACTGCATACCGTGAGGTCTGCAAATCTAAGCACCCGTAGCCTACAGTCAGATATCGGCACCGTGGCGGAAATCAGCAAGTCATTGGCTTTGAAAGGGGCTTTCTATTCTGTGTATTTTCATTTTGCATTTGTACTCGTTTACTTCAAGTCCCATTAGGTTCTTAGGAGTCGAAAATTTCATGGAAAACCTAAATGCTCTTAAGCAATAATTTATTATTTGTGTATCAAGACAGACCAGCATAGTCGACATAAATTATGTCGCACACGAATACTAAGCAGCTTATTCTTGATTACTTTATTGTTAGAATCGATTGAGTGTTGGTGGGCTCATTCGAACATGACACTGTAAAATCTTGTCTCTCTGACGTTGTATTCATGTTTTTATTGTCACCTTATGTTACTTTAACCCGACCACGGGAAGTCTATATACGTTGTTTGGAGGGATAGCGCCGCGTGTGCTATACCAATCATTGCGCGTCATTTATCGGGTAACATTTTGACTCCATGCTTGGCTATATTAGTGTTATGCTTTTAGAATTGAACTTTAGGCCGTATAGGTTACTGACTCGTTGTGTGCATCATTTACAGGGCTTCCCTGCGAGTCTTAAATAGGCACGTGCAGCGACTGGTATGCCAGACGCAGAGAGCGTGTGTGTGTGTGTGTGTGTGTGTTCGTCATTGCTAGTTCTTATCCTCGGTCAACGCAATTGTAGAATGGCGAAAACTAACGTAACTTCCAAAATATGGCAATATAAACTGCCATTGTTTAAAAAGAAAAATTAATTAAGTGGCACGTTTTCACTGTATACATCTTTAAAAAGTGATGTACATACCACATAATGTCAGTTCCTTGCGTGAGGCCGAGAATGTGACATAGAAAAATAGGCTGATATTTAAGATATGCAAGGAATCTAGCTGCCCAATGTCAAGCTTGAAACAATCCATAAAATGATTGAAACTACAGTTTCATATCGTTACAATGATGGAATACCGTGTGGGACAGTGTTGCACTTAACCATGAGGCTAAATTGACATCGGTGTAGCCATAATGTGTCATAGTCAGACGAAGAATGCTAGGTCGTTATTATGAACTTGTAGATAGATGAAGTCTTGAAAGATAACCCGCGATGTTACCATGCTATACATTACAGGTGGCCTGGAGTGTTATACCATGGAGCAAAAGCTCCATGGTTATACGGTGCCTGTCGAGACTGTTTACGATATACCAGCGAAGTAAACTCAATAAGCGCTGTATCACATTTTACAGGAACGGAAGTCGATCATCATTGAGATGAAGAACAAGTGATTACTTTATAGACTGTGTTTTCCCTTCACTGTCGGGTTCCGAGGAAAGGCATACTCCGTCTCAGTACTTTAAGATAGCATTTCGGATTTGTATAGCGGATGGTTGACAATATGTTTTGTTGATAGGTGGTTCGGGCAGTGAAACTGGAGGAACTAAGTTGAGTAAAGATCGACCAACAGACATCTCTGATGATCTCCCTGATGCCAACTCCAGAGGAGAAGGTTAGTTTCTCTCTCTTTGTCCGATCCAATAGTTTTAATCTGATAAATATTCATATCAATGCATAGACATCAAAAACATTTTTTGAACTCCTAATAAAACTTTAGGAATGCTGTTTTATTGAATATTACGGCATTCTAGGATGTTAGGTTTTTGTGTTCTCATTGTTTTGGGGTTTTTTTGAGGGGGTGGTTGTTCCATTGTAGTTCTTTGTTTTCATTATTGTCACAAATACTGATACAACTAAACAGTTTGACAGCACGGAGGTTTTAATCAAACCGTTTGTTTTGCTTTCTGTAGTTTATGTGTCTATGCTGACCGGCACCTTGATTGATGTCAGAACCAATGCTGTCGCTCGTGCTTCGTTTTCATTACTTGATGGCACATTGTATTATTCTATACAATACAGAAGGTATGTGGCTTACTATGAGCTTTAGGCTAAATAAAAAAAAAACATGTTTAGCGTCCTGCCTTTTTGAAAAAAGGAAACGGGAGCGGCCATTTTGTTTTCCTCCAAAATGGCCGCCCGACCGGCCTATTTTTCAAGATGGCCGCCAGGTTTTTTAATGGCCACCATTGGACTCAGGAAATGACATAGCCTACCAGCTTTATATGGGCTAAGTGCAACAGAAAAGAGGCCAAAATGATGTCACTATTTAAAAATTTATCATTTTTTGGTTAAAAAAAGGAGGCGACCTCCAAAAAGGAAGCAGGCGGGGACGCTTAACATGGTTTTTTTTTTTATTTGGCCTAAAACAGTGATAAGCATGCACGTTGTCATTATGCTCTTCATCTTCTGACGTATGACGTGTGCAGCTATAATGTATGCTCTAACACTTGTGTAATTACTATTTTGAATAAAGAATTCAGAGAGCTACTCATAAATAATACATCATAGGACATACCATGATACGTCCTGAATACCCAACCAGGAGTAAATCAACAGGCGCAATAATTATAGGCCTATGCATCGATAACAATCAGGTCTTGGTTACTTCTTTACAGAATGGATCGCCCAGTTAGAATAACGTTTACTGATGCCTTGAATTCAACTGTTCATTACATCGACCTTGTGGATGCCCCTGACATGGTAAGCTTTATCATATCGGGTTATTGTCTTCGGTTTGCAAAACAAGTTTTCATGTTAACACGATTTTCGAATTGACAAAAGAAAGTCATCCTGCATGTTATATTTTGCCTGAATGATGAGTGAAATCCCGTTGACGAGGGATAATTAGTTCATCTTGTAATAAACACGTACGTTCTTGTTGTCTGTGCATGTCTCAAACAACGTCAGTCGTCACTTTCCACTTATATATTCTCTAAAGGTGTGTGGTCAATGGCAACATGTACCTGCCACACATGTTCAGGATCTTCAGAGTAAGCTGATGTTTGTGACATTATCAACTAGGTCTCACGAAGAAGGTGAAGTGCGTGGTCGCATCATGCCTCATCGTGCATTGACTGACGGTAAGTAGAAACTTCCGTCATATTTATCAACCCAATAACACACCCTTTATTTTGCTGTTCTTTTGTAATATTAATTCCTATGTATACAAAAATCGTTTACTTTAATCAAAGATATTTTAAAGGCGTTTCAAATAAATCTGAATATTTCCAATAAAACACGACCATATTTAAAACGTACATGTACGTCCACTGTTTTTCTTGATAGAAAGCTTCAGCGTTCTTTTGACGCGGAAAGACAAAGGAAGTGGGCGAAATCGTAAGAACACTGATCGTCTTGGGTCAGGGGGCATCATAATGATTGCTGTATCTGGTAGCGGGGATCGACTCAATTTTGCTGCATTCATTGATGGAATAACAGAGAACACCGAGCGCACTCAGGAGACGACATTCATATTGCAACTAAAGAAGGGCAGAGATGTTGTTGCAGAATCGCAGAAGACCGTCTTCTCAGACGTAATATCACTTTTTGTGTAATTTTTATTTCATCTTTATCAACCTTTGGCAAAGTAGTTGTGCATTTCACTTGTTATCACGTTTTAATATACATTTAAATCTGATTGTAGGATTTAGATTTAGCTGATGTTTGGGATCAGTTTACATCGAAAATGCAGAAGAATTTGGCAAGAGGTCTCCTATCCGTTAGCATCACGATAGAAGGACAGGAGGGAGAATTGGCTGGACCTGTCACACCAATGCAAACTTGCAACAGTAAGTCGCTTTCAGTCGTGTTACCTTTTCGATTTTATACACATGCTTTGTAATAAGCTTAGTTGTACAGACTGGTATTGTGGATTGATGTGCTAATTTTGTTAATTTTGTTTTAGCAATGCATGCCGTTTTATCTGGTAGCCAAGCTCTGGATAGACCCAAAGCCACAGGAGCTAGTGGCTCGGCCATCCTCAGTGTTGATGACAAAGGAAAAATTAACTATCAGGTAAAATACTCCTTCGAATTTCCATGTGTTAATCTTTCCTCTTGTGTTTCTACTTTCTGAGGAAAAACATGGGATGAAAGTAACAATCAAAGTCGCTGTCTATGTATTTGCTCGCAGATTCTGATTACGGGCTTGAGGACAAACGTAGTTGGTTTAACGATAGAGGGTAAGCCCAAAAACAGGCGCAAGAGGAGGATTGTGGCAGACATACTGAAAGACTACAGAAATGGCAAGGTGAGGGTATAATGCTTAGTCATGTGGAGATACTGAACAGTGCCTTTCGATTGTGATTCATCGTGATAGTGCAGGCTCAACTTTCCTCTTCCCTTAAGCAATCATCTCTTGTAACATTCCAAGTCTGTGGGAGCAATGACGTGCATAAAAGGCCAATGCAATTATTGTACTATTTACTATTTTATTGCTAAAAAAAACGTCTTTTCTATCGTAACATAAGATGTAGTAGGCCTATACTATAACTTGCAACGTTCTGAAAGAGTGAACCTATTCCCAGAAAACTAATGAACTCATCAAAGATACAAAACAATGGCATGACTCACGAAAGCCCAGTTTTCACATTTTAAATGAAACCAATTTATTCAAGAAAATAAAGGCAAACATTGCATAGGTTATTGGTATTATGTTGGTCTTGGCCCTATTTTAGATAATTAAAAAGAAGTCACATTGTGAATCTGAGCTATCTTTAAACATTTTAATATAGGACTGTGTAGTTTAACATAATCACCACCGTTTCAATGTTTGTACTAAATGCGCTATGCCGACCCACGTTTTCTTTTGAATGAATGTGATTATTCTAACAAAAGTAGCAACTCGCTCTTGTGTATGCAGGCTGTTGGGCGTTATAGCAAGGCCAAGGCCAGGGAGATCCATCAATTGTTACATGGTGGATTGTACATCAATGTGGCAACAGAGGCCTACCAGACTTCAGAGCTACGAGGAATAGTCACCATCTTACCCTATACCGCAAGCCTCTCAAACTACAAAGGTAACAATCTCTACTTTGTGCACCAAATACACGGAACAAGTTAATAAAATTGGGAAAAGGGTTGGCCCAAGTGTATTACATGTAAGTGTTTGTCAGGTTGACACCTTTGCCAGAGATGTTTGTGAAAGAGTCCAGCAAACATGCACTGTGGGGATTCATTTGACATTGTCAATTTATTTCTGATAAGTCTTCTTTAGAACTTAAGTTTTAGGCCGTGAGGTGTATTACACTAAACTGTTGTCCATGTGCGCTTTTGCATTTAATGAATTCATAAGTAGACTTATCTTTCATTATGCGATCTGCGACTGGTGCAATTCATTATTTTTGTTGTGCGTGATCCCTGTTACATTTTCGCGTCGTATTAAAAAGCTTTTGTAACATGTTGCAACGAATTAACATGATAGAACATTTATATACGTAAAGAAAAGTAGCCCGAAGAAGAAAATACCCCGTCCGTAAATGTATGCATGTTGTTGAAAATGAAAGCATGGTTCACTATAAAGCACCGGCCTTGGGCAGTGTTGAAAAGAAAATGTATTGAGAAAACATTTTGTATGCCTATTCGTTACTTGGTCATGTTGATTTTGTTCTACAGGGATGCCAGTACAAATGTCTGGAAGCATTATATCTCCACCTCAGCTTACTGGTGCAGGAGGACATGCCTTTATGGTACTTGACTCGGCGTGTGCTTTGCATTACCAAGTATCTGTTGTAGGATTGGATGATGAGGAATCTCGAGCGCCAGATGACAGCGTTGATCATGTGTTTGCTGAGATCGGTGAAATCCAAGAAGACAACGTCGTTGTGACACACGTCTTAAATGAGGTCCACAAAAATCTGGTAAATTCAACTGGCAAATTTGAAAACAATTGGCAGTACTTTGCACCCAAGGCCAAAGAAACATATAAAATAGGCCCACCTTGTTTTTCCTATAAATTGTCTTAAAATTGAAGACTTTCGGGACGTGTTGTAAAACGGATGAAATTATTTACTTTATATTATCTTAAAATATATAATTGAGCGGTATAATCCACATGTGGAGAATTAATAAACGATGTTATGTCTGCTGCCAACCAAAGTACATAAACGTTTTTTGAGCATTTTATATTATATTTGTAAAATGTTAATCCCCTATTTAAGGCAAAACTGTGTTGTGTCTATGATTTATCGTAGGCAAGTGGAATATTGTACAACGTGCCACCTTCCCTCCTGGAATCCATGAATAATGGCAACGCATTCATTCAAGTCAGCTCCAAGAATCATCGAGATGGAGAGATTCGTGGATTGGTAAGCCGGACTCATATCTCTTTATATATTTCTCCCAATTCCTTGTCATTAGCGTTATATACATTGCATAATGTTATCAAATGTTATCAGTTCACTGTACAAGGCAAACTTTCAGAGGCATGTAATATCTATATATGTATTATTTTACCATTCTATATACTACAGGTGATACTACCCAATACATGCTATAGCGCATCGTCTTCGGGGTCTGAGCATTCCAGTGGTCCTACCCTCATAGACGATGCCTCACACGGTGGAAGTGTAGAATCACTTCCCGACTCTTGTTTCTTTGAGTCACGTTACCGGATACCAGGCTCGAGTTGGTCTCCTGATTACGATCCTGTGTGCACCACTTGCATATGCAAGGTAGGTTTTCTTTGATATTGGCATAGGACTATACTTCACAATTTGGGATGCCTTATACACTTACACATAATAATTGTGTAGTAATCAATTAACCCATTAAAAACGTATCAAACGGAATTGTTTCCATTGAGATGCGATTTGGTAAAGTGGCCTTTTCCGTGATCATTGTTTTAATGCCAGTTCTTCCAAAAGGTTGTTCATTAAGTTCAAAATCAAATCCCGAGGGAAAGCAAAGTTTCATTCAAAGTTGCACGAACTCGTCCTTTTTGGTATTTTTTGTTATGATTTGTTTTTTTGTTATGTATAGATGACTCAACTTTTTGCCATGGCTTTAGCTGTGCTTTGACTTTTAGGTTGAACATCTTCGACTTTGATTGGAAACAGGTGCGAAGAGTTCCAACAGTGTAGAGGGACAAGTTATAAGTGCGGCCTCAGATCGACCTGCAATTTGCTTGTGCCACGACAGAACCGTCGGCATCAAGCAGAAAAGTAATAATGCTCAGGTCACGAAACTGAGAAATCGTGTAATTCTCGTGGAACTGAAGCGGCATCCCGACGCAAAATAATCGCAACTATCAGCGATACCCACGACGCGATGACGATTCCTCGACAAAGACGTAATCGCGTGACGTCTTCAAAATGGCGATACGCGTGTTGATAACAATCAAACGATCTTCCACGGCCACGTCTATTCATTCGACCATTTTTGCCGCACGCTGATTGGCTACACAATGAAATAAGACGATCTGGATGCGCACACGACGTCGTAACTTCACACAGGTGGACTGCGATTGATTCCCGCCTGTTGGGAACTGGTTATGCCGCTGCGCAGGAGTTAAACATTATCTACTCTTGCGACTGTAAGTTTTGTTTAGCGCCAACTGATGCAGATCGTCTTAATATCACCGCAGTTACACTCAGGTCGCAAACAAATTGGCGACTGATATGTTCCAGACGGTCGTAGCTCAGGCGCCGCTTGATAGCCGACTGCAAGGTCGATCTGAGCGTGGCTTAAGCAAAAAATCAATTTGGAACCACTATTTCGATAAACAAATTTTTTTGGTCACAATCATACAGATACACGTTCAACTATGTTTAACTTAAGTATCAATCCACAGTCCTGATATTCATGATATATTATTTAACAGAGAAGCGTGGTGATTTGCGACCCTGTGGTATGCCCGCAGCTTGAATGCACCAATCCCGTGAAGGTACCCGGAGAATGCTGTCCTATATGCCCCATAGGTAACACACTGTACACATTATTGGTTTATGTTTAATAGTCAAACGGGTCATAGCTAGGTTTTATAGACCACATTGGAAAAATGACGTCCCATAATTTTAATCAGTGATTGGTTGTGAACTTTTTGGATTTTTTTGGCTGGGTTAGAGTTTTAAGTGTTTTTGCTGACTTCCTTTATCTTTCCACCGAAGAGGTTTCTTTCTTTCTTGGGGACGGGGGCTCAACGTATTAACGCATGCATTGAGCATGCTATACATGGTGGAGGGTATAATTAACACCTGTTTAAATGACTTGATTCCTCATCCGCAGAGGAAACCAACCACGAAACGGAGAGTTGTTTCTTTGAAGGAGACAAGAAACATCATAGTGTGGGTTCACAGTGGCATCCATTTGTACCACCTTTTGGCTACATCCAATGTGCTATTTGTACCTGTCGAGTAAGTATCAGTGCCACTTGTTTCACTTAAGCCGGGTACCTATTTGATTTCACTTACTTACCAAGAATGATACTGAAATTCGTGGCTTTTGTTTTGAAGATAAAAAAAATGCTTGTTTATCGTTACTGAAATTTCAAGGATTGTTGCCCACAAGTTCCACCGAACACAGTCTACTGTGAAAATAGCGGACAAAAATTCATTCAGCGAAGTTTAGTGTCGGTGACCCCATTGTAGTCGTACGAAATAGCCACAGTGAAAGTTTTGTCATAATGGTCTAAACTGTTTATCAATATATTAAACTATCATGTTTAAAATGCTGCAGTAAAACGGATCGTGATAACAGTTTCGTTGGGTAAATCCATGGCTTAAGCATGTCGTATGTTGTGAATCGTTTTGTGAAATCGTATTACCATTTTGTACATGTATTCTTGATGTTGATGAAATGTTCTTCCAGAGTACTTTGACAATTGTATTTTTGTTTTCAGTCAGCAGGTCAGTATGATTGTCAGCGGGTACAGTGCCCTAAGTTAGAATGCAAAAGACCTGTCAGGATTAACCCCACCGACTGCTGTCAAACCTGTCCCGGTAAGTATTGATCTTCCATCAACTTCATTGTAAACTGACAACACCAAAAGAACATATTTCATTATGCATAAATGAGTATGTTGGTGTACAAAAAGAAATGAACATTGGGCCTACAGTATAAACTCTCATGATTCCAGATACAGTAATGATTTGGAGTAATAAACCCTGAAAGTGAACAAAGCTGGATGGTGTATTTACCCCTTCGTGTTTGGCAATAATTCAATGAATATAAAGTAAATCATTGGGTTTTTTTGTAAACAGAAGACCCATCTACGACCCCAGAACCAGTAGAGAGTGACGTCATACAGGCTGATGAGGTCGAGAGAGGTCAGTCTTTTACATGTTTCATCCCTCATTGTCATGCACCTGGCTAAACTGCTTATGTTTTATTTGCAAACAAATGTGAAAATTACTTTCTTGCTTGTTAATTTTTGTAAAACTGTAAAATGGTTGTGCATGTCTACGTGCGATTCTTGAATAAAAGTTTCGTATGTCAGCAATCATAGGATCTTTTATGGCAAGCAACCAAGTTGTGTAAACCAAAAATCAATGAAATAATTAAAAATATCTATATTATTTCAATTCCAATAAAGCATCGTAAGTTTTAAATCTTTACAATGACACATGTGCACTATGGCTGAAAATATATGCAATGAATCATACAGTGTTCTGACCCTGGTCTGCTTATATTTTTGTTGTGCTAAGATTGTCATCAACTTAACCCTGCACATTTTACTGCACTTAACATCCAGCCTGTACTTTTGCAACGGATTATTGAATGCACAATTTTATGTTGCTTCCTGCTTTGTTTTGTTTTGTTTTATTGCATTGCCGCTATTTTTTTGGCCACAGGGTGTTCATTTCATGGAGATTTCTACAGGAATGATGAAGAATGGCATCCACAAATACCGCCCTTTGGAACCTCGTACTGCGTCAAATGCAGATGCAAAGTGAGCACTTCTGAAATAGTGTCCTATAAATAAAACAGCGCTAAACTCCTACTTCTATTCAAATAACTGTCAAAAATAACCACAACAATTTATATGATCAAACCATTCTTAAATGTGGAATTTTCATTGCTTAGCTCTTATTTCAAATAAAATGGTAACATTTTTCACGAGTGAGTCAATTAATGCTTTGTATATTTTGAAAATAATTATAATACCAAAATTAAGTTGAGAAAATCCACATGACTTAGTTATATTTACTTATTCTAAATTTCAATTTTTTTTCATTTAGAGTTAGGAGTCCCAAACGGCATGACTTGTTTTCAGTAATGAAACTTGCTTTCGATACAAGAATCCAAAAGTAAATTTTAGATCAACCGTTAATAAGATGATATTGTGGATCCTAAAGACGGTTTTTATTATTCATTTGTACTGAGAAAATAATTCAAAAAAAAAAGAGTGGCCTAATATTTCATCCATGGCAAGGACTTCTTCAGAGGCGAAAAAAAATAATAATGCGCTACTTAAAAGAAATTGGACGAGTAACGATTTTCATTTGTTTTTCCTACAGAACGGCTCAACGAAATGCAAAAAGAAGAATTGTCCCAAATTATCCTGCGAAGAAACAATGGAAATCAAAGGTGAATGCTGTCCAGTGTGTGTAGGTAAGGCTTGTAAAAGACAGTAGAACGGAGATCAGATTTCAAAATCCCTCATCAGAACTTCATTGTTAGTGTTCCCGTTGAATACATATATTGGTTTTGTTGCATATTGTGAATATTTTTTATCAGTAGTATTTAATGCATGTTCTTTCAATTAATTGTTGTCGTATATTTTTGTATTCGTTTTAGATGGATCGAGTGGTTTATTAGCAACATTTTTCCCTTCACTATCAACAAGGGCGCCCTCATTGAACGATAACAGACGGAAGGAAAGGCGGAAGCATTAGCGGCCGATAAACCACCAGACGTGTATAACAATACCAAATATTAAGTATTCAAGTCAAAGCTCCGGGTTTTCAAGTTGCAGATTTCCCACGCAACTGGTATTTATGCTTTTCATGAAAAAAAAAACGATAGCTATCCTACAACTTTCCCAAAAATATCATGGTGAACCTTATTCAATTTTTAAAAATCGGCACCGACATTAGGTACGTGCATTAGGCACCGACATTAGGTACGTGCGCATCAAGTAGCAAGCCATTGATATCCGTGGGGAATTTTTTGGAAATATTGAAACTGGAATTTGAAAATGACAGTTACAGTGAACGTTGGGTCTGACCTACATGCATTAAAACGGTTCACGACGTGATACCATGTTGTCCACGTGATATAAATGAATGGTGGTTGCTATGGAATAACACTTCCATCACTAATCAAATAAGCATGTCAGTATTAACTGATATACGAAGCTGGAAACAGCGGAAACAGTCTTCATACATTCTGACGGCTGGTTCTTGTAAGTATGAGTACATGTGACCAAAAAGTTCTGTATATACTAAATTATTTTTTTTTCAAAATCTTTGAGATTGGTCTTTTCGAGTGACTGAATATTTAAAGCTTCTGAAGCACTAACAAAAGTGGAGGACTGATATATTTCCATGCATGGAATAATTTGGATGAGGAAGCTGTGACATAATTGTAATAAATATTTACATAATAGTACATTATTCTTAATTATCAATACGTATAAGCCTTGTTGATATGTGGGTCTGTGTTGTGGGCCAATCATGGTCTGTCTTACTCGTGGATTCCGTACCTGTTGGCCGTCTTTACTTGTTGCTGCCCATGATCCGTTTTCCTTGGCAGAAAGTCAAGTACATGTACATTGTAGATACATGATTACTGTAATCGCAATGTGCCTCCTACAGCCCGTTCTTGGTGTGGCCGCCCGATTTGCTTCTGTGTGAGGCCAGATGCGTTTGACAAACCACAATTCATTCAAGGCCTGAATTAGGGACAATGAACGAGATTGGCTGCATGTGCAAATCACTACTGGATGTCTTTAGTGTCTTGATGTTATCAACGCGTTCAAATTTATTTATTTTGTTACACCTAGATGGTTTGATTTTGTTGTATTTTTAAGATTTAACACAGCAGGGGTTTTTCAGGTGAGGATGCGCGACGGGCATTTTAAAAGGAGACGGAGCGACGACGGACTGGCTCAGTGAAGCAGTCATTGGGTTCGGTAATCAAGAAGTTAGTGTTTAAAAAGAGTGCATTATAAATATAAAGTTGAGGCTTATTGTACATAATTCTTGCGCTTTTTAAATATCAAGAGATACAAATTTACCAAATTTAAGTTTTAAGAATATTTCTGTGGTTTTATATTGTATTGTAAAAAATAATATTCAGTTTCAAAATACCTATAGACATAATAGTGTGTTTACATATAAAGGTATATGTATTGTTTATTTTTGTTCTTTTTTAACATTATTGGGATCTTTGGATTGGTCGTGAAGACGATATTTGGTATCATTTTATACCTAACATTATAGTACGCGGTTCTCCGAGTAGTTTTGTTCTATGTAAGAAAGTCATCTTGCTTTGTGTATTCTATCATGTATTCACTAATGCCATTAAGTTCAAACAGCAGCTAGCAATAAATTTGTAATATTTCATATAAACAAAAATGACATGAACCCAATGATGGTGTCAATTAATACAATAAAAGCAAAAAAGAACCATGCATATAAGGTTTGTGTGCTTTATATTTTCCAATAACTGATTTCTTGTGAAATATGTGCTTCCAACAAGAAAGCACTTCGTCCTGCATCATATTTCTTTTGTGTTCACTTTCTAAATGTACTTTATTTCAAAGCGTTCAAAAGGGAAACAACCAATACTTCCTGGAACACGTTGAGATGCCACACCGTTCCCTACATGGATGTATCCCATAACGGCCTTGCAGTCGAGTGGAAATATAGCATCTCTGTCGAGACATTATTTAACATGAAGGCGTTTTTCCGATTAACTATAGCTGGCATAAAATAAGAGCTTTTTGGAGGGTAGGAGCAGTTGTTTCTCCAAAGCGACTTTCTAAAACCGATTGGGGTCATCAACAAGGGAGAATCAAGGGGAGGGTAACGGGGGCCATGCCGCCCCCCCCCAAAAAAAAAAACCCTCTTTTTTTAAGTGACACCGCAATAAAGGCAGGTACTGAGTATACCACCAACTTTTCCTCCAAAAAAAAATTGGTTAAAGTGGTCCGAAATTGCCTCAGATCGCACCGAAGAGCATCTAGAATCCAACAATATTTCGGGGCCCCTTAAGCGGGCACCGAACCCCACGCCGTAATTTTTGGACCCACTTTTCGGGGGACCAAATTTTTGGGGGGCCCCCCAAAAAAATTGTGTTCTGGATCCGCCCTTGGTAATAAACTGCAGAGTGAACATGAATAAGAAGATGTGCACTTAAATTTTGTAACAGATAAAACTTAATTTTCAGTCTTCGTCTTGCTCCGTCTTGCCTTTTGGTGTAAATCATGCACTCTTTCCATTTCCACACACTTTCCATTTACATGCACGTGTTTGTAACATTCGAATTACAAACACGATTAATTAATGGGGATTTTGCAGTTGTTTATATTTGTCAGTTGCCGATTTCACTGTTTTTACCCCATGAAAGTTCATAAGGCAATTTTAAGAGGCACGTACGTTTGTTAAAGACGCAATTCCCCTGGAGCCGCTACTTGACGAGAAAATGTATTTCGTGCCAAGACACCCTAATTTCAACTCTGATTTGGATTTAAATTATGATCTTCTGAACAGACAACAAATTAAAAAAAAAATCTCAAAATGTTCTCCGGAAATTACATGGAAACTACAAAAAAAAGTAGCATCCAAACCAGTACTAAACTTACCATTCGTGCATTTTAATTGGCCATGAATGTAGCTGAGAAAATAGTGACTTAAAACTAAAACGCACAACGTACCGTGCGAACAATTTAACTATACCGGGACAACAGACAAATAATTAATGCTTTGTGTATGCTTAACAGTATGTCTCGGTACCTCTCCGTATTTAGGTCTGTTCAGAATATTGACTACAAACATGGGCGTTGTCAGACCATAGTACATGTACGGTGTATATCCAGAGAAGTCCCAATATGGACTCTGTGCACGAACAGTGCTTTTAGCTTCATGACCATATGGCCCAGTTAGAGAGACACTTCGCGTGAGCTTCAGGTACCGTCGGTAAAGCGTTGGAATGCCTTTCCCATTGGTTTCCCCCAACTCTCCCTTTGTAACCAACGAGGGGGTACTTGTGCACGGAAAAGGAACTTTTTTGTTGATTCTTCCAAAACCCGAACAACTAAAATAGACATAAATGTATAATTTTGATTACAGGGTTGTTTTTCGTGCTTCATCTACAACAATTATGTATTGGATTTTATGATTAGGCCTACTTTTCTTTTTTTTTCATCTGAAGTAAGTTTGATCGGGCAAAAATTCACATTTCTGCAGTATGAGTGGCTAAATTAACAAATATTCCCAGGTGTAGATTGTAGGCTTGTCCCTTGTTTACAACAACAAAAACTGATTTCGGTTGACTATGAACCAAGGCAATGCTCGCAGTACACACAGAAAATACACAGAGTAATTTTACACAATAAGGATATGGAACAAAATATTACACTAACTTTTACATTATACATGTCGAAACAAAGAGAGAAAAATCCCTCTCTACTGAAATTGTCCATTCGCAACCATTATAAGATGGAATTTTGCGTCGGGGTGATATAAATCAAATTAGGTTTTGCCCTTCACCGACGTTTTTAAACACTGTATACTCAGTGTGTTACTTCCCGAGTGAAAGTTGGAAAAAATCACTCGGGTGGGACTCGAACCCATGACCTCCTGCTTTCTAGTGCTGATGTCTTACCACTTGACCACCGAGCTAACGGGATCAGTTGGCCGGTTCGAATCTGATGTCATCAACGACATCAACGTAGGTGTATACATCTGAGTTTCATAAACATGTAGCATTCTTGTAAAATCGGTTCATTTTTCCTGAAATACAAAGGTAGATGTATCACGTGATTTAAACGTACAAAATAATTGATATTAAATGAATAGTATGGAAGGTATTACTGACAATAAAGGCGACTAAAAGTGGTGAATAAATGTTATTGTACACTTTAAAAGTAAACAAATATTCGCTACTTGTTTAGTAGTTCTTGTACATTGTATTCACACCATCACACACAAATCTGTTTCCATTTTTACAAACTGCTATACCTCATGTGTAGTTAACAAATGAAATCAAAAGTATTCAACAACATGTATCAACATTAGCCTTAATAAACAGTTCTTTATATTAACAGGAGAGATCCACAATATAGGACACCACCAAGATCTTACCTGGAAGAAACTGACTAGCTTTAATATGTTCTGTCGTCACCACTGTCCAATCCAAGGCTTGTGATTGCTAATCCGTGTCACAGAATATTCAGAAGAAAACGCAGCATTGCAAAGAAGTCACTCACTATTGTGATGTGAAATTACCATCTGTATGTTTTAAGTATTCAAGAACTGTATGATAATAACAGCGTTTGTTAAGTTTCAGGACGACTAGGCGTGGCGTGTCCTTAAGACACTGCATGACAATGATAATACATGTATAAGCTTTGATTGGATTGTTAGCGTGTTTTCCATACTGAGATTGGAATTGTACACCCACATGCAGCTATGTACAGAAATAGTCTGTCAAATGAAGAGTATATAAGAAGTAATTCAAGTTCCCTTCTTGTTCTGACTTAGAGTTGAGACCTGTGTCATGATAGAAGTCAAAATAATTTCTTATCATTTGTGGTAATCAAGGATTGTTCTGCCCAAATCCCTATCCGCCCAATCCACCAGGCATCCAACTCAACCATCAACCAGGTTTTCCACCCTTCAAATTAATTTACTCGCTGGATATGTTCACCTTCAAATCGCTGGTGCCATTATACCAGTGTTGGAGTACTCGTACTCGAGTTGCGTACACACCAGTACTCGGCCCGTACTCGACTATCGGTAATCGAAAATTATTTGGACCTGGCCCGTATTCGATTCTTTGTACTCGAGTTTTGCACGGACTCGATGGATGCACCCCTGCATTAAAGTTCCCATAGACATCAGTGCTAAATGCCCATACTTCAAAATTCTTTTTAAAATACTCAGAACTCTCACAGGTATTTAAGCTGCAAAGAAAAATGATGATCACCATGTCATCTTTCATTTTCTTTTAATTTTTTTGGTGGTTTGACGATTGAATTTTCGAGAAATGTTCACCCAAAGAAGACGACCCCTATTTTCCCAAAGCGGAAAAGTTGCCATCTTGAAAAAACGATCCCTCCACAACCTGGAAAAATAGCGCCACTTTCGAACCCAATTGCATCCAAAATGCTCAGAATTGGAAGCCCCAAGTCCGGGCCAGAGGTTCATTGCCATATCTCTTCAATTCCCCAATTGTATGGCCCCCTTTGGCCCCCCCCCCCCCCCTGGATCCGCCCTTGTACCCAGCTATCCCTGATTTCTCTCTCCTTTTTTAAGAAATGGTGAAAACAAAAAGTGCCAGTTCACTCATTGATTTGATGAATTGCTTTGTTGTTGTTGTTGTTGTTTTTACATTTTTTACACTAATAAAAGTTGTTTTGTGTTAAAGGGAAGATACAACATTTTCAAACATCAAAAAACGAAATGATCAAATTATTACGAAATACCTTACTATTATTGTTCGGGACTGACAGTCCAAATCATCCTTTAAAATCGTGACTCCTGGTGTGCTGACATTTTCAAGAAAAACTGTATTTTTCCAACGCTGGTCGGCCGACCAGCATTGGAGAAAATTTGCTTTTTTCAAAAACTGTTCCTAAGTTTTCATATTTAGTTATTCTGACTTTTCTTTGCAATTGATTACACACCTGTGAAGGGGTACAAGCCTGCTAGACTGATTCTCTGAGCCTACAATTCCCCAAGTGTATTAATTGCTCTGTTTCATTTTAAGTGGGGTCAGGGAACCCGACTACAAGAACATGATAGGTTTTCTTGGTTTTTCCAGCGTCTACAAGCCCAAAACGTGAAACAAGTCAGTTTAACAATATTTTCTATAACATACTAATCCTCCAAATCCATTTATTTCTGAAAATTACAGCAAAAGCAAATGTTGTACATTCCCTTTAACGACTTGGAAAAGAAGATTGGATTGCATGTTGTGTTTGTTTTTATTTAATTTAATTATTTATTTTTTTTGTACTCTTTTGGTATTGTACTCGGACTCGGACTAGGTACTCCGACTCGGCCCATGCAGTACTCGGCCTTGAATGTACTCGTTCCTTAGGCTCGGTGCTTTGGACTCGAACTCGTCACAGTATTCTTGGACTCGGCCCTGGACTCGGCCCCTAAAGTATTCGGAGTACTCTGTACTCAGATTTGAGGACTCGACTCCAACACTGGCCATTACGCCATCTGAGCAGACCATGAGCAGGGATTGAGGCTGACTGGCGACGCGTGTTACACTATTACAGAAACACTTATCTGGAATGTGTCTAATTTCAAGTTCGTCTTAAAACGCGTTTCTAATGAAAACAGATGGAAACATCGCTAAAAGAAGGTGCATATTAAACGTTCACATACACCTTGAAAATTGTGGTTTTCACGTAATTATCGCGCGAAGGAATTTCTGGGTACAAATTAATTGTGGTCCTCAAAAGTCGAGCACGTCAGAGCGCTAGTCGTTATTCCAGTCACATATGTTTTGCAAAACGTACACAAGAGACGCGTGAACGCTGGGACAGAAATTCTGAAACCAGAGTGACCCGATATACCTTAGTGAAATGTCACTCATGGTTGCCAACCTGTAAAGAGGCCCAAAATTGCCCAAATCCAAAACAATTTTGGTCTTGAGGGTTTGTAGCAAGTGATGTTGGTCCAAGGTCTGATCCGGAATTTAACTTAAATTGCTCTGCAGGTTGTACAAATGAGTGGATGGGACATGTTCAATATGGCGAAGGACGTCAGGACTGCTTTACAGGCACTGTCATCTTTAGTGGGAAAATTAGCCAAAGGTCATCGGTCAACCCCCAAAAAATGAACAGAAAATGAAAATGATATTAAGCATTATAGGTGGTGCACTTTACTGTAGATCGCACCTATTCCTCAATATTTTCAGAACTTGAAATTACGCGTGCTTTTCTACGTAACATAAGTGTAATTGATAGTACAAACAACGAGTACAAACATTTACATGTGCATATACTACTGCCATTCAACATTAATTGGTGCATTGTTCTTATTAATTACTTACGTGTATCTCGGTAGTGAGGATTCTCATATTAAATTATCAACTACTTGAACGTCAACTGAGTGTAAACGTATGTCCATAAACACACAAAAAAAAACACATTTAAACTTTACATACTTTCACATAATGATGTAGTAAACAGTTGTATTAATTTCTCAATAACTTGTTTGAATATTGATTCCTATACGAAGGTATTTTCGTTATTATACTCTCTTACCAGTTTATTAATGTTTCTTTCACTCAATAAACGTCCGTGATGTAATCTTCCCGAATTCAATTTGGTTGTCAACCAAGGTCAGCTAAAATTAGTCGTTGTCTACGATTGCAGGATTGGGCAACTCGGGTACATGTAGATTCAAACCTTGACGATTAGCATCAAAGTTACTGCTATCAGCATCCTTAACGCAACCCAGCAGCCAGTAGGTAGTCATGGTACCACGTCCCTGCCAACGATAAATTCAACTGTAATATTTCGTGTTTGCGGTTAGATTTTCAGTGAGACTTAATTACCGTCTTTTGAAAAATATTTCCACATGCAAATAACTCAGGCATTGGCGATTGCACAGGGACAAATGGGGCACCTCACCCTCACATATCTGATAAATTGATGTCTACCCCTCATTTTAATCCTTTCCCCATATTTTAATACTTCCATATATATCCGTATATGCACAACCTGTCTTCTCCCGTGCGGTAGGTGTATGGGACCATTAGTGACCACTAGATTTGCGGCTTGGAAAAAAAGTTGCTTGCCACATTTCATCTGGCACACTATGGGCTATGTACATCTCACATCAAAATGTTAAAATTTATTGTGTAAGTCTGGTGAAATTATCACACAAAATGGTTTCTCTTCACTTTGCCACCGATAAACCTAACCCAAAAATGCCTCTAAACCTGTTTTCCAGAAAGGGGAAACACTGTGGACTTCCCCACGTCCACACAACGTCGCCTCTACCTGGTTTATGTGGACCTCTTTTGTTCGGAAGTCCACACAGTGAATGTAATGCCTACCCATACATACACACAGAAGGAATACGCTATCGCAATATCCCCTTCCGGCTTACAGCCAGGGGATAAAAAAAAAAGAGAGAATAGTTTTACCTTGATGAGCATCTCTCCTCGCTTGGCCATGCAAAAACTGTTGATGATTGTTAAGATACGTGCGCAGTCCTCACTTACTTGGATACGATTCGCTAAGAAATGAAACATAATTATACATGTTAATGGTCAATATCGATTTGCCAAGCCTTTTTTGTCCAGATATATGGAAAAAGGTGTCTCTCATTACGGCGTTTCTGTGTTCTTCATCACAATAAAAGAACGAAGAATCCTATCAAGTGTGCTCAAAAGAAAAGGTTTTAACCCCATGCGCACGGGAAGCGGTCATGGCCGCGGCCGCTAATCCTCATTGGAATGCAGTTGCCAGCTGTGGTATGCTGTGGCACACGGCTAGTGGGTAGTTCCACAGCTGCTGCTTTTGTGCAGTCCCGCTACCACACAAAGGCTGCGCAGTCATGCGGGCCACTTGCTCTATGTGTGGAGGAATGTCCCCATTACACCCCGTCCTTAAGGGCTTCACGAGAACAAATAGCGGAACAATAGAATAGCATTACTTACGGAGTCCGTTGGATTCCATCTTGGCTGCAATATTGACTGTCTCGCCAAAGAGACAGTACCTGGGCATCTTGGAGCCGACAATGCCAGCAACCACAGGACCTGGCATGATCAGAAATATGAAGTTTGCATTAAACACAAAAGACCAACACGGACACACGGCACGGCAAACTCTATGCGAAACATAGGCCTACATGCATACGTATATATAGAGAATTCCACCAGGAATGCGGCATAGACTGAGTCGTAAGTCCATGAATTGTCCTCAGATTAGTAGCAACGGTCGAAACATTCGCGCAGGAACTGTTGCTCGGATTTGTATTTACACTGAGTTTTTGTCACAACTGTGCGCAGGGTTCAACGTCTCTACCTCGATTCCCTTTGCACTTTTCGGTACAGCGAAAGTGAGGATTTTATGCGTCGCAGAGTTCGGCATTCGACAGACATGGGCAAAGAATTTCAATTGTTGCCTTTCATCAAACACTTGAAAATCAGTTGCCTGGGTGATTTCGACGATCTGCTAGTTGGAGTAGACGAATCCCCAGTCGAGATCCTCCTCACCTTTTTCCTCTTCTTCGACCTCAAGCACAGGATCGGCTTTTTTGTTGTTTTTCTTGTTTTTGGCGTTTTTTGTGCTTCAACCCAGACTTCACCAATTTGCGCAACTGTGAGATGTAGAAATTGCTCATCATGGTCATTTCCCGGGCTGTCAGATTCCAAGTACAAAATGTGTATGTGAGTCTTGAGCGACAGAGGGAATCGAATATGGTGCATCTGGTCCTGACGTCAACTTCATTGTTCGTAACGAAGGACTTGTTCGCGTGGTAAGCTCCGAGGCAGGATTGTTTGCGGTAATCGAGCTTGTCTACACCTGTTTTTGGCAGGTTAAAACGAATGTTGGTTCCGAGATATTTGAACGTTTTAACATTCAGAGCGGGGACATTATCCACCACGATAATCGACTCAGGATAATCCAGGTCAGCGCCAAAGAAGTTGTGATTCATGACCATGGTTTCACTCTTTTCCAACGATAACACCAGTCCAAATTCCTTCAAAATCTTGCTCAAAATGACCGCAGCCGATTGAAGATCTTTTTGTGTACGTGAAAACACGCACAGATCATCAGCGTATCCAGCCCAATAAATTGTCTGGAACACACGGCTAGGGCAGTCCGATTTCCTCTTTCGATTCGGGTCTAACAGTACCAACAGACCCTAGTTTTAACAACTAAACGGATGTTTAGATGATTTTGGAATAGAATGTATTTAGAAATGCAAAAAAAAAAAATGTGACTTGATAGCCGGTTCTTACCTGTATGCATTCCAATGCGAAGAGTCATCTTGGTACCAGGTTTATGTGGGATGACCAACTCCTCGATGCACTTCTGCAAGTCCAATGCCATGCACGCTATCTCACTAGCATGCTTGTTGCCATTACGTTGTGGCAAACCTAGAATCAAAAGTGAACAGTTTTTTTAAGTGAACACATAAATTTACTGCGATTTATTGCAATAACACAATGACACTTTTCTTTTAATTATAAGTAAAACGTTGTGCATCTACAGTATCTCTTTTTTGGTGATCAAGGAATACGTATAATTATTTAGAGACAAGTAACGAAATCATTTATCAGCTTCAAATAATGATAGAAGAGCAGCTTTCCTCTCAGTATTTCAAAAGTTACTTAATTTAAGCAGGAACGTATGTCAAACTTCGAGCATATAAAAAAATAAAAATTTTATGACAACATTATAAGGAATTTTGATTGAATTATTTGAAGTGGTGTTTGAAAAAGCCAGGCGACAGGAGAGGTACTAATTAAACAGTAAGAGAACAATGCCATTCACAAGCTTCAGCAGAAGGATTACGGCACATTGTCCCAACCTACCTGATACTACCATGTAAGCGTCTCCAATGGTCTCCACCTTATACACATCGTACTTGTCTATGCGGCTGTCAAAGTTAGTGTACACATTGTTGAGCATCTCGACTACTTGCAAAGGGTTACTCTCCGAACAAATGCGGGTAAATGCTACGATATCAGAAAACAAAATTGTAGCCTCTGCGAAGTTTTCCGCTCTGACGTTCTGGTTGTGTTTTAGGCTGACAACCACTGACTTGGGTAGCATCTGATACAAAAGTGTATCAGTGCGTTTGCGTTCTTTATTGAGGGCTCTGGTCTGGTCGGCTAGAGTACGAGCATTCACTTGCATGTTGGCAGTCAGGGACTCCACGGCCTGCAAAAGAAATCAATAATGGCTAATTGATTTACGCTTTTGGGAATCATTCCGTCAAAATATCTAGACCCAAAGGCGTCGCTAGAGGGGGTGTCGGCAAAATCGTCTTCCTACCGACAAACTCGTGTGTATGTCGGAGAGTATGGCCAAGTTCGGGCAAGGACCATTAGTCGACTAGTGGTTGATTTGTGACGTACCTTACGCCTGCGCACTAATAGCAACGTGCGAACGTCTCTAGTCAAACGCTGGTAAAAATGTCATCCCAAACTTCTGGGTCCTGGCTCCCTGCTGTAAGTTTTGAAGCGTGCTGCTATTGGTTACCAGCGATGCAACCAACCCCAGTAGGTTGGTTTCAAATAGTCGACTAGCGTGGTCAACCATCGTCGACTAGACAGAGTTCGGGCTAACTTTAGTCGAACTGTGGTTAACCAATGGTCAACAAAAGTTCTTGCGCGAACTTGCCCTATGCTGCGACGAATAGCACCACCTTTGTCCGATATTGTCCATGATCGTCCAGTTTGAAGAGCGCCCCAAAAGTCAGATGGTGTCACTCCTAAAACGGCGAGAAAACTACAGAATTTGTGAATTTCGACTGAGATCTTCGTACTCTTTTGTATATTACCAATACACTGCTTGCGCTTCTGTCCCAGGTGCCTGCTTCTGCGCATGCGCGCATAATTTGAACTGGTCTTTGCTTCCTGCAAACAGGACGCTGGGATACTCTGATGAATTCACGCTCTGATTGGTTGGATTTTGCGTGACCAGTGACCTGCGCGTCGCGGTCATAGCTCTGCAAGGTTTGAAACGGCCGTTAAGACTGATTCATTACTCTTTTATTCCAGTTTAGCGATGTTTTTTTTTCCTTGAAATAGCGTAATGTAGGAAATTCTGTAAAACTTATCGTGTTGTAAATTTACAATTCCCGTCACTTGCTCAGGCTCCGTTTCGAATCACGAACGGTCGGATTGCATTACGCGACGCTCAAAAATTCGTCCCATGGTCCGCAATGAAACAGAAATCACATCCGGTATGGAATGTGCGCATTTCTATGGGAAGTTTTCGAATAGCATTTGCGCCATTGTCTAACTGCGGTCTTGAACAGCTGCTGCCAGATGCTTTATACATAGGTCATAGGCCACTTCCTTCACAAGATTCTGTGAAGCTCATCAGAGTATCCCAGGGCGGGGGTACGAGTGAAGTCTTTGCTTCGCATTGCAAGTGCAACTAGAGATCTCATTTGTCTGCTGTGCAGTTTTTCGATAGTGATTAGTGACGGTACATGCATAAGCGCAGCGTCTCACGGGGTGAATGTTTCGCTCACTCGATGTAAATGTGCTTAATTTTTCTTTTTCGAGTGGGTTCTCTGTGCACAATAAAATAAAGTATCGGGTAAGGCCTAAGCAAGAGATTGTCGGCGAACTGAAATGAACTGATGAAGTGCGAATGATTAGTCAGTCCATGACCTTATTGCATGACGTCGACTTTCAATCACTTTGACCTCGAGATTCTGACCATTCAGAGGCCGCCCTCTATATCGGGATTTCGATATCCCGTTTTGAAAGCCAATGTCGGGTTTTATTAGATCTCTATGCCCGTTGTTGTATTACAAAAACATGGCATCCAAATTGACCAATCAACAGCTTAGTCCAGATTTCGGAATGAAATGACGTCATGTCGACTCCGATTGACTGGCGCTCGGAATCGCATAAATTTGCATGCTTAGATATATCAGACGTTGCACCGGAGACAAAGAGGGCTCCATTAGACTAACTGTGGCCAAGTTCGAGCACGAAAATTGGTTCAGGGTCGATATCTCCTTACCAACGCGCATGCGCAATTAGGCCTACAGTCCTCTCGAACGTCCCTCGTAGTTCAGCCACTGAGCGGAGCCCTCCTAGTTCAGTTCATTTACGGCATATATATCATATTGGTTGGATTTACGTTTCTCTTGCCTTTTCTCCTTTTTGCACAAGCTTTTTCAACACACTGGTTTTCTGGCGGGAACCAGTCTCACTCACAGGGCACAAGTAAAAAGACAGTTCGGCATACAATATCAATGACGGGTCACCGATACAATTTCGGTGTATGAAGGACTTTTGTTTAAAGGATATATAGTATGTGTGTATGTGCTATGGTTTACCTTGATGATGATGACACACATAATAACAACAATGACCATGATGCATATGCTAACAGCCAGATCTGCATTGTCTGTGGTTACAGCACTGTTCAGCTTTGTTAAGATAACCTGAAACAGACAGTTACACAACAAAGTTAGATTGTAATCCCAATAAGTTTCTCTGAAAAGAAACGTAGAAGAAGGTCTACATAAGGAAGTGAAGCACTGCTTAGACCTTCAAGTGTTGAAGAAGGGGAGGAACTATAGTATTCAGGAAAAGGGGGTGTTGATATTTGAGTGAAGGCGTGTCGAACACGCCTGCTAATGGGGTCCGCAGGCACGTCCCCTCCCCGGGAAAAGTTTGAAATCTACGGTGCTTTTTCCTGCATTATAAGACAATTTGAAAATAATTTTTGGAACTTTAACATTTTAATCATTATTTTGGCCCCATTTAGTATCATAACATTTGTCAGTGGCTAAAATTTAAATTGATTAAAAAAGAGAACCAATTCAAAGTCATCTGGCAACGGATTACCTTACCTCGGCCATTCTCCTTTGGATATCCTTAAGTGTGTCGATGTAGATAGTCATGTTATCAAACCACCATGTACCCTCTTGCCAAGAGGGTTCCCGGGAAGCATTATTATACGAGATTTCTTCGCGCATGGTGTTGATTATTTCTTCGTAGTCATACTCGAACTCTTGCACCTTACCCTCGAGAATTTCTCGCACTAGCTCCGAGTACTTTTGGGAGGCCCAGATGTTGCTCTTGCCAACCTTCGATAATAAAAAAAAAAACACACGCGTGCGCTTCAATATACATGTAAATGTCATTTATTTGATACCTTCGGTCTCAAAAGTATTTCAAACATCACACTTTTCCATGTCCTACAAACAACTGTAAAGATCTGTACGGAAGCGAATTAAGGACATGGCTGGAAAAAAAATTGGGGCCACTTTTCCCTCCGGGCGAACTGCTATTTTGATGAATCACCAGATCGGAAGTCATGGAAAAACATTCAAAATGATGTCTTAAATTTGCTCGTTTTTTACAATTATAAACCATCATTGAATTATTTGTACGCATTGGTGACGATAACGCAACGTATCCTAATGCTATGACGTCATCAAACCGGAAGTTAGGTAGGCGTAATTTCTACACCCGTCCGTGTCATGTTTGTTTTCTACATGTAGTTCTTTACGCTATACAGTGTGTCTCAAAAATATGCAAACAAAATATAACGGAATGCCAGACGTAGAATGTGTAACCAACATAGATACTATAGGTATGGTTTGAAAGATACGCCTTTTTACTTTAAAATGAGACATCAAACGTCTAAATGTGATAATTTTTGACAGAGTTATGAGTAATTTTCCAAGAGAAGTTAAATTGACCATGGAACCAAGATATCAGTTTTAGGCATTAGGACAAAGGTTGCCTTCTTGCCTCTGTGTGGAAATTATTGCCTGACCTACAAAAAAAATGTGTTTAGCGAGTAAACACAATTTTAAACACTTTCATGCTATCAGTTTGTCTGTATCTCGTATGCGTATATCCGGTCGGAACCACATTGTAAATAATGATAATAATAATAATAATAATAACGGAGTCTTTTATTTACCGCACGTATCTACCAACGATTAGGTACTCAAGGCGCTGGAAATTATGTCAATTATTAAAGAAAGGTAAATAAAGTTTATGAGAAATATGAGACCCATTATGTAGCACCTTATAATGGTTTACAAGGTGCTGCGGCGCACATAGCAGCCACTGCCAGAAACACCGGGGCAAACCCCTTCTCTTAGCGATAAGTGTTACTGGGTTCTTTAACGTGCATTACACAACACACGGGACCTACGGCTTTACGTCCCATCCGAAGGACGAAGCAAAAATGGTAAAGTGCCTTGCTCAAGAGCACAAGCACCACCGTAACCATTGGACCACAGCGCTAAATCGACACTCGTTTGACCTTCCGGTTAAACCGGAAGGAAATGTCAAGCGACTTTGCCTTTGAAAATCAAATATGTTGATCAATGTCAACAAAGAATTAACATGATTTTTCGTTTTGTTCATAATCAGATAATAATCGAAAATCATGTTCTTAAAGTGTCACGGCTTTTGGCGGTACCCGCCATTTTCAGCCGGAAAATAATCACTCAAAATAAAGGACAAATAAAATTCAATTTCTCTTTCAAATGATCTTTACAAACAACCCACACAGTCTTATTCACAGGTACACAAATTCAAATACAAACTAGAGGTTCGCGTTTGTTGTTACAAACGGAGAGTGGTCGGGCACGCAATTTGTTAATTAAACACTGCCGAGTTGAGTTATGAATATGTTTTTGTAAGAACTTTCCAGTACAATCAATTATTTTGTTTAAAAAATGCATCTTTAACGGTGTGATAAATTTTAGTAAACATTCTATGTACACATACAAGTTATTTCTGGCTTAATGACGTCATTATTCAAAAACGGGAAGTGAATACTGATTTAGTTCGGAGTGGATAAATGTTCGTTGTGAAGTTAAATAACGTATGAAAATATGGAAAATATAACTGTATGTATTCATAACACCTATAACTCCGGTTTGATGACGTCACAGTATTCGGAAGCAAATAGGTTTTTTCTGAAGATATACGACATGAATCAAATGATAGAATTAAATTAAAAATATTATCGTTTTCAAATTCTCATAGAAGTAACTTCCGGTCTCATGACGTCATAAATTTGAAACCTTGCCAAATTATCTGTGGTTAATCAAAGAATATCAAGGGGCGATTTTGTGAAATTTTAACGGATGGTTTTTAAATTAAAGAAAGCAAACCCTATTTAATATGCCGCTAGGGGGCGCCCTTTCGAAAGATGACGTCATCACACTGTTTTGTGTCTGGCATTCCTCAAATAAACACTTTCATAATATATATGTGTGTAGTAAAATGCTTCCCCTTTTGAGTTATACTCGGTTTTTATTGCACTTCCGGTAACACCGGAAGTAAAGGTCAAGCGGTTTTGCGTCCGGGAAAAGAATTGTTCTGACAGCATAGTCTACAACCTCACGAAAAAACAAACACGATACTCCATTTAGTTCAAAAGATGTAACGCAAACTATTTTGTCAAAGTTTGCCCTGAAATCACTTGTAATTTGATCCCTGATGACGTCATGATGACGTAACAAAATCTATAGTATCTTCGTAGCCTGGTACAAGTTCACAATAGGTTTCTGGGTCATACCGTGAACGGTTTGGAAGAAATTCTGCTTTGTTTTGATTTCAGGCTAAAGTCTTCATTTTAAATTTACCTAACTTTGGCCTTCCGGTAGTCCCGGAAGTAAAGGTCAAACGAGTTCACGTACACGACAAAAAATGTTTATCAATTCATGGTCTATCCGATTACGGAATACCAACATCATTGGTTATTTTGTTCAAGAGTTATAGGTGAAAGTAATTGATCACTTTTTCAGCTGAAATCGCTTGTAATTTGACACCCGATGACGTCAGAGTAATATGCACCACTAGGGATAAGGATCGATATATATTGAAAGTTACAAGTTCATATCATGAACCGTTTAGGAGAAAAGCCGCGGCAAAGTATTGTACGGGAAAAAAATAAAGATTTATCAGAACAAAAACAGAGAGTGGCCGGGTTGTGCCCGACCACTCAACAAGTCTACAATCATAGTGAAATCGCTTGCAAAACCTGATGACTTCAAAATGACGTCACGGTAACTAGGTCCTCTGACTCCGGCAAGTTCATGCTATGAACGCTTCGAAGAAAGGTCGCATAGAAGATAATCATTGTCCAAATCACTCCCAAACGTAACATTAACAGCCCATATCAACCAAAAAGGTCACAAGTTCCCCCCAAAAGTCCCTAAATAGTAGCAAATTCATATTTATTACATTACAGATCTCCTTCTGATTACATTACAGGTCCAAAACTATATATACATTACGGATCACATTATGAGACCAAATTTACGGGTTGATATTAAATTACGCACCGTTTTTATTAACATTTCGGGTCGAATTATTGTCCAAATCGCTCACCCCCCCCCCCGAAAACAACAACAACAACAACAACTAGAGGTTCGCGTTTGTTGTTACAAACGCAGAGTGGTCGGGCAGACTTTTTTTTTTCAATAAACAATGCCGCGTTAAGTTATGAATATTTTTATGTAAGAAAAAAGGATCACGAAATTAAATCCTGTCAGGAACAACCAATTATTTTCTGGAAAAAATCAGCAAACATTCTATGTACACAAGTTATTTCTGGCTTGATGACGTCATTATTCAAAAACGGGAAGTGAATACTGATTTAGTTCGGAGCAGAGTTGTAATGACTCGAGTCAATGACTCGACTCGAGTCCGACTCGAGTCAAAATTTTTGGTGACTCGACTCGACTCGAGTCCCTATGGGTAAATGACTCGACTCGACTCGAGTCACTGCAAGCAAATGACTCGACTCGACTCGAGTCCATCATCAAAAGACTCGACTCGACTCGAGCGAAGGCTAATAAGACTCAAGTCCCAAAAATAAAAGCAACATTTTGCGAAAAGTATTTGCAATGACTTACGATGCGAATTTTATGTTCATTTACAAACATACAACGTGTCACAGACTCCCACATTATGGTTCTGGAACGCACAAAATACTATTCAGGAACCGGATTTATTTTCCAATTCGTTGTTTCATCATTGGCTTTGGGCGATTTCTTATAAAGCCTCTTGAATTCGAACGCCGGCTAAATTTATGCCCTCCTTTTATACATTTTGGTAAATAGTGTTAAAATATTCGTGACTCGAATTGACTCGAGCTAAATATTTGACTCGACTCGACTAGTCTCGACCTTCTTGACCTAATGACTCGACTCGACTCGAGTCACTTCTTTAAAATGACTGGACTCGACTCGAGTCACTTCTTTAAAATGACTCGACTCGACTCGATTCACACAAATCAGTGACTCGTTACAACTCTGGTTCGGAGTGGATAAATGTTCATTGTGAAGTTTAAATGACGTATGAAAGTATGGAAAATATACGTATATTTATTCATAACAACTAACTTCCGGTTTGATGACGTCACAGTATATGGCAGCAAAAAGTGAACATTGTAATGGATATCGTAACTTGGGCTACAAAGATATACGACATGAATCGAATCTTAGAATATGGTCGTTTTCAAATTCTCACAGAAGTAACTTCCAGTCTGATGACGTCATGAATTTGAAACCTTGCCAAGTTATTTTTAGTTAATCAAAGAGTATCAAGGAGCGATTTGGTAAAATTTGAACGGATGGTTTTCAGATTAGAAAGAGCAAACACTGTTTTATGTGCCGCTAGGGGGCGTCCTTTCGAAAGATGACGTCATCACACTTTTTTTGTCAGGCATTCCTCACTAAACACTATCATAATTTATATGTGTGTAGTAAAATGTTTCAGCTTTTGAATTACATTCGGTTTTCATTGCACTTCCGGTAATACCGGAAGTAAAGGTCAAGTGGTTTTGTGTCCGGGAACAAGAAATGTTTCTCACGGCATAGTCTACAACCTCACGAAAAAACGAACACGATACTCTATTTAGTTCAAAAGATATCGCGCAAACTATTTTGTCAAAATTTGCCCTGAAATTGCTTGTTATTTGATCCCTGATGACGTCATGATGACGTAACAAAATTTATAACATCTTCGTAACATGGTTCAAGTTCACTTTAGGTTTCTTTGTCCTACCGTAAACCGTTTGGAAGAAATTCTGCTTTGTTTTGATTTCAGGCTAAAAGTCTTCATTTTAAATTCACCTAACTTTGACCTTCCGGTAGACCCGGAAGTTAAGGTTAAGCCAGCTCACGTACACGACAATTTTTTTATCAATTCATGGTCTATCCGATTACGGAATAGAAACATCATTCAATATTTTGTTCAAGAGTTATAAGTGAAAGTAATCGATCACTTTTTTTCAGCTGAAATCGCTTGTTATTTGATACCTGATGACGTCATCATGACGTCAGAGTAATATGCACCACTAAAGATGAGGGTCGATATATTGAAAGTTACAAGTTTATATCATGAACCGTTTAGGAGGAAAGCCGCGGAGAAGTATCAGAACAAAAACAGAGAGTGGTCGGGTTGCGCCCGACCACTCAATAATAATGTTACTCGTAAAGCCGCCCTCAGGTCGACCTTGCGACGACACATAACAGTCGGCGGCTGACTTGTCATATCAAGCTGTGCCTCAGCTAGCTACTCAGCTGGTATGGAGCTTTCCCCACAAGAGGTGCGGCGACGCGGTTTTTTTCCCCCGAACTTTTTGTTTCTTCAAATCTTGGCTGATGTTGCATATGACGCTCCGATCCCCTTAAAACTCTCAATTCAAAAAAAATCCTTCAGAATGGAGCTTGAGATAGACCATAAGGCTTGAGAATTCCTCAACCACTTACGATCGCGACCGACACGAACATTCTTTGGGAAATTTGGATAGTCAAGACCAAAATCAGAGAAAACAGTAACCATGTCGGGCACCAGCCCTAAATCTGGCGACGTCGCTACTACACAATGGCGGATCCGGGGGGGGGGCCAAAGGGGGCCATGCCCCCCCCCCCCCAAAAAAGAAACCAATTTTTTTTTTATGCGACATCGCAATAAAGGCAGGCAATGAGTACACCACCATCTTTTCCTCAAAAAAACATTGGTTAAAGTGGTCAGAAATTGCCTCAGATCGCACCACAGAGCATCTAGAATCCAAAACATTTTCGGGGCCCTTAAGCGGCCCCGAACCCCATTTATGCAGGCATAATGCAGCCTTATTTTCCTGCATTTTTTTTTAATCTGGCTCTAAATATTAGGGAACATTTAACTACAAATCGTCACCGACACCACGAAGTAACACCCATCTACATACCAGTAAAAACTAGCAATCGGAGAAAACGGCAACTAAAGTTGAACGCCTTCTAGAACAACACTTTGCGTCAAAACTACAGAGTATTTTCAGTTGGGTTTCTCGTTGTGGACACTTGATGAACTGAATTTATTAAATCTGCTGTTTTCACCCGTTTGTGTATTAAATAAATAAGAAATAATAGAAAAAAGATGAGTGTTGGTTCGTGAAACCGAAAAGGCTGCGAAACTGAAAATTTTCGTTTTCACGAAGTAACACGTCTTCAATGTATTCAACACGAGGAAAATGCAACTTCAGGTCAGCGCGCGCGCTCATACAACTTATTACAAGACTAGTGTTACTTCGTGAAAACATTTTTGCTCACTTATGAGCAGAGTGCGCGCCATGCATTGCAATGGTAAATGGAACTTGAGTGTTACTTCGTGAAAACGAAAATCGTCACTTTTGCGCAAAAGTTGCCATGGATACTTAGCGTAATTATTAAAGTAAAGCTCTTGAAGCTTTGAAACTTCGTGCAATGGTAGGCCTTGTGAATAATGTTTAAAAATCAAAAAAACTGAAAATCGAAAAAAAATATGGTTTAACACGGTAGAGTGTTACTTCGTGGTGTCGGTGACGAAATTTGAAATTATTCATTGAAGCAGATCGACTGGAATCAATTAGTAATTCGCTTTCATTTCTCCACACAAGTTCCAGAAATCAAGATTTTACCTCACTTTCAATCCAATGTGGCCGACTCAGGCTGAATATGTGGCCGAATAAGGCCCATGGGAGACTTTGAGACGTTGGGGACAGCAAACACCGGTCCTTTTCGTTTACGTCATGTTTAAGATAAAGCGCGCATGCTCAATAATGACGCGAAAATGTTTCGCTCGTACCACCGCCCCAGGCCCAAACAGGACGCTGGGATACTCTGATGAGCTTCACAGAATCTTGTGAAGGAATTGGCCTTTGACCTACGTATAAAGCATCTGGCTGCAGCTGTTCAAGACCGCAGTTAGACAATGTGCGCAAATGCTATCCGAAAACTTCCCATAGAAATGCACACGTTCCATACCGGATGTGATTTCTGTTTCATTGCGGACCATGTGGACAAAATTTTGAGCGTCGCATAATGCAATCCGACCGTTCGTGATACGAAACGGAGCCTGAGCAAGTGACGGGTATTTGTAAATTTACAACAAAGATAAGTTTAACAGAATTCCCTACATCTCTAAACTAGAAAAAAAGGAGTAATGAATCAGTCTTAAAGGGACACTGGGTCCTGGAACAGCCCAATTGGGCTACAAAACGCGCTTTGAACGAGATGATGATAATCGGAAATAACTTTTAAAAGTAGGATATAAACATCCACACAACTATCCTTTCAAAACTGGGCGTTCCTGTATTATGCGTGCGAGAACGAATTTCGGGGTCCACTTTTGCGACCCCATAAATTCGAGCTGTTTGGATACTAGTTGTGATTTCATTCGTACGCGTAAAGTGTTCGCCTTTTGTGGACGTTGAAGAAACCACAATTTTTTGCATTGGTGATTGGTCACCGCGCGCTGTTCCCGAGACACACAACGTGAATAGCATACATGAGAACGACACGAAAAACGTATTCGTACTCCGTCATGTCCGATGTAAACAAGCGGGTTTTTTTTTTCGTCTTTTCTCGGGAACGGTAAGACATTAGGTTGGTTTCCTTTCAACCAGATGTTTGAAATAGGCTAAGTAAACAATCCAAAACATAACATTTTCGGGGATTTCAGGACCTAGTGCCCCTTTAACCGGCCGTTTCAAACCTTGCAGAGTCATGACCATGATGACGCGCCGGTCACAGGTCACGCAAAATCCAAGCAATCAGAGCGTGAATTCATCAGAGTATCCCAGCGTCCTGTTTGCAGGGCGGGTTTTTTTTATTATATGTCTAGGGGGGGTACGAGCGAACGAAAATGTGTTTGCTGCCACCAACGTCTATAAAGTCTCCCATTAAACGGACAACTTCGGCGCACGACGCACACGACAGGCGACGCACGACGCACAACGGGAGACGGGCGACGCCATAGATATCGACTGAATAAAATCAGATATTGGCGACGCATGATTGGCGACGCGCGACGTTTAGAATATGCAATTCCATAATTTGGTCAAATTTTAAATGGGACTTTCATGTAGCACAAAACAAATGGCGTTGGGGAACGAAATCATAAAGTTTCTTTCCATGGAATTTAAATGATACAAGTGTTTAGGTATTAACTGGGAAAACCTACACTGTACATGTTTTACATAATCCCAAGGACCGACACACAAGGGTGTCCTCCGGAGTTGGGTCTTTTGTTTGAAACGGTCCTCGGTAGTAAGTTTGTGTGCTAAATTCTATGGGAGTGTTATAATTACAGGGACAAAGGGAAACAAAAAATATTGTCCTCGAGAGTATAGGAAAACAAGAGAATCTGCAAAAACTGTGTTTAGCTATTAAACACTTTTCTAAACTCTTTCTAGCTATCAGTTTGGAAACATGTTTCAATACTAGGCCCCTTAACATGTTTAGAGTGAGGATGGATAGTGTTTAGCCATTGAACAGTGATGTTTAGGAATTTGATACATCATTTTAGCTTCTAAACATGTTTACAAAGTGATAGCAGATTGTGTGTAATTGCTAAACACAGTTTTTCGAGTGTATATTAATCATAATACCTGCATTTTTTCCATGTACCAACGGTAATCGGTTGGTTTATCGAAGCCACCTTGGGTGTAGAACACCGCCCCCAATGTTCGTTCAATGCCAGTCTGTTCCATTCCGACAATGAGTAGTTGGTAAGCTACCAAGGTTTCCCATAATCCCTGACCACCGGATTTCCCAACACTCTCATACAACCAGTCGATGAACAGTTGAATCGCATCAGTGTAGAAGTGGATCACCTAGAAGAAGAAACAAATCCCACTAGATGCTACCAACGGTCATAATTCAAACTGAATACATTTCAGAAATCTTAATGCCTCGGAAAATGCACCGTGACTGACAGGATATATTTGTGAATGAAGCATGTATGCCAACTCCCACCCCGTCCCGTTCGTTTGTGTCCATATCATAACTCAAATTGCACTATATCTTTAGCCATCTGTATCTCCAGAATTTCGAACTAAGATGTTTTGTCCTAAAATTGAAATTATTATCATAAGAAATTAGCTCGATTGCAAATGAAAAAGAAAAATTTACATTTGCAGCATGAGGTCAAGCAAATAGGCTGCAAATGTTTTTTCCACCAAAAAGACGAACTTCAGCCATTGTGCACATGAAATATAAGGATGTGATCTCAAGGGGTTGAGACGGGATAAACAAATAAATTTATTTGAATTGGAAGAAGCATTAAAAAGTAGGATATAAACGTCCACACAACAATCCTCTAAACACTGGGCGTTCTCGGGTTATTCTCACGAGAACCATTCGAGAACGAATTTCGAGGGTCACAATAATTTTGTTCCCGAAAATGGAGCCGTTGTGGCTATATAGTTGTGAATCCAGCAGCAGCACAGTGATTCGCATTCTGCGGACGTGTAAGAAACAACATTTTGTGCTGTTTGTATTATATGTGACACAACAACGTGTTTGGTACATTAAATGGAGATGGCTTAAAAATACGTATGCTTATGCCACAAAACGTCCGCCGCGTCCGATGTAAACAACCGGGAGTTTTCGTGACATTAGGTTAGTTTCCTTGCAACCAGACCTTAGGACAGTCCCAAGTGAACAATTCAAAACACAACATTTTCGGGGATTTCAGGCCGTAATGCCCCTTTAAGTTATCACGATCAGAAGCGGTGGGTCATACCAAAGATGGCGGCGAGCGTGTCACTACATGCGTGTTTGAATATTGATCTCGCCGTTTTTCAAGACATCTGAAATGAGGACAAATTCATCATTATTTTGGTAAGCCCTATTATAAATTGTATAAATCATCAAACGCTCAGGAATACAATGACGTTGGCCTTTATAAAAGTGTTCAGTGATATTTATTTCGGGGATATTTGGAATCAAGCTGAACCGTTTGATTCCAAAACGTTCAAGTGGTATTACGGGGTATTATTAAATAAATTGTTTACTTATCTATTTCAAAGGTTCGTTTGAAAGGAAACAAACCTAATGTCTTACCGTTCCCGATAAAAGACGACAAAACCGGTTGTTTCGTACGTAATTCCACTAGCGTCAATCAGGTGGGGACGGCGGGGACATTCCCCCTCCCCCACTGTTTAAAGCGGGGGATATCATATCGTCCAGCCCCACCCACACACACACCCAGACTTACGTTACATACCTTGTGTGGACATTGCTTTGTTTTCGTGTAGTTAAGAAAACTCGGTACAAAAAAATAACTTTACTTAAACTGTGAAAACTCTTTTAACCCAATATTTTTTCTATGATTCCCTATAGTGTTTCTCTTCATTCTGCTACAGATAAACCTAACCCAAAAATGCCTCTAAACCTGTTTTCCAGAAAGGGCAAAACCTTATGTGGACACGGCTTAGTCCACATAACGTTCACACAACCTGCATTATGTGGACATCTCTTGTTCACAAGTCCACATAGGGAATGTAAGACAAACTCACACCCCCACGCAGCTAAACAAACACACACTTTTTTCGTGCCCTAATAAAAATGGTAGCCTACATTTGATTATATAACTCAGGATAGCTGATTCAATGACTCCAACTCGAAAAAGATATTTAAACGATGATCTTTTGCTTAAAAAAATTGGATGAAGTAATCATACCTCAGATCGCAGCACAAAACGTCTAGAATCCATTTTTTTTCGGGGCCCTTAAAGCGGGCCTAAACCCTCGCCGTTAATGCTTCACGCTTGCATTACTTCTGATCACGGTATGCCCCCCCCCCCACCACACTTTTGAGAAGTGATTGACGCCTTTGCGTATTTCAAGTCGCGTTTATATAACACCCAAGTAAATCCTTGTCATTTGATTGGCATTCATTAATCGAACTATTGCATGGCCTACGTCATAACCGTGCATTTTTGGTTCCATTCACCGTGCATTTTCGTCCCATCCCTTTTGATCTATTGCACGCAGCGTGCATAGCCGCTGCACGCTAGACGCGGCAGGCCCGTCGCTATGATCTTTGCGCTATTTAGACCATACCATGCGTTATAGCAATAGAGCTCTACAAACCTGCCTTTGAAGTTGATGCAGTTGCCTTGATAATTCCTTTGCATTATTTAAGAACTTACAATGTTAATTTTCATTATCGTCAATGATTTGACTTTAAACCTTTGCCAGTCTGAACAAGCTGAAATAGGTAGTGGATATGATACAATAATATTTTGTGAGGTTTGTTTGTTCTTACAAGTTTTATCATTCAATCAAAAACAAATAATGAATGTTTTGCATTCATGCCATGGTTCGCCTCGTTGAAAGGAACATTCAATCTTTCAACTCATGAAAATATTCTCACCATTGCACTCATAAACATTCATTATTTGTATATTAAATGCTCTTTCTATTTTATATCATTTCTTTTAAAACGTTTTGCAGCCCAATCGGGCACATTCCAGGCTGTAATTTCCTTTAACTGCATCATGTGCATGTGTATAAGTAGGGCTGGGCTGTAATGGCGACAATAATAAGACCCATGTTAAAAGAGACCCATATACAGCCCTGTTTGTAGTGCTAGCTTATTTCAGGAATGGTTATACCTTAGCCGAGAAGTAGTCACATAGAAACAGTAACAACGTATCCAAAATGATGTGCAATTATAAGAATTGTCCCATGCATCCCTTATTTTGTTAACCTTTTGAATGATAGCGGTTATAAGTCTTAGCTCCTTGCTTTTACATGTACTGTAATTTGACATTTGTATGTATGTTTTAAGGTAAACGTTTAGGTCAATTTGCATCTCTTGGTTTGTTTTATTGTACGCATTGTGGCAATTTATCCCCTGGCTATAAACACAATGTTTTAATAAACCAGAATAATAATAATAATAATAAAAATAAAATAACTCTTTCCCATAGACTTGTGCACAAACCTAAACTGTCACCTAACCCAAGTTTACCTTATGTTTTTTCCCACGAAATTTAGTATTTATACTAATTGGACCATGAGGAATCGATCTAGATGGTTAGCGACGGCAAAATTCCTTGTCCTAAGGGTCGTTTTCATAAAAGGGCGACAGTTATTTTGTCGCCTCAATAAGGTGTATCGCCCTGTTGTGGACGGAGTTCGCAAAACCTGTCGCCCTATTACAGTAATAGTAGTAATATGAAATGTGAGAAAAAAGTTTGAAAACTAGAAACAATACCTCATAGATAGTAGTGTTGTGGATATCTAGAGTCAGACGATACTCGAACAAGAATGACATAAATGCCTCCTTATTTTGAAATTGCTGGTAAGCCACAGTCCCTGCAACAGGCCAGTCGTCTAGGTTCTCAAGTACTTCGTCGGTGATGGGATATGTGTTGATCAGGAATATCTTACGCTGGGGACCGGTTGTCCTCTGCTGCATCAAAGAACTGATGTACAAGGCCGTCATGTCCCGCTCTAGCTGGAGACTATGAACAAGGGTACCAACCTAAATATGAAATGAATGAGAGACTTAATGATTAAATGAGAGTTCTAGGATATTCTAAAGGCAGGGGCGTAGCAAGGTCATTTTTATTGGGGGGGTAACAATTTCTTGAAAAGGGCACTTGCACATCCGTGCTGAAATGTAGACTCGGTGTTTTTTTCTCCGGACACTTGACCTCCGTAAAATCAAATCAAATAGAGGGGGCTCTGTTTAAAACCGACGATTTATGCACACTGACGGACAATATGGCGCTTTTCAGGGCGATACATGCGCGAAATAAAAAAAGGCACTCGTAACGGCCGCTTGCACAAAACGGCACGACTTCTTGTTTTTAAAAGGGCACTTGTTCAGAAAAAAAGGGCACTTGTTAACAAAAGAAGGGCACTCTTCACAAATATTGGGGGAGATTGTAAAATAAGAGGGAAGTTGATAAGATAGGCTTTTAGGACCTGATATTCAGAAATTGTTGGACACACACATTTTTGGGTTAAATTGTTTTTCGGTGTGCAAGTTTGAACATCACGGATTTTGGGGGCACCTTTTGACAGAATGGAGACAGCTGTAAAGGTGTTAACGGAGTTTGGCAGTATCATCACGCAACGCCCCGGCCTCTCCAGAATAACGGCAGCTGGTACAAGGCCGGGTGTTTATTCTAATATTTGTTGCAAACATTTAAGACAAAAGAATGTCACAGAGATAACAAGGACACATATAAAATCCACGACCATACATGCATCTTACCTGCCTACTGAATCGTACATTACGTCTTATCTCGATAGCATCGATACTTTTAGTCAAGGTTGCAATCAAATCCGAGATAGCCAGTGCAGTCAGCACAACGATAGGCATGAGTGTCAAAGTCAGCATCTTGATCATCTGTTTCCTCTTGCCAACTGGTGTCAGTGGAGTAGCAGAGCACAAGGTACTCTTGGTATCCTGGATTGCTTCTCGTATGGATTCATCCACCTGACTCATAGAACCAAGGCTTGATGCAAGGTTGTTGGTGCGAGTATCCACCAGACTATCGTCAGAAAGACCTCTCTCTAAAGCCATATTGACTTGATAGAGCAACGTTTTCTTTAATTCATCATTGTACCTGTCATAAGGTTGATATTTAGACGACAATTACAAGGGTATAACAGTAACTTTCTAGTATAAACTGCAGGCAAATATGACAGCAAATTGTAATATCAGACTTTGGTTCTCAATTTTGTATTCATTTGTTTGTTGCCTTGAATAAGGGTGGGTACAGTTTGTTGGCAACCAAATTTAGTTTACTGCAGGTTACTTAAAAGTAACTAACAAGATTTCAAGTCTGTTGATATCACACCTTTTTTTGTAGAAAACTGCCAAAATGCGTCTTAACTTTTCTCGATGCAAAGCGAGATTTTCCATTGAAAGCCCTCCCTTCCTAAATGTTCATTTATACGTTTTGACTTGCAGCCGCTTGTGGTATGATCCTAGTTTGTCACTTGTGAAAATAATTCTCATACACGGATATGTAACCGGTTGCAAACTAAACTAAATCCGACACTTTGGGTAGCATTTGTTGACAAAAAAAGTTATTTCGCGGTGGTTTGGTCCTCACTCCTATATTAGAGGAAATGATTGTAATCTCTTTTATTTTCGGATGGAAATGTTATCGTTATGGTCATGAATGTGTGCCTTCAGCGCTGTTTCCTGTGAGATCTCCTTAGTCCCTGGTCCAATCACATTCGTCCCTGTACGGGTAGGGTACAGACGACCATTCAAAGTCATTTTGTTTTTCATTTTGTTCGTTTTCATATAACACCACTCAAAATTAGCAAAAAAAATGTTCAAAACTTATATAACCTGACGTTTCAGTCGTTATGATACCTTTCGAAAAAATTGTGATAAACCATGCACAACGACAATTTCGTCAATAGCACTTTTTACTCACAAAAAAAGTCGATTGACTGATCGTTCGAAATCACCTATACACTATCAATCATACGGAAGCCCGTTCGTGCCAGGTTTTAAAAGTGAACACAAACATTTCAATAACGCAATAGTTTTGCGCAATAACGCAACAGTAACATAAGCCAATGGTTTTGCGAAATAACGCAATACTTTCGTGTACTAACTTCACCCCGGGTGTTCGGTTTGGCATTTATATTTTGATTAAATATTCTTTAAATCCTGCCCGACATTGCATTTCAATCCAAATTTGGTAAAAACAGAATTGTTGAGCCCCCCCCCCCCCCCCCAAAAAAAACACCAAATCCTGGGTGCGCCACTGTTTCAATCCATTGTGCTCTTTTCGTGGTACGATTTTGCTTGAAAGGGGGACGGGGGTGCTGAAAACAAGTAGGCCTATGTTTGATCTGTGAAGACGTTGACAAAATACAAATTTCTGAGGCATTTTTGCCGGGGGGACACATTTTAAGGGATTTATTTTATCTTTTCACCCCCCCCCCCTATTGAATCGTGTGCGTTCTGATATTTTCTAACAGCGGTCGACTCAAAATGGCCGCAAAGCACAAACGCGTTCTGACAGAAGAGAACTGAATGACTTCCTCGCAACTACACTGCATATAATTTTGAGCAATTTTACCCATGCAGTTGAAGGAAACCAACTTAAGAGCGTAAATATCACGCGAGTATAATGGTGCGTCCACAGTGCACTCGTATTGTAACAAAAGGTTACGTAACACTTTATTTGGAATGAAACTACATGCACACAGACATGTTCACACAGGCGGGCGATATTTTTGAAATTGAATTTCTCCCGTTTGGAAGAGCTTATCTTCATGAAACTTTTTGGGTTTATTTCCCTTATTATGATCCAAGGATGTGCTAAAAATCGTTGTGATTTTCGTTTAACTTGGAAAAATAGGCCATGGCGGGTGCATACCTATGTTCCCCAATACCGATGTTCCCCAATCCAAACCCTAACTTACCCTAACCCTAAACCTAGGATTTCGGGGAACATCGGTATTGGGGAACATTAGGCTATCAGCTTCGGTCCAAAAATTGGGCCACCGGGATCGAAAAGAGCAATGTTCATAGCGATTTTGGCAAGGTATACACATCTAGAATTGGAAAGTGTGATGGCTTTTTAATGTAAGCGGTGGCAGTCTTTGGGTGTTATCACTTTTAATTATTTTTTTTAAATGGCCGCTAATATGCTTGAATCATTATCATAATCTACATGTCTGGAAAGTTTTATAAAATTCGGCGGACCAGATCGCGTATCTCGAAAACTAAAGCGTTTTGGGCCTCTCGTCCCACGGACTAAGTAGGGCTGCAGTCTCAGTGGAGGGAGGACATGGTACCAGCTCCATCTTTAATCCAAGTAAGCTTTTTGATAATTTGGAGTTAAATGCAAAGGATCCTATATGTACAGTCCATCATTTGCAGCTATCTAAAAAGTAACTGACGTTATTATTGTTGAAAATCATACTTGGTTTAAAGATAATAATGAGACTAAATTATTCTACTCTGGCAAGCATTCATTTTGAAGAAACAGACAACATAATGGTTTTCAGGGCGGTACAGGCACCCTTACCGATCACCTTTAACAAAAAAGGACACGACTTTTTCTTAAAAAAGGGCACTTGTTAAAAAAACGAAGGGCGCTCTTTACAAATACTGGGGGGTTAAAGGCTGTTGAAAAAGAGGGCATTTGAATGGAAAAGGGTACCCACTGTCTTTACAAAATATTGGGGGTGGTTTTGGTAAATACCCCCTCAACCCCCCCCCCCCCCCCCCCCACCCCCCTCGCTGGCTACGCCTATGTGTCCGACTCATTGTGTCCCACGGCCGATTATGTCCGACCCATTGTGACGAGTCTGTATCAGGGAAAGACGTCTGTCCATAGTGAGCAATAAAAGGAAAGACGTATAAATATCTCAGTATTCTATCTTTCCGGGATAATTTATGACACTTCCGTAGACAGTCTCTTAGTCCGACTTGATTAATTTGTAAGAATAACCCTTCATTGCGTATGTATTTATTCGCAAAGAATATGCAACATTATTGACATGTATACACTATGCGCTGCATAATACGATCCTACTCGATGGTTAATGGACGTAATGTTTTATGCGCTGGAAAGTTGTGTCCACATTATGTAGGAATCTGAGAAAACTCAGAATTTGCCATTAACAAAATGGGAAGTCAAAACAATGGGGTTCTCGGTTGAGGTTTTCGGACAAAAAATTAATTGTACAACAACATGTTACGTAAATTTCAGGATTAATTTCGAACAAGCAGAGAGAGACAGTGTCCCTTTAGTGTTCCTTTTAAATTGCACTTTTGTACCCAAAGAATGGGGTGGTCGTGGCATCGAGATATTTATGAAACTGATTCAATTCGTTATGAGCCCACTACACCACAAACAAGAAAAGCAAACAATAGACACAGGAGCATCAAAACAACATCATCTCGAAATACACAGCAGTTTCTGAGCAACATCAGTATAGAGCACTTACTTTGAGAAGATCCTTTGTCGTGGAAGAACTCTTTACGAATGACAGGCTGAAGTATTATGGTAACTCGTAGCAGGATTTTAATGAGTTGTATGGTGTCAGCCATGTCCACACTAATGAGGACGCTATGGTTTCACGTAATGGCTTCACGTTTACCCCCCAGCAAGATATAACCTGATCCAAATTATAATGACGTCGAATTATCCAATATCCAACGGGTTACACGAGTACAGATGCACGTTATATTTACAAACTTATTTTAAATTTCAAATGTAGCAATTTTATATGAAATCGAGACAGAATATGTCTCATGCATTTTTTCCCATGCAATTGCGGGAATTAGATGCGTTCTTTAAAGGATTCATGAAATAATTTTACACTTGAACATATTTTAGCAAATATCTATTCCTCTAAAATGTATACAACTATGAGGCATCTTTGGTAAAAACAAAAAAAAAGATTGACAAAGTGCACTGTTTTAAACATTTAAAATGTTTCATGCTTTTCCTGACAACTGAGGGCGCTGTTGCTGTGATGTCACTTTAGGAACACACTCTTTTGTACTCAAATTGTTAATCCACAATTTTGCTTATTTAAAAACATTTGTGCATACAAAAATTTACTCATTGTGGTGACTTTTTATGCTGAAGTAGATGTAAAAATTGTCGCTTCTGCTTTGAATGACATCACAGTTTTGCTCGTGAATATGGACATTTGTATTAGCATAACAACCAAAAAAGGTACCAAAACGCTCTTAAAATGGCAACATGAAAATTCAAAACCAAATACAGGATGAGTAAAAAAAAAGCGGAACTCAAACCCAACAAATTGTATTTCATTTTTAAAAGAATATGTATCAAACATAATAAGCCAATTTCATAAGCTACTTTTAGATGAAAACATTACTGCAATTGCTCAATCCGTTCAAAAAATATCACCACTTAAACACAATCCAAAAAATGCGATTTCAAGAATCGTCGTCACAATTGTCTTCAAACATCACCAGCGATAAAACCTCAGTTTAAAAAGCTCAAAATATTCAACAAAGTCCTTTGGAACCCTGTCTTTAAAAAAAAAGTGGATTTTCTGAATCATATTGTTCGCCTGCAGGGTTGTTTATAAAAAATATTGTGTACTACTGTTGTTGACAGTTGTGTCATTTTCTTTGTTATTCTAAACCTGATTGCCAAAACTGGGACAAAGCCACTATCAACCCTCGTCCAGCCAAGCTCAGTGAGCGGATCCGGATCGATGGGTAAGGCAATTCACTAGTCTGGTTCCCCGACCTGACAATTTCCCCCGACGTCTACACGTCTAAATTGTAGGTCAGGCAGCCACCGTGGCTAAACAAAACCATGACGACATTGACGGCCCTTTTTCAAAGCTCGACTTCGTTTCCGAATTCGCTTTATCACATAAAGCTTTTAATGTTCCGATATTTTTTTAATAATAAATCACTTGCTTCATATATCATACAATTATGATATACAGTTTAATACTTCTGTAAAAAAACATTGACTAATTTTAACCTGGAATCTTCAAGTTGGACACCCAAACAGCACTGTTAGCACGCGGAGCCGAGTTGAGACCACGCCGCGTTTTGGAAAATGCCGGTAACGGTCGTCAAATTCAAACTAGTGCATGACGCAGCAAAAAGTTCGCCCCTCGTATACGATCCGAGTGCAAAATCGTCGTTGAATTTCAATATAGGTCTGATTTATAATACCTGAAATGCTTCCGTGTGTCTTGCAAGAGGGTGGCTAAAAAAGAGCGCACCTATTTTTCCCTTCAATTTCCGGTATGATGAGCACAAGATAATTTAAAAAAAAAAGACATTTTCATTTAATTTTGCTTGAATTCTTTATGTTGAAATTATTTTCGGTTTTCATATTTTAATGTTGGATGTGAAGAACATCTTTATATACTGCCCGCGCTACTTTTACGCTTCCCTCTACGAAATCTATTTTCAGCCTGGTAAAAGTCATACAACAAATTATTCATGTTTGAATGCGTCATCTCAAGCCAAAGTTCAGCGATTATTGCTGATTGACTTGACAGATTTGAGAGGCAAAAACAACCCAGAACAAGTAGGTCTTCACTCAGCAGACTGCTCGGTAAATTCATGCAATCGTGTTATTTTAAAATATTTTTTTCCAGAAAGTTATTTTATTCGTGCTGTTATATATTGTGCACATGCCAAGTTATATTTTTTTAAAGGGACACTAGGTCCTGGAACAGCCCAATTGGGCTACAAAACGCGCTTTGAACGAGATGGTGTTAATCAGAAATAACATTTAAAAGTAGGATATAAACATCCACACAACTATTCTTTCAAAACTGGGCGTTTTGTGTTATTCCTGTATTAAGCGGGCGAGAACGAATTTCGGGGTCTGCGACCCCATAAATTCGAGCTGTTTGGGTGCTAGTTGCGATTTCATTCTTCAAGTGTTCGCCTTTTGCGGACGTTAAAGAAACCAATTTTTTTTGCATTGGCGATTGGTCACCGAAACAAGTGTTTTTTTTCCCGTCTTTTCTCGGGAACGGTAAGACATTAGGTTGGTTTCCTTTCAACCAGATGTTTGAAATAGGCTAAGTAAACAATCCAAAACATAAAATTTTCAGGGATCTCAGGAGCTAGTGCCCCTTTAACTACATCCATTTTGAGTTATGTTAAACGTTGCAGTGTATCACTTTCAACTATTTCAGTATCAATCTTCTCGTCTTTGTGAAATGGGAAACTCTTTAAGTTAAATTAAAATTTTATTGATTTATTATGCAATAACAGTTTTAATTTTATCCACTCAAAAATTCTTTTCATTTCTAAGGGCAAAGGTATTAATGAAAAGGTCTGCTATATGAAAGGGCCCTTTTATAATTGCTACCTCTTTCTATGTGATGTATGGCTGCAAGATTTATATCGAAATGAAGCAAATCCCCATCTTTCTGATCCCTTCCACTGAGCTGTTTTCTTTTGGAATATTTCTGAGCTAAACATGTAATGAGTCCTATTAATGTTCAAGATTTATTTGCCCGAACACGATAGCCCCAAAAAACCAAGGATGCAGCGATTCAGAGATAATGTACGGTACACTATATCCAGCTGTCCGCGTTTCCGAATGGTCCGCGTATCCTATGGCTGAACACATGCCATAGAGTTATCTACAGGGTGAGTGAAAACATTAAAAGCGGAACCCAAACACCCAAAAATATATTTCATATTTAAAAAAAAAATGGTTGCGCCAAAAATAATAATGACTGGAAGGCCAATTTCATTACCTACTTTGAGATGAAACAATTAGTGAAACTGCTCAATCCATTCAAAGAATATCACCATTTAAACGCAAGGACCCTGAAACCTGTCTCGTCAAAAAAAACACCACAATTTATTGTGTGTTTTGACTGTTCGGAACAACAAAGAAAATCACACAGAATACTTGTTTCAACAACTGTCAACAACTGTGGTACACAATATCTTTATTAACAACCCTAGTTAGGCGAACAATATGATTTATAAAACCTTCTTTTTTTAAATGACGGGCCTTCAGAAGGACTTTGTTTAATTTTTAACGTTTCAACTGAGAATTTATCGCTGGTAATGTTCAAAGACATTGTGACGACGATTCTTGAAATCACGTTTTTTGGACGAGACAGGTTTTAGGGTCATTGAGTTTAATATGGTGACCAATTTCAGTACTTTTTTCATCTAAAAGTAGCTTATGAAATTGGCTTTTTCCAGTCATTGTTAGTTTTGGTGCTAGCTATTCTTTTATAATTTTGAGGGTTTGGGGTCACTTTTTTTTGACTCACCATTTTCTTGTATCACGAATTAGTCTGGGTAGAATGAAGGTTAATCCTAAGGACAAAGGACGTTTGTTGCCTTCGTAGGTTAAAAAAATAAGCGCGAGTGCACAATAAGCTATGCAATGACCGCCTTTCATGAAAGTCTTGCATGAAATGATTGTGCGTACACAAGCCCGGGCCGCGCCGCCGTCCTACGCGAAAATCTCGCGCTGAAAATTGACCAAAATAAGCCCCTATAAAAGTTTCCCATACAAATAGCGCGCTATTTACCACGTGACCATAACATTACTGCACATTATCTTGCCTCCATTTACAAAATGTTCATAAACAACTTACAAACCGTTACAAACTTCTTTTTTGTGTGAGGTATTTTATTTCTTTTCTTTTCTTTCTGTTTGTTTGTTTTTTTTTCTTCAAATTAAAATTTGGTATGAGCATCGATCAAACAAAGCCCGTTTTGGTGCGTGTAATGACGACGGCGTGGCATTTGGTCAATTTTCGGAGACAGACGTAGACAGACCCAGCCGACCGACCACATGTAGAAGCTCCTGTCACAACTTAAAAAAAAAATGCCATCACCATTTAGTGAGAAGTAGGCCTACAACAGTGGATTTGGTTTACCTTCACAATACATGCAATAACGCTTGTTAAACTGGTTTGCAGTCAGTCATTTACGGTCCAAAGGTTGTCTTAAAATAGCTCTAAGCCAACAGGGATTATAGATTATTTGCATATCTATAGTATCAATCCGTATAACAATTTATGACCGCCACACGTATAATAACAAAGGCAACGAAAGCGATAAGAATCTTAAAATAGAACCTGAACTTTGAAAACCAGTAGAGCATGAACTGACATAGTAGAATGAACGTGTAGCGCAGTTGTGCATGCCGAACCTCTTTCGAGTTCAATTTGTAATTCGTTTTGTCATAGACAGTTCGTGAACTTATACTTCAAAAGCAATCGTCGTTTGCGAATGGACATGTATGTAGAAGGAAGGAGGAAGTAGGTCTACATCGTATTGTCGGGGTTTCACGCCGTCTGTATCGGTTGACGTTGAGTTTTACTTTCGGACACATTACTGGTATAGGAGTCATTGTGCGTGTATTCTTCTAATCAACACAACCCAATGGAGTATCGCGACCTCGTCAGTCAGGACTAGGTAAGAGTTCCATCCCAGTAGGCTATTTGTCAAACCATACAGATCGTCATTTTGTATAGCGAACTGACTTTGGATAATATACTTGCATAACACGATGATAATGTCATTGATATGGAATTTGCGTCGAGGTGGTTTAAGTTCAATATTCAATATAAATACAGGCCTAGTCATGATGCATCTATCTTATGAATAGCTGGTGCGGTACCCGCTGCTAAATCGTATTCGAACCAGCCAGTCGACCCAGCAAGCTCGGTGGTCGAGCGGTAATACTAGCCAAGCAGGAGGTCGTGGGTTCGAGTCCCACACGAGTGATTATTTTCCTCGAAATCACTCTGGACAACACCAAGTATACAGTGTTTACAAGACGAAATTGTGTTCGCCTTATTTTGACCTTATAGCTGTAGGTCAGACGAAAAGGTCGCAATGGACATTTTTTAATGTTTGACCAAAGCCATTTTTTGACAGTGCTACTTTAATTGAGCTTATTTAAAATTTGACCTTATTTTGACCTTGGCACACCAATGACCTTTAACCCCAGTTTGGTCATGTGACATGTTGGGGCTGATACTTTTGACGACAGTTTGGTTGAAATCGGTCAAAATATGTAGGAGCAGTAGACAATGTCAACGTTTGTTACTCAGAGTAAATAACGGACTAACTAACAATTGTACGGACTAACGGATGAGAGACATGATGCTTATTTTGTTGAGCTGCACTACCCGCAGGTAAAAAGGTGGGGAAGGGCACCACCCAACATTGAATATATGAAGTCAACTATAAAGTGCTTCATTCTATAAAGTGTTTTTTGCGCTTTAGGTTGTTTTGGGGTGGGACGGTACAACGCACCCTGGTAAACTGTCATCTGCTTCACTCGCACAATTAGTTTTATCGCTGTAACCAGATCAATAATCACCGTGGCGAACGTAACGTCATGGCAAAATTCTGCTAGATACACTTCAAAAATCTGATAAGATTTTAACAAAAAACTGCTAAATTTAATCACCTATAATTACACGATATACATTATAAACACGTATAGGGCCTATGCTCACATAAAGATGTTATAAAATCTTTTAAGCCCCCAAAATCATAAAATTCCTTATTTTTTGTTCAAATGTCTAGCCTGGTTTCCAATGTCTACAGTACTCGTACACAGGGAACCTCAAGACCAAGACTGCACCCGATTTCATCAAACTCTTCGTCACTTACAATGCATCGCAGTGCTGCGACGCATCGTATCCCTACGATGCGTCGCAGCTGCGTCGCGTCCTGCGATCCATTTTACAAAACACGTCGTAAGTGCGACGCATCGTATGTGTATTTATAGCACAACTCGGTGACTGTTTTATGTATTTAGTCAGCGTACAGTAAATAGTCGTCTGATATTCAACAAAGAGTCGCTGGATCTCAGCTCGAAATTTGTTAAAACGTAAAACAAAATAGCGGCCGTGCGACGCAATTTTGAAGGAAAACAAGCTCTCAGTGGACTGTAAAGCTACTTTGAAATTTCAACTGCAATATTCCAGTCTAATTCATAATTATTCAATGAATTTTCTATTTACAACTTTACACACATTGCCTCGGTATTATAATCTCGTTTATGTAATGTTTATGGCATTAAACTGGCTAAGAAAGGGACTCATCTTATTTTGCGATGACCACTAGACACGTCGTAACTTGCGACGTGTTTTAAGCCGTTGTCAAGGAACTTACGACGCGTTCAACACATTGCAACTTTCGTGAAATGGATGATACGACGCGTCGCGAGTTGCGACGTGTTACACGTCGTAACTCGAGTTGCGACGCGTCGCAGCGCTTCGTGAAATCGGGTGCAGTATTGAAGTTTCGGCATCGATAACGGCGATTTTTTTCCCTGATATGAAGTTGAGAATTTCTTTTTCCGTTGTAATATAACATTTCAATCACGCCGCTGAGCATATTTTCTGAGAAACAACGTTCAAACGGCCTTTTTTGGTGCATGAATTCACTGCTCTGCTATAGCGTCTAAGTACGTAATCGGATTAGCTTTCCTTAATAAAGGCAGACGCTTTGCCTTAGCAACTATATGACTGTTATACACTCAACCAAAAAAGAAAGTCCTCCCTTAATACTTTTTGGTCTAACTCAAAAACTACTGGGCACATCTTGCTCAAATAACGACTGATCAGTGCGGAAAATTCCTTAGCAATCCAGCCATACTCTTTGTTTGACTGCAAACTGTGATGTGTGTGCAAAATGATGCAATTTATGACAAGTGGCTCCGAACAAAATGGTGCACTTTCGTACACTTGCAAGGTGAGTGTGAACCGCAACACGCACGTATACAAAAGTTCAACTTTTTTCGGTATCATTTGTCATAAATTGCATAAATTCGTACACATTATTACCAATTTGGGCCAAATAAAGAGTATGGCTGGATTGCTAAGGAATTTCTGCACTGATCAGTTGTAATTTGAGCAAGATGTGCCCAGTAGTTTTTGAATAAGAAAAAGAAAGTATTGGAAGGGGAGACTTATGGTTGAGTGTATCACACAAATTCCCTGGAACGATGATTTAATGTTGTCAACGAACATCGTTACGCTCAATTCTCAATTTCAGTTTTAAAAAACGCCAATAGATTGCATTAAGGTGCAGTATTATTCAGATTTGCACCGTTCTGATTCAACCTGCTGACTTCGTTTTGAAGGCCGATAAAGTAGGTAGTTCTGCGTTTTCTTCAACTTTTTCTGAGACTGGATCGGTTGAAAGATACTGACAATGTTGGAGTAAGTTCATTTAGGCCGATGCAATAAGGTATCAAACGCGGACACCGACCGTATCATAGATACGTCATTTCGACTACATTTATATCAGGCTATTGAACCAGTGTTTCCCTCTTTATTTGCAGGCCTTGTGATACCTGGATTGTTTCAAATAAGCATGATGACGAGAATGAAGATGGAGCTTTTTTATCAGAAGCTGTTGTTCACAACTCCTGTACCTCGCCGTATTGTCATCGGACTGCTTTAATGACCTACATCGGAAATGTCGCCAGCACGAGATAACTGAACTATCATTGATACGGTGGTTGCATTAAAACCACAATTTGTTTTTTTTGCAAAACAATACAGTTTGTTGGATATAGCATGGCGGAATCAGAAATGGTTACACTAAAAGAACGAAGTAAACAGATTGACAGATACCTCAAGGATGAGAGGAAAAAATACAATGATTACGTGAAAAACACCATGAAACTACTGCTGGTTGGTAAGTGGACTTATAACTCACCTATAACTAGCTTGACATTTACTTCCGGGTCAACCAGAAGGTCAAAGTTAGGTAAATTTAAAATACAGACAGAAGCCTCAAAATCGAAACGAACCGAATTTCTTCCAAACAATTTACGGGATTATGATAAAACCTGGTATGAACTTGAACCCCCGTCCGAAGATGTTAAAAAATCTGACGTCATCATGACGTCTTTGCGTGAGGTTGTAAATGATGCCTCGGGCAACAATTCTTATTCCCGGGCACAAAACCGCTTGACCTTCACTTCCGTTACCGGAAGTGAAATAAAAATTGAGTATAACTCAAAAGCGGAAGCTCTTTAATATTATAGCCAATTAAATTATGGAAGTGTTTAGACCGGCATAAAGGACACAAACAAAACCAGCATTTTGACGTCATCATTTGAAAGGGCGCCCTCTAGCGGTACATCAAATAGGTTTTACCTTTTTTTAATTTAAAAAGCATCCGCCCAAATTTTAACGAAATCGCCCCTTGTTATTTTTTATCAACTACATATAAGCTTGCAAGGTTTCAAAATTATGACGTCATCAGACCGGAAGTTACTGTAGGGAGAAATTTCAAAATGAAGGGGCATACTGTTTCCGCCTTGTCCTTCCGTGGTTGGTAGGTGGGTGGGTGGGTGTGTCCGGACAAATCTTGTCAGCGCAATAACTTGAGAAAAACTTAACATATGAACTTCAAATTTGGTTTGTGGATTGTTCTTGGCAATCCTAAGAAGTCTATTGCCTTGGGGCCGAAAGGTCAAGGGTCAAGGTCACAGCGGCTAAAACAAACGAAATTTTGTCAGAGCGATAACTTGAGAAATACTTTACATGTAAACTTCAAATTTGGTTTGTGGATTGTTCTTGGCAATCCTAAGAAGCCTATTGTATTTGGGGCCGAAATGTCGAGGGTCAAGGTCACAGTGTCTAAAACAATAGAAATCTTGTATTTACTCTGAGATCATAGGGATTAATTCATATAAAACCTACAGAAAACACTAATGATGTCAATGAACATTCCATTTGAGCCAAGTACATGTACATGTAATTTGATGTTAAAAGAGTGGTGTTATGGGAACAGTCACGGTTGCGGGGCATTTGTGTTTGTCAACACACCTGACTTGTTTTTAATTCTATCATTTGATCCCTGTCATGACTCAAATAATGATATCCGTTACAATGTTGACCTTCGGATATTTAATGCTGTGACGTCATCAAACCGGAGGTTAGGTGTTATTAGTACTTACAATTATAATTGTAACTTCATAATGAGCATGTGTCCTCTCCGAACTAAATCAGCATTCACTTTCCCTTTTTGGACTGATGACGTTATCAAACCAGAAATAACTTGTACGTGTACACTGAAAAATTCCCTGGGTTAATTTTACCCAAGAAAGGGTGAAAACTGCAACTTACCGAAATCGGGTTGTAATATGACCAATGGTCTGGATTAGAATTTCTGCTCAATTCAACCAAAACTTATGGTCATTCAAGACCAAAATTAATTGATTGAATTTAGCACAAATTCTAACCCAAACAAGTGGTTATCGAACAACCCAATTTTGGGTAGTTGCAGTTTTCACCCTTTCTTGGATAAAATCAACACAGGCACTTTTTCAGCGTACATAAAGTATACTGAAATGTGATACACTTTTGTGTCAAACAAAATCATTGGTTGTACTGGAAAGGCTAAATTTTCGTGATCCTTTGTTCCGACATTAAATTATTCATAACTTAACTGGGCTGTGTCTAATGAAATAGTTGCCGGCCCGACCACTCTGCGTTTGTAACTTAACAAACGCCTTATACCTCTAGTTATTATTATTTTTTTCTCTCTGGTAATGATTCCTCACAAGTGCCCTAGGCACTGTAGCTCGCAAGCCTGCTGAAGAGACCTGTAGAGAGAAGACAATGAGAAGAAATTACAGTCTTGGAGGTGGGAGGAAAAGCCCAGAGGAATATTCTGAGGAGAACCCACGGAATCAGTTAGGGACTGAAAACCCAATCCACATATTAGCCCAGGCAGGATTCGAACCCGGGTCACGCTACGCCAACTTGACTCCCTGTATGTTGTCCAGATTACACGCAACGCGTGTCCATATCATTTTGTGCATGTACGGACTCGGATTTCCGGTATGGCTGGATCTTTCTTATTTATCTTATTTATTTATTTAACGAGACCAACAGCAGTTAACCACCTCTTGCAGGTATCATATTAACATTATAGTAATTTATAAAATATTATACAATTCTAAAATCCTTACAATTCTTAAAATTCATCAAAACTAAAACGTAAATACATAGGCCTAGATGTAAATGCCGTTGTCGGAAATGTAATACATGAACAGACATATCCAAAAACTCAACAAACAAACAAAAAGCAAACAAAACAAAAACAAAAACAAGCTGAGTCACACACAAAACAAAACACATTTAACCCCTCCCCCCCCAAAAAAAAAAGACAACCACGCGCATGCTGGGCAACCCGACATACCAACGACAACTCGATAAACCAACCGACAGGAAAAATACCCGAACAAAATAAACATAAAATTGGAGGATACAAACAGTCAAACACCAATGGAATAAAAACAGGGGACAAAAGCAAAAGAATAATCTAAAATCAATCAGTTGCAAGTTACAAAACATCTGTAACTATCCGACGAACGCAATGAACAGTTTACCATGAGGCCCCCCCCCTCCCCACAGACAAGCAACCCAAGAGACGGACAGATAGGCTTTGCCCTCCCGACAAACAAACCACAGCTCGAAAGACAAACAGACAAGAAGGTGATTGAGGTTAAAATGGTTCAACAATAATGGTATAATACTATGGGATAAAAGCACGACTAATCAATTAAAACCAATGAAAGTTAAAAGACATTTTGTCAATATCTGCACGAAAGCAATTTACGGTAGGAGCACCAAACACATCGCACTTCCCATGGAGTCGATTGTAGACAGACGAAATTCTTGAAACAAAGCCCTCTGGACGTCAGTCGTAATGCAATAAAGACGTCGTCCAACCTGGGCTACCACACACCCTGTTTAAAGGTAGAGTCCATCATTTGCAGCCATCCGAAAAGTAACTGGCGTAATTATTGTTGAAAAACTAACTTGGTTGAAAGATAGTAAGGGGACTAAACTCCCTGTGAAATTATTCTTTCTGGGAAGCTGTCATTTTGAAGTAATCAACGAAAGAAGGCATTTCCAACGGTGATTCTTAAGAAGCACCGTAGAAAAATTTAAATTAGTAGTTCGTTTTGTTATTCAGCGAAGCGCGCACAAGTATTCGAACGACGCACACGCGCGCGCGGTTGTTATAATTCGTCGGATCAGTGCGCGACGTCGCGTATAGTTGCAATTCAAAACAATTCAAAACATGATTCAGCAACTTTTGATTTGAAATTGAGATCTTAGAATGCTGTTTTTCTCGAAATATACAGCTGAAGCTGAGCTGAAACTGCATCAGGTTAGTTGTTTAGCACCCTTCTTTAGATCTTGAGTACTTTTGTTGCTTCAAACGAACAAAATGCACAAATTACAAATGATGGACTATACCTTTAAAGCTATAGTCCATCATTTGCAGCCATCCGAAAAGTAACTGGCGTAATTATTGTTGAAAAACAAACTTAGTTGAAAGATAGTAAGGGAACTAAACTCCCTGTGAAATTATTCTTTCTGGGAAGCTGTCATTTTGAAGTAATCAACGAAAGAAGGCATTTCCAACGGTGATTCTTAAGAAGCACCGTAGGAAAATTTAAATTAGTAGTTCGTTTTGTTATTCAGCGCAGCGCGCGCAAGTGTTGGAACGACGCACACGCGCGCGCGGTTGTTATAATTCGTCGGATCAGTGCGCGACGTCGCGTATAGCTTCAATTCAAAACATGATTCAGTAACTTTTGATTTGAAATTGAGATCTTAGAATGCTGTTTTTCTCGGAATGTACAGCTGAAGCTTAGCTGAAACTTTATCAGGTTAGTTGCTTAGTATCCTTTATTAGATTTTGAACTCTTTTGTTGCTTCAAACAAACAAAATGCACAAATTACAAATGATGGACTATAGCTTTAAGCTCACGCACACGATGTTTGCCTGTCCGTTGTAGAACACCATACAAGTTGGTATGGGGTATCGATCGGCATTGATTTCACGAAGCGCTGCGACGCGTCGCAACTCGAGTTACGACGTGTAACACGTTGCAACTCCCGACTAGTAGAGTCATTTTCCTGGAATCCGTGACCATGTTGCGGATACCTTTTTTTCTCAATGGATTTGACAAATAGGACCAATTTGAAGAAAAAATAGCTCTTATACACCTCCCAAAAGTGACGGTGTGGAAGGTAATTCTGTCCCCTGGTAAAAGTGTCCGGGGGGACAGAATTACCTAGGTAAAAGTGTCCTCCCTGGCCCGTTAATTCTGTCCCCCTCCAGGTAATTCTGTCCCCCTCCAGGTAATTCTGTCCCCCTCCAGGTAATTCTGTCCCCCAGGTTTTTTGTCCCCCTCTTTTTGAAACCCGGAAGGTTATTGTTTTGATGAATTCACTCTACAAGGTATACATTTTGGACTTTTAGTCTGCCCTTCATGAATATAAAAAATATTTAAAGGGAATATACATCATTTGCTTTTGCTGTAATTTTCAGAAATGGATGGAATTGGGGGGGTTGGAAATATAAAGCAAATATAGTTACACTGACTTTTTGGAGGTTTTGGGTTCGAAAATGCTATAAAAACCAAGAAAAACGATCATTTTCCTGTAGTCTGGTCCCCTGACTCCATATAAGAAGAAACAGAGCAGTTTACATACATTGGGGAATTGTAAGGTCAGGGAACCAGTCTAGCTGGCTCGTACCCGTTCATAGGTTTGTAATCGATTGCAAACAAGTGCAATGGTCAATTGGGGCCAGTATTTGAAAAAAAGCCAGTTGTTTCCAACGCTGATCGGCCGATCAGCGTTGGAAATTGATACAAAAATACCACTTTTCTTGAAAATGACAGTATACCAGGTGCCATAATTTTACAGGATGCTTTAGACTGTCATTTACCAACATCCTATTAAGGTATTTCGCAAAAACTTGGTAGTTTTATTTTCGATGTTTGCAAATGTTGTATATTCCCTTTAATTTAGTCTATTAGATGATACGTGAACACAATGTTTCGATTCGGAGTACGGTGAAGTCTATCGCGATTCTACCGCGATAGTTCAACACAGCGGCGATGCATGGCGATGGCCCTCGTCTCATTGATAGTATGATACAACGTCTCCTTGGATTGGTCTGTGTTCCCATCATAGCGCGTAACGAAATTTCCTATTGGACGAATTTCCATTGTAGAGGGAGACGCATATGTACACATGTTATAATCACTGCCTCAAATCTTGCAGCTGTACTGGCGCGTTCGACACGCTGCTGCTCTCAGTACATACTGCATGGGGACACATTTACCAGGGGGACACTTTCACCGTCGGGCAGGGGGACATTTTTACCGGGAGGGGGACAAATTTACCCAGGTAAAAGTGTCCCCCCGGACACATTTACCGGGTCACGAGCCGGTAAATGTGTCCGGGGGGACACATTTACCAGGGGGGACAGAATTACCTGTCACACAAACTTTTTTTATAGACCTTTCTGCGCTTGGTTGGCAAACTGCGTTTTTGCCAACCACGGCCTGCAAAACTATGGAAGGTCCAACACTGCAGAAATGAAGAGGAGTTATTACAGATCACCAAAATATTATTTGATACTTGAAAATACAACATTTTCAACAAAGCTACAAAATAATTCCCACATATGCCTTTTTACCATGTGTTGATGGCGTTATGAGGACTTGTTTGGAAAAATATGTTGCCAACCACGGCTTCAATTTATGCGCTTACGGCAGCCCATACAAAATGGCACCAATGTTTACAAACAAAAGAAAGGCCTATCTTCCATAGACCCCAATGGTAAATGCTCCCACTTCAAAAATTCGGGAAAAATACTCACAACTCTCCAAGGTGTTCGAGACACACATCAAATTAAAGCTTATTTCATCATCTTTCATTTTCTTTTCAATTTTCGGGGGGTCAACTGATGACTTTTAGGAGAAATTTCCATCTGAAGATGATCACCCCTGAAAATAGTCCTGAAGCCCATCGCCATTTTGAAAAAACGATGCCTACATTCCATTGCAAAATAGAGCGCTTTTAGGGTCCAAATTACATCCAAATTACAAAGAACTGCAAGCGCCCAGTCCTGTGCACGGCTTCCACCCATATTTTTTTACAAACCCTCAAGTTCATGACCCACAGCATGCTCAAATACTAAAGATTTTGAGGGCATGCAAATCGTGATTTGGCCGGCATATAGGCAATTTCGGACCGATTTACTGGTCTGCACCCATAGCACTTTTTTTTCAAAATGGCCGCCGACGCCATATTGAAAAACATAAAAAGTGATATATCTCTGGAACCAGAAGAGCAAAACAGACATTTAAGATGTTATTTTCAATTAATTCTGGCATTACAATCCATGAGAATGGTTCTTTTGACTTTTCAGGGACTACCATGACTGCTATTTCACCTGCTATATTTCAAAATGGCCGCCGACGCCATATTGAAATACATAAAAAGTGATATCTGGGGAACCAGATCAGCCATATTGATAAATGAGGTGTCGATTCCCACTATTTCTGGCATGACAAATCTGCTAAAATTGTATTCATTACGTTTCGGGACCATTGTGACCTCAAAATTCAATATGGTGACTGGTAGCCATCTTGAAAAACGCCAAAGTGTTATCTCTGGAACCAGAGGAGCAAAACAGACATTTAAGATGTTATTTTCAATTAATTCTGGCATTACAATCCATGAGAATGGTTCTTTTGACTTTTCAGGGACTACCATGATCTTCAATTTGAAGATGAATGCTGTCCGCCATCTTTAAAAATGTCAATCTGCAATATTATCTCTTGCTCCAGAAGCTCTTGGTATGTAACTGAGGAGCCATCCCCTTTAAATCCGCCACCCCTAACTTATTTGAGTGGTTATTTGGAGTTTTATCTTGACACCTATTTCTTTCGGTTATAACCTATAACAAGTTGTTTTAAATATATTTGTTTTACTGGCTTAAATATATTTTTTCTCCATTGCATGGTTTGTTAGTTGCACATTTTGCCTGACATTATAGTTGCCGTTTGAAAAGTAACAATTCGTTACTGTTCACTTTCTTTCTTTTTTTTATGATTATCTAATCAGCTGATTCATCTGTTTATTTATATTGTTTTGTTTGTTTACGATTTACTTCAATATTGATGCTTAGCTTTGATTTTTGACTAGTTCTTTGATTCTTATGGCATTTTCTAGCCCTCATGTTCTCCATTTGTGTTTGTCCGATTGTTAGTTTGTTTCTGTAACTGTTGAGTTGACATTTCGGTTTTGTTTTGTCAAGGCATGTCCATATAAGCATTTTATCGTTTCACAAGTCGTTTGATTCGTTTTCACCGAATCTGTGACTGTTTTTCATAATTCTTATATAGGTTTGACATTATGTTAATTAAATGAATCACAAAGTTCTACATTACCAAGACTTTAAAATGCTATTTAATTTCAATTCAATCAACAATTATTTCCATAATGCCACCACTTTTATAATAGAACAAAACAATGCCATTTAATAAATAATATTATTAATGAGATCAAACATTTAGCTTTATTATGTAATAAAAACATAGGCAATTATACAGGCATCTTCCGAAGTCGGGGTTAATATGGAGATGCCTTGACAAAACAAAACCGAAATGTCCACTCAACTCAACAGTTACAGAAACAGACTAACAATTGGACAAAAACAATTGGAGAACTTAGGATGAATGGAAATGTGAGGGTTAGAGAAAATAGAAAATGCGTTAAATGTAGAATCAAAGAACTAGTCAACAATCAAATCTAAGCATCAATATTGTAAAATCGTAAACAAACCAAAAATATAAATTAAAAAAAATGAATCAGCTGATTAAATAATAATGAAAAAAAAAAAAAAACACAAGAAAGTGAACAGTAACGAATTGTAAACCAGAAGAATGATAAGCAACAGATTAATTATAGTCGCACCCGAAATACACAATAAAAATAATCAAATGACAACTATAATGTCAGGCAAAATGTGCAACTAACAAACCATGCAATGGAGAACAAATTTATTTAAGCCAGTAAAACAAATGAATTTAAAACAACTTGTTATTATAACAGAAAGAAATAGGTATCACCCTAATTTAATATATTTACTCGTTGTATACTACATTGTTGTATTATTATTTATTTAATCTATACAATTACCTTCTTTTTATTTGAAAACTTAGTTTGACTTATTTGTGGAAAGTACGGAAATAAATGTTGCCTTTGAATTAAATTGAATTGAACCAAGATAAAACTCCAAATAACACTCAAATAAGTTAGGTGTGGCGGATTTAAAGGGGATGGCTCCTCAGTTACATACAAAGAGTCTCTGGAGCAAGAGATAATATTGCAGATTGACGTTTTGAAAGATGGCGGACAGCAGTCATCCTCAAATTGAAGATCATGGTAGTCCCTGAACGTCAAAATAACCATTCTCATGGATTGTAATGTACACATGGTGTTAATGATGGGCGGATTTGAACAGCGCCCACGAGTACCAGTCCAAGGCAGTCAATTCCTGAATTATGTGGGCTGGGAATCATGATTCTTATGGGTTGAAAACAGTCACTTAATTGATTTTTACTGCAAGGACAACTTGGCACAAAATGTTTGTTTGCATAGGAGGGTTAACAGCAATAATGCGTATGCAATGCCGAAACTGAAATTTGAACACGATGTCATGTATGCTTTCCTGTATCAGGCGAAATCACACGGACACGTAACACTTTTCTATGGATGTCGATATAACCTATCAATAATTTGTATCTTTGTATTATAGGCGCTGGAGAGTCAGGAAAGAGCACGATAGTTAAACAGATGAAGTTATTACATCAAGGTGGATATGACAACAGGTAAGACTAGTAAAGTAAAAAAAAGAAAAAAAAAGAAAAAAAAAAAAAAGCCTTCGCCATTACCAGAGACTTCTCGTGGCTCCAGCGTTTCACCCCTTAATATATGAGTATTTATGAAAAAGTAAGCAGCGCCCTAGCTCTCAAAAGAAGGTTTTAGTGTAAGGCCAAGATGCGCGTGCAGGCCAGTGGGTACTTTTGGAATATTTTCTATTGCATGGCTATAATGTTATCGAAAGGACTAAAGTGGAGGGGTTAAAAACATTGTCTGAGAAGTTGCTAAGTAATTTGTAAAGTTAAAGGGGCACTAGGTCCGGAAATCCCCGAAAATTTCACGTTTTGGATCTCCATCTCCATTGTTTAAGTCAGCAAAATATCATGCCGGATACATCAACGCTAACTTGCGCACTGCGTGTGGAAATAGACTACTGGTGGATATTACTGATATGTCCCTTGAATTCAGCTAGTGTTGCGCTGTTCACAGCAGCCGAGGAGAGTGAGTTCCAGTGTTTAACAGTTGACACGAAGTATGAATCTTTGAAGGCCCTAGCTTTGTGACTGACTGGAATGAACTTTTGGTTGTTTCCCCTTGTATCTCTGGTATTAGGCTGAACATAGTTGTGAAGTGGAATGTCGACCAACCCATTTTTCATCTTGTAGAGCATACATAATTTCTGTTGATTTCTTCTGTTCTGTAGTGTGTCCCATCCCAAGTCATCCAGAAGTTTAGTAACAGTTCCCGTATCCCTTTGGTAGTTGTGCAAAAACTAGCTGCTTGACGTTGAACTCTTTCAAGTGAGTTAATGTTCTGCTTTGTTGAGGAGTCCCATGCGGATGCAGCATATTCTAAGAGTGGTCTCACTAAGCTCAAATAGGCAGTTGTTTTCACTTCACTGTTACAGCTCCACAAATTCCTGCGGATAACATTCTGCACTCTTTGAGCTTTCTTGATGGACTCCTGAACATGGATGTTCCAGCTGAGGGTATTAGATATGTGAACACCAAGGTATTTTTGAGATGAGACGCTGTCCAAAACTTGATTGCAAAACTTGTATTCATGCTGAGGTGGGTTTCTCTTGCCTATGGTCATGGTACAGCACTTGCTTGCATTAAAGTTCATTAACCAAGTGTCTTGCCAGTTTTCTAGGAGTTTCAGGTCATTCTGCAAAGTGCTGGTGTCCCCGCGGTAGGAATTGGGGCGTAAAGCAAGCAGTCATCTGCAAAAAGCATGGTCTGGGAGGTGATGTTGTTTGGCAGGTCGTTGATGTATATCAACGATGGATTGTTTACATATCCTATTTCAAACATCTGGTTGAAAGGAAACCAACCTACGTTCCCGAGAAAAGACGGGGAAAAAAACAGGTTGTTGACATCGGACATGTCGTGGTACGAATACGTGTTTCCTGTCGTTCAATGTACGATATACACGTCGTGTGTGTGTGTGTCTTTATAACGTACGTGTTCGCGAACAGCGGTGACCAATCACCAATGTACAAAATGTGGTTTCTTACACGTCCGCAAAAGGCGAACAAGTACTTCACGGATGAAATCACAACTAGCACCAAAATAGCTTGGCTCACTCTCCTCACAACCGAGTGGTTCCACTAAATAATTTGGGTGGAGCGAAGTTTTCTGGTTGTCTCAATATATAAAAATATTTTATTTACAGCACATGTGAGACAATATACATACAAATTTATATCAGGCGTTTACAATTGATTGATAGGATAAAGAACTTAGGTATATAAGAACGACAGTCAAAAGGGAAAGTACATAAGCTGAACTGTCACTAGCACTCCAAGGATCTGAAATGCATAAAAACAATAAATCACTATGAATTATTGGAAAACTTTCAGATCAAAGTATATTAATATTAAAGACATCCTCAAATTCAAGGTAATTGGGGAAACACTGTTTTCCTTATTTTTAAATCAAAGAATACTTTTTATAAATACATCAGTAAGTGGAAGTTTTTACCTCGTTGCCCAAATAGAAGAATTATTCGAAATGGCAACTATGCAAGAATAAGAATATTGTATATATAATACTATAGTGCAATTTTAATTCCGAAAATAGAAATGAATTATTCACCAAATAATGTTATAAAATAATGAAGTAAGAATATATACCATGCCCTTATAACAATAATAACAACCATGCCCTAATAAATTCGTGATCACAAATGTTTTTTTTTCTGGCCGTGTCTGTTTTGACGGCCTTAATTTCTGGCAATATAAAGAAATATACAAAAGTCCAGAATGTTGCATAAATATGACTGGCATAAAAAGATTCAGGCATAAAAAGATTCAGGCATAAAAAGTTAAATAACACTCAAGGGATTTACTCACCACTTGGGATGATCTTCGTTCATGCCAGGCTGTCGATGCCAATCGATGCAGAAGCAGCAGCAGGAAAATATAGAAGCGACGCTGCTGATGACAGCCGGGAGCCGCACCCAAATTTGTTATTAGACGAAAGTGTAAGTGCTCGCAGAAAATTATGGTCTGGATGCAACGAGGTGTTGGATCGAAATCAACGATATTTTGGACCTAGCTCTACAGGAAAACTATACGAAACGCCATGGGCGTCGCCAGGATTTTGTTCTAGAGGGGGGCACATTTTTTTTTGCCAAAAAATGCTTGTATTTCTCAACACATTCTCGATTTATCAGTTTTAGAGGGGGGTAGGGACATTTTGCCCCCCCCCCCAACTCATTAAATTTACACCACTTTGTCTTCGCGCCTCTTTTGCTTTCTTTTTCCCCCCTTTTTTCCCCTTCCTTTTTCAAGTTGGGTGCTTTTCCGGGGGGGGGGGAAGTGCCCCCCTTGCCCCCCCCCCCCCCCCCCCCCCCTCGCGACGCCCATGCGAAACGCCCGGAATGCCAGCTATCTAACTTGAACAAAGCGCGGGACGGTGGAGTGTAAAACTCGCCTGCTCGCTACGTCCATTGCATAGTTTAAAAAGTAGCAGGCAAAATTCTTTGTGGCGCGAGCTAGCTGTGCTAAAAAAAGTTTAGTTGGCCGCAAGAGGGCGCTAGGCAAAAAGCATGATCGCAATTGCTGCTGACGTGAATGACAAGCACGACGAAGTTTACAAAAGTTATGAAATGAATGCTGGAGTACTTGGTACTTGGTACTTGGTTGGTTTCCTCCTGAAACATCCTCTAGGCCTAGGGATTTGACTAGGAGGTCACGATCACGGGGAGGTACGGTGTCGGCACCTAGGTCTCGGTCATGATGTGGATGTAGTAGTTGTCCCTAAAGGTCTTGTGCGTCATTGGGGCAGGAACCTGTCGGGTAAAGTAAGTACTGAAACCCGACCTGGTTACAATAATACAATAATACAGACATAACACAAAAAAACGCCAAGTTTTTAAATGATAGTTGTGTGGATGATTATATCCTACTACTTTTAAAATGTTCTTTCCGGTAAAAGTATTAGGCCTAAGTACTGAAACCCGACCTTCATTGACCTTGTTACAATAGGCCTATTACAGGAATAATACCAAAAAAAACCGCCCAGTTTTTAAAGGATCGAAGTGGCTATCGTTACGGCACTCGTTGTTTAGCGCCCTCTATGATATTTTTTTGATACGCACGCAGGTATATAATTATTTGTTTCCACACGTTTTATCGAGCAGTGCGCCAGCTCAGCCGATAGAGGGTAGGATTTTGCACCGCGAGGTTGCGGGTTCGAATTTCAGTTTTGCACTCGAATTTTTTTCCTTTTCTAACCTGAGGCTTTGGAGGATTTTTTTTAAAAGAGAAATAAAGTCCGAATTTCATAAAGTTCAAATTCACTTTTTTCCTTCTAATTTTATATTTTCTTGTCATGTTTTTTTTTTAAAAGTTGCCAGGTTGCAGTGTACCGTAACGATAGAAAATGGGAAATGCGTTACGGCTGCCGTAACAATAGCCACTGCGTTAAAGGATAGTTGTGACTTGTGTGGATGATTATATCCTACTACTTTTCAATGTTCTTTCCGATCAACATCATGTCGTTCAAAGCATGTTTTGTAGCCCAATTGGGCTGTTTCAGGATGCAGTTTCCCTTTATTATGGGTATACCCATTCCCATAATAATCTCAACCAGTTCCTGACATCAGCGGTCGGGTACTTGGGTACCCGGTTCTGATGCACACCCCTAAGATTGACATTTCTAGTTTCGGAGTTTTAAATCCGTCTTTGCCAACTTCAGTGAACAATTTTGGAAGTGTTACTCCAAAGAGGGTATGTTCAAGACTGTAAATGAATGACTGAATACTAACCAATGTCATTTAACCGATTCTACCTCCTCAGATGGACTTGCTAATTTGGTGATTTTGGCGATTTGTCCGTAAAGTTGATAACATTTGTATTGCACTTTTAATACTAGTACACCCATTGAACATGGTGATAATAACCACTTGCATTGTACTATGTGTTGCCTTGGTCCTGTTAGGCGAAGTTAAAAAAAAAAAGTTTCTCGTCCCCGCCCGCTTCCTTTTTGGAGGCTGCCTGAAGTTTTTTTAATTATTTTTTATTTTTGAAAAATGCAGTAAAAAACACCCAAAAAGTCCATCAATTCATCGGAAAATAAATACCAATACCAATACAACTCTAAATGACACTGTAAATATGTTCAGTTTTCTTGTCTTTCATTTTAAAAGTGTCTTTGAACAGTGGAACACCAACGGTTGCAGGACATTTTTAAATGGCGGCCATCTTGAAAAAAAATAAAATATAAAAAATAAAAAGCCCCGCTTCCTCCTTTTTTTCAAAAACCCCAGACGAGAAACATGTTGTTTTTTTATTCGGCCTTACTGTTGATGAAGTAACTAGCCTTAATAATAATAATAATAATAATAATTAGTTCTTATATAGCGCATTACATACGAAATCTCAATGCGCTTTACAAAGAAATTACTTCAATATTTATAAAAAGCTAAATATATATTACTAGTCCATTAAAATGTTTAGTTTGAATGTTATTTGAATACATTTAAAAGCTCATAAAACTACTAATACATCAAAAAGTTAATTAATATATACGGTAAGACCCATAAAAAATGCATTAAAAATGCCTTGTAGTGAAATGTCCATCCAAATCCTGTGATCTTGACCCCATACCCACTTGTTAAAAAACACTTACTGTACTTGTCTGCGGGCGTGTTTCTGGTGGAAAGTTACCGACCCGTGTCCAACTTACCCTTCCTGGGTAAACTTATTGAAAAGGTTGTGTCCTCCCAGGTGACTTCTTTCGTCCATTCCAATAACTTGTCTGAACCTCTGCAGTCTGCATACCATTCTCCTCATAGCACTGAAACTGATCTTCTCACAGTTCAAGATGCTTTCCTCAGAGCTATTGACTCATAGCAGGGTGACTTGTCGGCTGCATTTGATACACAGTATCCTCTTACAACGTCTCACTTATGACTGTGGTCTAGATGTTGCTGTCCATGGCTGGATCCACTCGTACTTGAGTGGCAGAACGAGTCAAGTTTGTGTGAAGGAAGCTGTCTGCTGAATCCAAGCTCAAATGTGGTGTTCCTCAGGGATCTTTTATTGGTCTACAGCTTTTTGTTTACTACCACATCATTGGTCAAATAGTCCATTGACACTCTATTGGATACCACATTTATGCTGATCTTTCAGGCTTATCTTTCAGACACCAAAAAACACCCACACCTCTCCTCTGCTCAAACAATTACACTGGCTCCCAGTCACCCAGCACGTTCAGTTTGGCACACTGGTTCACACTAAAACACATTGTACCAGGTTATCTCTCCTCTCTTCTCACAATCCAGACCTGTCCTTACTCCCTACGTTTTTCTGCGGGAGAGTCCCTTGTCATCCCCAAGTTATGTAAACAGACTGGTGACAGGGCATTCTTCATTGCTGCCCCCGCTTATGTAATCCCATCCCCATCAGAAATTCCGGCAGTGTTTTGTCCTTCAAACAGGCTCTTAAGACCCTCTCAAGACCCACCCACCTCAAGCCCTCTTTTCTTGTCTTCTTTCTGTTTCATTCTTTATTTAGTGTTTTGTATCCTAAGGCAATTTGGTGCTCTATAAATCCAGTTATTATTATTATTATTTTGCAATACTTTGCATTACAGTAAACTCTGGCTAAGACGGCACTCTCGGGACCAGAGAATTTGTGACGGCTTACGCGAATGTCGGCTTCTGCTGCAAGTCGTCATTTTGCCGACTTACACAAATTCACAAATTGAATCACGGAGTGAAAAAAAAATGTAGATTGAATTAATGGCCTATGCGCATCTGTATCTGGATCATGCAAACAACATTCATGGCTAAAATTCAAAGGCTTTGATTTACCCTGGTTTATTTCTACATCCATGCTTGATTCTAGCAAATATATCCTCAATGTTTATCATCACAAACAGGCTGTGGTATTGATCACAGAAAGTCATGCATGTACATGTACGTATGTGCGAAGCAAGGACAGCGCAGCTGGCTTGCGTTAACAGTGGTACGATATACATACTGTACGTCCATGTACAGTCAAGAATTGAATGTGTGCATGGTACTGGTACAATAAGGGGACCCCCAAAATGAACAGAGCGCATGCGTGCAGTAGAGAGGGGGTACTGGTATTGATGTGCTATCGGGAAAACCCAAACGATGCACTCAGACTGTGCATGAAACAGTGTACACGTGCAATTAGTGTACACGTGCTGTGACACGGGCCTTGCCATTGATAAACAGATGTCAGTCCGCAGTGTGTGGGACTTTTCACTCGACACTTCTTACAAACCGCAGGGCACGATGCTGACTTATACAAAGGAATTTGTGTGGTTTTGAGGAAATGGGACTGAAAGTAACACGCCCATATATAGGCGAAATGGCGGCTTACAAAGGCTGGCTTAGAAATGAAAATGTCAATGGAAATGCATTAGAGACAATCGGGACTTTTGTCAGACGGCCGATTTAAGCGATATGACGGTTTATACGATGTCGGTTTAGCCGGAGTTTACTGTATTTCGCAAAAGTATTGTGTTACTTTGCAATAAAAATATTTTGTTTGATTTAAAAAATGGCTTGAATGGGCTTCCGTAGTACACTGTCTTTGCTACAAATGTACAAGAATGCTTGATGAACTCATATCGGTAAATATCTGATATAATGGAATGACTGGTGACTTGGTGACAGAAACAAGTCAAGAACGACAAAATCAAATGATTTTTGTTTTAGATTTTTTTTTATTGCAACTTTCTTTTGTGAGGGGGTATTTACAGGGAAAAATACCCCAAGGCGGCCACTGACATTTGTGAGGCTTGCAGTGCTGTCTCGCAATTTAATTGAGGAGGGGAAACATTAATGCTGGGTACAATTTCTTAAATTTCTTGATCATTCATAAAAATCTGAGTGCAATATGTACACTTTTAAGAGTGTTAAATTCATTGTGTAATGTGTCTACTTAACAATTTAATCGCTTGTTTTAATTACAGGGAAAGGCAAGAATTTATACCCATAATACGTGGAAATCTTCGAGATGCAATATTGGTAAGATTTGTCCAGTGTTCTGTATTAATATCAGTAGAATTTAGGCGATGTTGATTTGATTTGATTTGATTTTATGCAGATAAAATCAACAACAACAAACACTACACATTACTAACGCAGACTGGTCGGGCCGACAACTATTTCATTAGACACAGCCCAGTTAAGTTATGAATAATTTAATGTCGGAACAAAGGATCATAAAAATTTAACCTTTCCAGTACAACCAATAATTTTGTTTAAAACAAAAATGTATCAAATTTCAGTATACATTCTATGTACACGTACAAGTTATTTCTGGTTTGATGACGTCATCAGTCCAAAAAGGGAAAGTGAATACTGATTTAGTTTGGAGAGGACACATGTTCATTGTAAAGTTAAAATAACGTATGAAATATTGAAAATGTAGGTGTATGTATTAATAACACCTTACTTCTGGTTTTATGACTTCAAATCATTAAAGATTGAAAGGTCAACATTGTAACAGATATCATTACTTGGGCTACGAACAAAGTCATAAGACAGGGATCAAATGTTAGAATTAAAAAAAAAGATCATTTTCAAATTCTCTCTACAGTTACTTCCGGTCTGACGTCATAATTGTGAAACCTTGATGGTATTTAAATTAAAAAAAGGAAATCCTATTTGATGTACCGCTAGAGGGCCCCCTTTCAAATGATGACCTCATAATGCTGTTTTGTGTCCTTTATTCCGTTTTAAACACTTCCATAATTTACTTGCTTATAGCATGGAGCTTATAGCTCCATGCTTATAGTAAAGAGCTTCTGCTTTCGAGTTATTCAATTTTTATATGAATTGTTGCCCGAGGCATCATTTACAACCTCACGCAAAAATGAACATGATACTCTATTTAGTTCTAAAGATATCTATAGATGAAATTATTTTAACAAATTTGGTCCTTAAATTGCTTGTAATTTGATACCTGATGATGTCATGATGACGTCAGATTTATTTTAACATCTTCGGACATAGGTCCAAGTTCATACCAGGTTTTATCATAATCCCGTAAAATTGTAAATCGTTTAATTGGAAGAAATTCGGTTCTTTCTGATTTTGAGGCTTCTGTCTGTATTTTAAATACTTTGACCTTCCAGTTGACCTGGAAGTAAAAGTCAAGCGAGTCCACGTTCACGATAAGCAATGTTTATTAATTGATGGTCTCCTGATTACAGAATACAAACATCATTGATTACTAAGTTAAAGAGTTATAGGTGAAAGAAAATGGTCATTTTTTCAACGAAAATCGCTTGTAATTTGACACCCGATGACGTCATCATGACGTCAGAGTAATATGCACCACTTGGGATGAGGGTCGATATACAATACGTTGAAAGTTTCAAGTTCATACCATGAACCGCTTAGGCCAAAAAAAAAAAAGTTCTGCTTCCGATTACATGCCTTTCAAAAATAGGGTCGGTCGGTCGGAATTTTTTTTTTTGCCAATTTTTTTTATGCAGATTGAATGGGGTATTCAATTATATGCGATGTTTTAGCCTGAACTATTTCTATTGCACTACGAAAGCCATACACGAAATGGCAACAAAAAGTGAGTAAAACCTACCTTTAATTATTGTAAATATATTTACGTTCGATAATTTCAAAAAATAATGGAAAATTCAGGTCATTCGCACCATATGCACAACGCTAGTCAAGACGCGGGGAGTTGGCCAAAACTCTGAGGTGTGTGATGCGTGCGTGTGTGGCGAGCGGCCCACCATGGGCCGACAGACCTGTTTTTACGGTCAACAATTTCGGGAAACAGGCGGCATGTACATGTATCACTCCCAATACGAGTAGTGCGATCTCAAAATGAACTCTTGAACACAGAAAATACATACACAGACAAGCTAGATCAATTCTGTAAATTAACTTGCAAAAATGTTCTTTCTCCATCGGTGTTTTCTTGGCATTTTTAAGATGTCGAATCCGACCAGTTGACAGTGGCCTGCACTGTACTGAGTGCGCTATTATCGGTCGCATAGCTATGGACTGGTTACCGCATTTTCATTATGTCTTCTACATTGGCCCCTGCGCGGCGCGGTGGGAACCAGTCGTCGCCACGTGATTATAGTCACCGTGACATCGAATTGCGAAGTAGTTATATCGCGAAGCAAATTTGTAATAACGGAGGTTTCTTTTGAAAAAAGCGAATGTAAGTAAGAAAACAAATAAATACAAGCATTTTTGGATGCAAAAGGGTTGTTGAGAGGTATTTTGTGAAGACAGAAAAGACAAGATTTTATTTTTATTTATTCAATTTTTTTTTTTTTTTTTTTGGAATTGCCGATAAAATTTTTAGGGTCGCAGCCTAAAAATAGGGTCGGTCGGGTAACCGGAAGCAGAACTATTCTTTTTTTTGGCCTTAGGAGAAAACCCGCGGAGAATTCTTCTACGAAAAAAAAAGAAAGGATGAAAGATTTATGAGAACAATTCCAGACAGTGGTCGGGTTAATTTTGCCCGATGACTCAACTAGAGGTTCACGTTTGTAGCATTACAAATGCAGAGTGGTCGGGCAGACAACTATTTTATTGAAGGCTCCCCAGTTAAAGCCAGAGTCCATCATTTGCAGCCATCCGAAAAGTAATTGGCGTAATTATTGTTGAAAAACAAACTTGGTTGAAAGATAGTAAGGGGACTAAACTCCCTGTGAAATTATTTTTTTCTGGCAAGCTGTCATCAACAAAACAAGGCCTTTCCAACGGTGCGTCTTAAGACGCACCGTAGGAAAATTTAAATTAGTGGTTCGTTTTGTTATTCGGCAAAGCATGCGCAAGCATTGGCAGGACACACACGCACGTGCGTTTTGCTATAATTCGTCGGATCAGTGCGCCACATCGTGTACAGCTGCAACCGGCTCAGTGAGAAGGCGTCTTCGACGCTGAATTCAGGCCCAATTCAAAACAGATTCAGCAACTTTTGATTTGGAATTGAGATCCTAGAATGTTGTTTTTCTTGGAATATACAGCTGAAGCTGAGCTGAAAGTTCATCAGGTTAGTTATTCAGTATCCTTCATTAGATTTTGAACACTTTTGTTGCTTCAAACGAACAAAATGCACAATTTACAAATGATGGACTATATCTTTAAGTTATGAGTATTTTTATGTCAGAACAAAGGGTCACGTATGAACCTTTCCAGTACAACCAATTATTTAGTTATAAACATGCACTTTTTAGGGTTTGATACATTTCAGTACACATTTAGTGTACTCTCTGGTTATACAGTATGTACGTCATCAGTTAAAAAGGGGAAGAGAATAAGGATTTTGTTCGGAGAGGATACATGTTCATGTTCAAATTAAAATAATGTATGAAAATATGGAAAATATACGTGTATGTATTGATAATACCTAACTCTCGGTTTGATGACGTCACAGCATTAGGGATCTTAAGTTCAACATTGTAAAGGATATTATATGGGTTACGAACAAAGTCATAAGACAGGATCAAATGATAGAGTATAATTACAAAAACGATTGCTTTCAAATTCTCTCTACAGTAACTTCCGGTCTGATGAGTCATGATTTTGAATCCTTTCAAAGTTATATGTGGTTAAAGAAAATCAAGGGGCGTTTTGGTAAAGTTTGGACATATGCTTTTTAAAATTTAAAAAGCAAACCGTATTTGATGTGCTGCTAGAGGGCGCCCTTTCAGATTATGACGTCATCACGCTGTTTTTTGTGTCTTGCATTCCTCATTAAACACTTCCGTAATTTATTTGTCTGTAGTAAAATGCTTCCGCTACTGAGTTACATAATTTACTTTTTAGTGCACCAGAAGTGAAGGTCAAGCGGTTTTGTGTCCTGGAATAAGAAATGTTTCTCAATGCGTCGTCTACAACCTCACGAAAAGCAAATAGGATACTCTTTACAGTTCAAAAGATATAGTTCAAACTATTTTGTCAAATTCCGCGCTTAAATCGCTTGTAATTTGACAACTGATGAAGTCATCTTCGTATCAGGGTACAAATTCACACAAGGTTTTATCATCATCCCAAAAACCGTTTGGAAGAAATGTCAATTTGTTTTGATTTCAGGCAAATTTCTTCTTTTTAAATTCACCTATCTTTGACCTTCCGGTAGACTGGGAAGTAAAGGTCAAGCAAGTTCACGTACATGACCAAAATTGTTTATCAATTAATGGTTTTTCTGATTGGGAAAAGCCAAATATCATTGATTATTTCATTGAGAGTTATAGGTGAAAGAAGGTGGTCACTTTTTCAATCTAAAATCGCTTTTAATTCGACATCCAATAACGTCGTCATGACTTCAGAGTAATATGCACCAATCTGGATGAGGGTCAACAGGCCTATATGTTGAAAGTTACAAGTTCATACCATAAACGGTTTAGGAGAAAACCCATGGAGAATTATTGTCCGAAAAAAAAGAAAAAAAGCACCAAACAAAGAACATTTATCAGAACAATTCTAAACAGTGGTCCGGTTGTGCCCGACAACTAAAAAATACAAAGATAAGAAAATAAACAATGTTGATTTGGTTCTGGATAGCCCAAAAAACCCAACTGCAGAGGGAGGTTTGTTTCTATTGGGATTCATGATATGCATCGGGTCGGATTGACCAGGCCAAACCGACCCGAAACTGATCTTGACTCCTTCAAACCGACCCGACCCAACCCGACCAAAAAAAACGACCTGAACCGACCCAACCCGAAAAAAAAAACACGAAAAAAACGAATACCTTGCTTGGACAAAGTGATCACATTTTTGTGCCTGCCCTTACCCACAGGGCATGAATTCTTTTGCAAAACCATCGTCTCTCTCTCTGTGTGATACTCAGTGAGTTGATCGAGAGTAACTCTGCTTATTGAACAAACGCATGGTATCATCACACGGTATCATGAAAAGTGTTACAATGTATCTATTTCGTCAGTCCCATCCGACTGGAGAAATTAATACCGTGGGAACTTGATAGTGCGCTCGGTGGCCACACCACACTAGGGCTGCGGTCACAATGACAGTCAATAATTTTGCACCACCAAAATTTCTCAACTGTTTCAGTTTATTTCGGTTTATTTCATTTTTTTTCAAGAGATGGTTAAACTGACCCGACCTGACCCAAAAATGAAAATGCAAAACCGAAACCGTACTGACCCGACTTACATGTAAAAGATAGACAAACCGACCCGACCCGACTTGAAGTCGGTTTCGGGTCGGGTCGGTTTCGGTTTCGGGTCGGGTTTGCACATCATTAATTGGGATCCCATTGGTTTGTTTGTTTTTAATTTTTTTCTAATTTCTCTGGATGATTTATGGCTTTTTATATGAGCTCCGTATGCCAACAAGAGAGGGCCTTTTTACCACCTTTGAAAGTTCACTGATATCCATATAAAAAGATACAAATCTGGATAGCCCATTGGTTGTTAGTAGTGAAGTCACCATCCGCCATATTAAGACTCCATGATTTGTGAAGAAACGTTTTTAATCGAATTAACATAAACATTGTTTACTCAACAAAATTATTACAGTAAACTCCGGCTAAATCGACATCATACATCTCGTCAAATCGCTCAAGTCGGCCATCTGACTAAAGTCCCGATTGTCCGTAATGCATTTATATTGAATTTTTTATTTCTAAGTCAGCTTTTATAAGTCACCATTTCGCTCAAGTCGTTGTGTTAGAAAAAACTGTTACTCTCGATCCCCTTTCCATAAATACAAAATCCTTTGTGTAAGTCGGCATTCAACAAATCACGCATTGGCATCGACTTCATGTACTGCGGTTGGCAAAGTGTCGAGTGAAAAGTGGTTTCGCACAGCCCATGATATGATCGCTGTCCATTTTGGGGGTCGTCTTATTGAATGACTAGTGCTGCAGTCAATGCGTGCGTGGTATATACCGGACCACGCATGTATTTTAATCGTTACTGTGCACATACATATGTATCGTGGTCTCCACTATCAATACCCCAAACGTGATGATACAATTCGAGGATTACTTTTCTGGATTCAACTCAAGCATTAAGGACACAATCCAGGGTAAATTGAAGCCAATAACAGTGCAATGAATCATGTGTGCAAATAGGCCATTCATGTAAGTCGGCAAAATGACGAATTACAGCAGATGTCAGCATTCGTGTTAGTTGTCACGAATTCTTGGGTCCCGAGAATGCTGACTTAGCCGGAGTTTACTGCACTTTTTGTTGAAAGGTATAGATCAATTGTCATTTGTGCATTGTTTATGTTTGAAGCAACAAAAGAAACATTTTTAATTGAATTAACATATATATTTTTTACTCAACAAATTATTACTTTTTGTTGATAGGTATAAGAGATCATTTGTCATTTGTGCATTGTTTATGTTTGAACCAACAAAAGTGATTAAAATCTGAAGAAGGATGTTTAACAATTATTATACCTGATGAAGTTTTAGCTCAGTGAATGCTGTATATTCCAAGAAAACAATATTTTAGCATTGCAGCTACGTGATGTCACTGCAAAGCAGAATTAGAGTAAAAAAGATTGGAATATATTTTTGAAAAATAGAATTTTAATTTTGAACATGTAATGTATTTTTAAATCTAATGCCTTTTAAAACAGAACATGTTTTAAAACATCGAACAAGAATTTTTACTCCCCGAAGGCATTTTCCAAAACAGAATTAAATTTCACAGACCAAACATGTTTTTATGATTCAATGAAATGCAGTTCAAAGCCGAATGAAGTTTTACAAACCTAACACATCTTTATGAAGCGAATGCATTTTTTTGACAAAACATTCGCCAGTTTTGAACATCTGATATCTTATTTCTTTGATATCGGATGAAAAAAACATCTGATCTGCAAAAGCATTTGATTTTTAGACCATGTTCGGCCCGGATCTGTTCAAATACCCAAGCTACACATCAGTAGTCTCTGCTCCAGAACGGCGATAAAACCTTGCTCCCATAGCATAGGGAAGTCAAGGGTTCAGGGGTGGGGGGCTAATTGGGAACATCAGATTCGAACCAGCCAACCGATCCCGTTAGCTCGGTGGTCGAGTGGTAAGACATCTGCACTAGAAAGCAGGAGGTCGTGGGTTCGAGTCCCACCCGAGTGATTTTTTCCAGCTTTCACTCGGGAGGTAACACACTGAGTATACAGTGTTTAAACGTTGGTGAAGGGCAAAACCTAATTTGATTTATATCACCCGACGCAAAATTCCATCTTATAATAGTTTATGCGGTACCCGCTGCTATGTACATCAGATTCGAACCAGCCAACCGATCCCGTTAGCTCGGTGGTCGAGTGGTAAGACATCTGCACTAGAAAGCAGGAGGTCGTGGGTTCGAGTCCCACCCGAGTGATTTTTTCCAGCTTTCACTCGGGAGGTAACACACTGAGTATACAGTGTTTAAACGTTGGTGAAGGGCAAAACCTAATTTGATTTATATCACCCGACGCAAAATTCCATCTTATAATAGTTTATGCGGTACCCGCTGCTATGTACATCAGATTCGAACCAGCCAACCGATCCCGTTAGCTCGGTGGTCGAGTGGTAAGACATCTGCACTAGAAAGCAGGAGGTCGTGGGTTCGAGTCCCACCCGAGTGATTTTTTCCAGCTTTCACTCGGGAGGTAACACACTGAGTATACAGTGTTTAAACGTTGGTGAAGGGCAAAACCTAATTTGATTTATAAAATTCTAACTCCCTGGTAGAGTTGCGCATGCCTACGTGAGGATTGTGAACGTTCAACCAATGAAACGATAAGAGGCACTGGATTTTTAGGAGTCCACATTTTATTGTGACACTGGAAAAGTGTTTAAGACCAGCTAGCCATGTCTTTATCATCCGTTTAATACCGGCCACGTGACGGGCTCTCGACCAATAGGAATGGCTAAACTGTCTGAGGTATTTATGAATAGAGGTTCAAATATGCTTCAAGTTATAACAATCTCATAATTGTTTTGATAATATTTTGTTTTTAGACTATTACTGGTAATATGCAAACTCTACAGCCAAGTATACATCTCTGCGATCCCACTCTCAAGCCGTGCCTGGATTATATGCAAGACTATGCATCACTTCCAGATTTCCAATACACGGAGGTATGTATACATGTACATCACAAATGTGTGTTTATATATCCACATAATCTCACCCTTAGTAGGATTCCATTGATCACTTGACTGCCATGGACTTTTGGTTGAAAAAGACAGCAATGCATAACTAAATACATATAAAATAAACTAGAAATGTGTTTGTGGACAAACACAAGCTGTTTTGGATGTTTGAAATGACTGAGTGTGTAACACATACATGTACAGAAACAACCAACAAGGACGGTCCAAATATTTCAAGCAAATACATTCAAAGACAAACGACTTAAAGAACAAAGAATTCCCCAACTAAAAAGTGTGCTTACAGAAAATGAAGGCAATAATTGGATCAATCCATACAACATATTAATAAATCAAGAAAACCAAAGTGAAAATGCTGTATATCCAATCAACCATGACTGACATACATGTAAAGTTGCCTCCCTCTTTTGGGAATTACCTTTACGAACTCTCTACAGTCCAGACCAGAGTTGTAACGAGTCACTGATTTTTGTGACTCGAGTCGAGTCGAGTCATTTTAAAGAAGTGACTCGAGTCGAGTCGAGTCATTAGGTCAACAAGGTCGAGTCGAGTCGAGTCGAGTCACAGAGTGTGGTCGAGTCGAGTCGAGTCGAGTCAAGTACTTAGCTCGAGTCAATTCGAGTCACAAATATTTGAACACTAAATTACAATAAAAAAGCAACAAACACAAGAGAGAAAGAATACAAGGCACCAGTCTATTACGGAAATCCAAAAACATAAGGTATGCTGTATGGTACCCAACCAACAGTTTCCATTGCTAGCTCACGTCACCGATAAGAAGATGTGAAACTTCGGTCTTATAACTGGTTTGGCTTCAGGTCTAGATTTTGTTGTTCGCTGATCGCTGACAACGTTAAAACCTAATTGCATTATACAAAACTGTTTCTGATTATTTAAAGGTGGGCCCGTCCGTATCCATTTTTTGGTGTGAAATCGGGACATGAATTTAGCCAGCATTCCACCAAGAACTTCAAAATCGCGCGAAACCAATGATGAAACCACGGATTGAGAAATGCGTTTTAAGTCTGGTTCCGGGTTTAGCATTACATGCTATAGAACCACAAGGTGGGAGTCCGCGACACGGTGTATGTTTGTTGTTTCATTATGGAGGAAGGAAACAGACTGCCGCTGTATATAAACGTACATTATTCGCGAACATTAACGTGACGTGAACAAAAACTGGCAACGCGAACGGCGCAGCGTAAGTCATTGCAAATATTTTTCGCAAGTAAGTTTTGCTTTTATTTTGGGACTCGAGTCTTATTAGCCTTCCTCGAGTCGAGTCGAGTCATTCTGATGAGGGACTCGAGTCGAGTCGAGTCATTTGCTGGCAGTGACTCGAGTCGAGTCGAGTCATTTACCCGTCGGGACTCGAGTCGAGTCGAGTCGCCAAAAAATGTGACTCGAGTCGGACTCGAGTCGAGTCATTGACTCGAGTCATTACAACTCTGGTCCAGACCAAGGGCCTCTGAGGACCCTTGTAGTCAGACCATGTAATTGCCTGAGGATAACGACCATACCATGACTTTACCATGAACTTAAGATGTGAAGAAAGTCTATGGCAACAAAATCTGTTAGGTAACTTGACACCTGATGATGTCATTGCGACGAAAATCTTCGGCATACATCTTAGGGTGCCTATATGTGTGCCATGTCTGAAGTCGATCGGATTTATGAAAGTGCCAAAGTGTGTGGGTGGAAGAAAATCATGGAGAGAAGTCTAAAAAGGGTAATTCCGTGTCAATTCAACACGATTTTGGACCGACCCTCACAGATTGAAACCATATTTGGTGTGATGATTGGCCTACATGTATATGAGAAACCCCCAGAACTGACATTTTTTGTAAATTGGCTCGTTAGTTTTTGAGATACGGGTCAACGAACTTTTGACTCATTAGCATGACCTCCGAACTTTAAATACATGTATCTGAAAAACTATAACGCTTACAAAGCCAAGTTGTACAAGTTCTTTGAATGGCCTCCATTTCATAAGATAAAACCAAAATTGTAGCATAAAGCGAAGAGAAAATGCGTAACGAAATGACCTTTGACCTTGAATTACGAAAAACAATATGCTTCAAATTTCGTAATTTTTTCAAATGTTACTTTATGATGTCAGCAACAATCTTTAAAAACAAATTGGGATACCCGTGTCGTGCCAAAACCGTCCGGTGCCAAATAGTGTCTGCTGAGCTTGCGCAGTGGGCGCCAGACGCTATTTGGCACGTAATACATGCCAAATAGTGTCCGGGCGCCATCGAGTGAGCGAGCACTATGGGGCGCACGTACCGTGACGTCCGCGGCCGGATAGTATTTGGCTGGAAAAATCGGACAGTATTTGGCAGGAAATATCGAACAGTATTTTGCAGGAAAAATTTGACAATATTTGGCAGGAAAATCAGACAATATTTGGCAGGGGGGATTGGACAGTACATGTATTTGGCTGGAAAAATCGGACAGTATTTTGCAGGGGAAATCGGACACTGTTTAGCAGGAAAAATCGGACAGTATTCGGCAGGAAAAATCGGACAGTATTTGGCAGGGGAAATCGGACAATATTTGTCAGGAAAAATCGGGCAGTATTTGGCACGAGCAACCATAAAATATAACGTTGGTTATAATGCTAAACAGCAGAGTACTACTTCACACACATTACATGTTAGGTCGTACGTATGGACGTACTGCATGTGTTTTAAACAGGTGAACTGACACACACAAAAATGCAAACATTTCGCACAAATATAATGACTAATGTTTAAACTGTCAGGGAAACTTAGTCAAATAGTTATCACAGATAAAAGGGAAATGTTAAAACGGATTGTAAAAAGCAAATTCAGGTGAAAAGAAATCTTATCTATACGACGTCTTGACAGCTCGACAAGGCACGCAATAGGATGCAGGCTAAGCGCGGACACTATTTGGCAAGCTTCCGTAAACAATGTGACGTCATAGACGCATGACCAATCAGATCGCATTATGCTAATTGGTGGACACTATTTGGCACCGGACGGTTTTTGGGAAGACTGATTTTTTAAAGATAGCATGTCCAGGGAAAAACCTAATTTGCACATATTTACACACGCACTTGTACTATAGCAAGTGCACGTTGACCTGTAAATCCATGTACTTGTCCTTGACAGCCCTAATGTGTTGTTTCAAATGTTTATATACAGCATCTTGCTAGCTCTAGATAGCGGTGTAACTATTAGTGGGAGCACGTGTCCCCCAGTGGATGTCCATACCCCAGTTCCCACCCCCCACCCCCATCCCCCAACAGTGAGAACAGTTTGAGCTAGGTGTCACCATGCTGGTTGTTCATTGTATGTGATTAGAACTTGCCCATCTTATTTTGAAAGCACCTGGGTTGCCTTTATGTATGTACGTATGGGCCAAATGATATTTTTTTTTCCAATTTCAGATTTTAAGGGGGGGGGGAGGGCTGTTAGACACCTCGGGGCAAGGACATCTCCTGGGGGACATGTGACCCCCCCCCGACCTCTCCCTGCTACTCGTAGTTACGCCACTATCTAGAGCTACATGTTTGTAGCAAGATGCTGCATAAACAAAGGACACAACATATTTGGGCTGTAAAGTGCAATGCACAGGTCAATGTGCACATTCAGTATGTACATTTGCAAATTAGGTATTTTCCTGCACATGTATGCTATCTTTAAAAAATCATAACTTAGACACTTTAAGAGTGCCCATCAGGCCATTCAAAGAGCTTTCATATGATGTACAAGTTGGCTTTGTAGGCGCTATAGTTTTTGAGATACTAGTATTTAAAGTTCGGAGGTCATGCTAATGAGTCAAAAGTTCATTGACCTGTATCTCAAAAACTAACGAGCCAATTTGCAAAAAATTCAGTTTTGGGGGTTTCTCATAGGCTAATCAGCACACCAAATATGGTTTCAATCTGTGAGGGTAGGGTTCAAAATCATGTTGAATTGACACGGAATGACCCAAAAAGAAAAAAAGGAAAAGTAAGAAGTACAAACACAAGCTGTTTCGTCTGTTTTTGAAATGGCTCTGTGACATGTGATGACAAAATGTTTCATCATGAATGTATGATGTCAATTAATATCATGGATAAAACATTTACACTATAACACCTAGTACAACTGAATCGGACCTTTAGTAGATGTAGGCCTCAGTAACATGCCCCTTTAATGTGAGGTCACATGACACATGCTGACGTCATCATGACAAAACTTTACACGTCCATGTCTATGTACCAACAAAGACTCAACCCAATCGGACTTGTACTTCAGAAGATAAATCGCTTTGAATAATGCACAGTTATTGTGATGTAACTTGACACCTGGTGCCATCATGGCAACGACAATCATCAGGGACCATCTTCGACCATGGTCTTAGTGTCTGCCAAGTCTAAAGTCAGTCACACATCCAAAGTGCCAAAGTGTATGGTTTGAAGAAAACGTGTACATAACCTATGGAGAAAAATGCACCTTTAATGTGACGTAATTTGACACCTTATTACGTCAGCGTGATGAAAATCTTCAGCATACATCTTCAGGTGATAGCCTTAAAAGGGGGGGGGGGAAAAACATTTTTTTTTATTGAAAGCAAGATCTGTTTTGGAGCAAATCACTCAGGGTAATAAACCACTCAAACTCAAGGGCTCACGTCGCACCCCTTTTTCATGAATTTAAAGGGGCACTAGGTCCCGAAGTCCCTGAAAATGTTATGTTTTGGATTGTTTACTTAGCCTATTTCAAACATCTGGTTGAAAGGAAACCAACCTAATGTCTTACCGTTCCCGAGAAAAGACGGGAAAAAACCGCTTGTTTACATCGGACCTGACGGAGTACGAATACTTTTTTCGTGTCGTTCTCAGTGTACGCTATACACGCTGTGTGTCTCGGGAACAGCGCGCGGTGACCAATCACCAATGCAAAAAAATATTGTGGTTTCTTCAACGTCCGCAAAAGGCGAACACTTTACGCGTACGAATGAAATCACAACGAGCATCCAAACAGCTCGAATTTATGGGGTCGCAAAAGTGGACCCCGAAATTCGTTCTCGCATGCATAATACAGGAATAACACAAAAAGGCCCAGTTTTGAAAGGAAAGTTGTGTGGATGTTTATATCCTACTTTTAAATGTTATTTCCGATTATCATCATCTCGTTCAAAGTGCGTTTTGTAGCCCAATTGGGCTGTTCCAGGACCTAGTGTCCCTTTAATACACTCCCTATCCATGAGTTATATAAATACCACCTTGGAGTCATTATGTTTATGACAGGCATTTATTACCTCATTTACTTTCCAGTCTTTTTAGAAGGAATACAGACATCCATCGGTATAACACAAGGAATTTAAGAAACTTACACTCGGGGGTGGGGGTGGGGCCTCTTTTGCAGACATACATGTAAATGTGCCCCCTTGAGCATAAAATGTGCCCTCTCCGTTTGATTGCATTATGATTTATTGTCAAAACTGTACAATCAGCCTTCGCCTGTGTACTACAGTAACCTTTTCACTACGTTTCCTTTCCCGGCAATGCGAATGCCTCACAAAATGCCAATTTAACAGACCAACGGGAACATTTACAGACAGTTGTCATGGTACATAATTATCATGTGCGTAAATCGGTGGGGAACAGGGGGACCCCCCCCCCCCCCCCCCCCCACCCACACACACACACATTTTAAAGCGGGGACATTGTTCGGTCCCCCCCCTCCCCCCGACTTTTTCTTCCCCGAATAAAAATTGTAGCTACTATAATGATTCTATTGTTCAGAATACCGTGTCGCTGATTCAATTACCCCAAGCTCGAAAATGATGTTTAAAAGATGATCTTTTGCTCAAATTGGTTTTAGTGGTCAGAAATTGCCTCACATTGCTTTTCTATAACTACATGTCTCCTCAATGATCCCCCATTTACATTTAACTGCCCACATTTTCATCCCCAACACTACGCCCTATATATGATTTGGTAAATCAGCTTGTTGATTATAAGGAAACTTTTTGTATGTAAAAATATACCATTCCAAATGTTACACTCAATTAATTAACTTAATAAATAATAGCACATACTAGTACATATACAATCTTAATGTAAACAATCTTAATGTCTTATTATTTGTTAAAATTACCTCTACATATTATTTTGTACTTAGTTCATGTTTAAATATGCAACATTTGCAAACATCGAAAAACAAAACCACGAAATGTTTACAAAAACCTTACTAGGATGTTGGTAAATGACAGTCTAAAGCATCCTGTAAAATTATGGCACATGGTTTGAAGTCATTGTGAAGAAAAGTGTTTTTGTATAAATTTCCAACAGTGGTCGGCCGACCACCGTTGGAAAAGCCTAACTATTTTCCATCTACTGCTCCAAATGTACCATTTTTCAGTCCAAATTTTGTTTGCTATTGGTTACATGTTCACGAACCGATGCAGGCCAGCTAGACTGGTTCCCTTACCTTACAATTTTTCCGGCATCTATAAATTAATCTTTAATAAATAAATCTTTAGTGGAGTCTGGGAGCCAGACTACTTGAACATTTTTGTTTTTCTTGTTTTTTCCTGCATTTTTGAACACAAAACTTCAAACATGTCAGTGAAACAATATTTGATCTATTATACTAACCCCTCAAATAGTTAATTTCTGAAAATTACAGCAAAAGCCAATGATGTACATTACCTTTAAGTCTTAGCTGTTTATTACATTGATTATTTTGATTACATGTTAAGTTCCAACTCAAAATTGTTTACTCATGGGGGCTTGGCCAAGTAAAAGCTTAGGCTTTCTACCAGCCTACTCCATTCATCACTTTTTGTTGTTGTAAAGTTCATTAATTAAAATACTGATCATTATTGTAATTATGATGAATGGACATAAGTAAATCAAATCAAATATATCAAAGTGCGGATTTATTACTTAATCTCTTAGGAGTTTTATGACAAGGCAAAGATGCTATGGGAGGATGAAGGTGTGCAGGAGTGTTACGGACGTGCTAATGAATATCAGCTCATTGACAGTGCCGAATAGTAAGCCATCTTAATCCGTTTCTTCATTTGATGCATACTACTCAAACTTTGTCATGCTTGATAGTTACATTGGCCACAATCTATAATTATTGAGTATATCTGCACGTTGTTTTATTTTGGGATGTGTTTTTGAAGTTCTTTTTGCTTGTATCATATTGACCATTGATGACATTGGTTGCAAACCCCCTACCCAACCCACCCCTCTAGATCTGCTACTGATCATAGATGCCTTTAATAGTTGAATCTGAGCAGCGCCATGTGGTGCCACTCAAATTAAAGGCATACATAGGATCAGTAGCCCATTCTAATTTTATAGAACAATACTACTTCTATCGTGCATGAAGAGTCTCCCATACATTTTGTTTCCTTTGTACAGTTTTCTTGATCGTATTGACGAGATTCGAGAAGAAGACTATGTACCTTCCAACCAGGTAATTATGTACTTCACTCATTACAAACATTAAAGCTAGATGCTACAAGGGTCTAGTCGTTTTAATAGATAAAAATACTTGACATTAGGTCTTGCATACAATAGCAATAATTATCTTCGATTTCATGGATATGAAATTTTCAGAACTAAACCGAGCATTGTACACAGGCACATATATACGGGCAATTCTCCATGGGAGAGGAAAAAATGTCAAAAATAAATATTTACATATTAAACCTTTTTTGTACTTTTTCCAGACCTCAATTAAATGGGGTATTCAGTTCAAAAAACGAAATTGAAAAAAAATATATTTCTGGTAAAAACAGTGATTTTTGCAATTTTATGATTAAAAACGTTAAGATTTGGTAAAAAAATAAAATTTTGTGTATGTATTACTTTCTGAATTACAGGGAAAAGTTTTGATTTATGTTATAATGTTACAAGTTACTAACATTACTCAGGGTCATTAAAAAAAAATCTCTATATATAAATATATATATATATATATATATATATATATATAGTGTAGGCCTTCATTTAAATACGTAAGGCTACGGTGTGTCTATGTCCTCCATGGCAGAACGACAAAATTTGTGCAAGTTACATGGTGCGTCATTGCACGGTTGCTCTAGTTATATTTGTTTTATATCTATGGTCAGGACCATTGATCTCCGTTAGGAAAACCGTTAGCATTCCACTTATTATGTTGGGCCCTATTTACTAGAATCATAACATTATTCAGTGGCTGATAGGTGAAGTCTGAGGATCACAAACATTCACGTGTGCATGGTGGAACGTCTGGTAGTTTACTGGTACAGTATATCTTAACATGTAAATTGTATGCAACCCCGTGCGCCAGCCAATGGGAGTCGACTTTAGAAAGTGTGGCGTCATTTCAATCAGAAATTCAGACTGAGCTGTTGCTTGGTAAATTTAGATGTGATTTTTTTTGTAATACAACAATGAGTTGCCAAAGAGCCCGATATAGAAGGCGCAGAGTAACAGACTGCAAAGGGATGGAGATTTTAAAAGCTAAATATGGACACTGATAGAAGCAAAATTGGGATGGTGAAACGGGATTGCGGCCTGAAATCCCCGAAAATAGTATGTTTTAGATTGTTTACTTATCCTATTTCAAAGGTCTGGTTAACCAGTTTGCGCCGGATGACGTGTTTATCCACAAAGGTTTTACGGTATTCAGAATGGGTGACAGATAAACACGCAGGGAGTGAGGCTGGAAATATCTGTCAAGGACCCACTCGCAGCGAGCGGTGCTGCCCGAGGGTGATGGCTTCAACACGCCTGGCGTGAAGTCCAATGAAAAGTAATCCCGCTCCCCGTTCCGTTCTTGCAAAAATAATCCCGGTGTGAACTGGTTAACCCCATGCGCACGGGAAGCGGTCTGTGGCCACGGCCGCTAATCCTCATTGGAATGCAGTTGCCAGCTGTGGTATGCCGTGGCACACGGTCTTAAACAGAGTTTTAATACCTCCCAAACACACGTTTATTGCCTTATTAAAAGAATCTGCTACAAACTCTATAATTCCAGACAGTCACCTACCTTGACACCATCTGCTGCAGTGACGCACAGCAGTTTGTCCAGATAACAGTTGAACGAAAGCCAAACATGAACGTTATAGTTCTATTTTTTATGTAAACAACGCACCCACGCAATGCAATAAGTAGCAGATTCTTGATCAATACAAAAATACAAGATTACAAAGCTCAACAATATCACAATATTATCATATTTAACCTTAGGAAATTCCTAATAAATGCCCTAAAAAAATTGGTCTTGGTTTTAGTGTCGACAAATTCAACAAACGACAAGAATGTGAAGAAATGTCATCGACAATGATAATGTTGATAAGAAATAGTCTAGAGGAAATGTCACCGAAATTGCTGATTAATTTAGAGCTAACGATTCCAACCAACACTGATAATTTTGGCAAGCTCAGAACTGTCAAAACAAGTAATAAACTAACGCAAATTAAGCCAAGAGGAATCAGTAGAAATTATCATTTCAACTGCCAAATGAAAATTTTCACAGAGACAATTTTTTTGTCTAACTGGAAAAAAGGTGACAGCCTTTTTCTTTATAAATTACATTCTAGACGCTATTACTTTAGTGTTAGTCTGCTCACAAACCAGTAGAACAAGGAATTTATCCTCGTCGCCAATGTAGTGTTTGGCATGTTACGGCGCCAAGCCCGAGTCTTACATGGGCAATGAACAGGACGCAAGTCAAGTTGGCTTTGATGCATGATTCAGCCTGAGGCCTCGTTGCCAGCCCGATCGGATCCAACCTCGTCCCCAGGGTGTCGAGCAGTGTGTGCCCACTGCTACCTGCTCTCTCTTCCTGGTATTGGATCATTTGCAATGTGCAAGATTTTTGAACACGTATGCAAATGAGGAATAGTCTGGTGCCTGCATATAGGTTACATTAGCGCTTGTTTTTGTATGCGGTGTCTGGGGTAAAAACATCAATTCGTCGCGCCGTGACCAACCTCGTTTCCCATGGGTACGATCTTGCTGTGCCATGTTGTTTCCCATCATGCCTTGCGCGATCTTAACCCCTGGAATTGTGTAATTTAAATGTGCCAAAATATGGCACATTATAATTAGGCTGCAGTTTATCCGTTTTACGTGCCGACGCCATCTTTAAAATGTTAAAAGAAGTGATTTTGCAGAATCAATCCTTTCATATATAACGTTTGGACGTTGCGTTATTTAGCAAAGATTTGTATTAAATGTACGTACCCCTTTCGTCTCTTTACAACCGAAGATACATGTTTTTTTAGCGAAAAAACGAGGCTGCCATAATCCATATCGTACAGGCATCACGACTTTTGAATAAAATTTTTTTTTTGTACGTACGTGACGTTACGTGCAAAGCACGCGAGAGCATTATGGGCGCGCCCAGCGTGCAATCTTTGAAATGCGCGCAGTACGCTTTGAATAGCCAATCAGCGTCATTTACGTCATCATGGCCAGGGGTTAGTGTAAGGAATGTGCACGCGCCCATGGAGTCGAGGCTGCGCCGTGACCATGCCGTGAGTTACGAAAACACAATTTTTTGTCGAAGTTATAATGTTTACAATCTTATCCCGCCAATATGCAGTATCACATTTCATATTAATATGAGCAAATTGGAAAGGAAAGGAGTATTTCTGAGAAGGCGTGGGCGTTATAATTATCGTCAGTCCACCTAAAACGATGAGGATCTATTTCGACGCACTCCCATTCAATTTGCGTTGGACAACGCGCGGGCGTTGAAAGCGTTACCTGCGCCGATTATCGTGACTCAAGGATACAATTATCGTGAAAACACTTAAAGCACGTTGGAAATAACAACACCAAGTACACGATATAAATCCATTACTAGCCAATTGCGGTATCGAATCCGGATACAGGAAGAAAGTTTCCTATCCAGGGCTTACTATTGGAAATGAGGTTGGAAATAACGTAAGCACTGGGAATGAGGTTGAATCGGATCGGACTGGCCACTCATGCCGTGACGCCTGAGTGACAACACCGTGCCTAGTGTGCATTCACCACAATATCCTGCTTACTACACCAATTCCGATGGCATACTTCAGTATGATATATATAAATCAATGGTTTAATGACGTAGTATCAAGTGACTTTCTGTTTCCTGAACTGGTTTATTTGAGTGTCTTTCAGCATTGATTAGAAATTAATCGAGTGGGAATTAACAGCCATCTTTGATTATATCCCACCATTCTTTATCCCGTCATTATGTAAGCATAATGCAAGATATCACAGTGTGTAATCCTATTACATCCTCTAGAAAGGACTCCTCTGTGTACAGAAAATCCCGTTACAATTGAATCTGGATTTTCAGTAGCAGAAAAGCAGAAAGGTCAAAAAATGAACTGAATAAAATTGGTTAGTCTATGTTTCTGCTTTTTTTTTTGTATAGCAAAATAACAGATGATCACATTTGAGCCTGCATACACTTTTTAAAATTCTAATCACCAGCCTTTGAGACCTCTTATCTTACTTTGATTCCAATTTCAGGACATCTTACGATCAAGAAAGATTACGACAGGTGTATTGCAAACCAGTTTTGAAGTCAACAATGTTCACTTCCAGTAAGCAAAACTATGTGACTGTCATAATTCAACTGTCATGGCTCTTGGTTTCAACTGAAACCTGCTCGTAAGATGCCCTAAGTTCCATTCAAGAGCTGCCGTAAATTATTTACAAACTGCACTTTGGAGCAGAAGTTATTGTTTGGTTAATTTATTAAAACACCATTTCTTCCTTTTTTTGTATAAACAAATTCAATCTTTTCATAAATGTAACAAGACATACCATAATACACCATATATATAAATAGACTTTTAATTTGGGCTGAAGAATGCAAGCTTGAATTAGAGAAGAGAGGATGCAAGGCATATGGTTCTGTCATTGCTTGACAATTCTGTAGATGATTCATGCTGAGAATGTCAAAGTACTCCACCACTTACAAGTTATGAAGATAAAACAAAGAAAGTTTAATGCTGACATTCAACAAAAGATAAATTGTAAAGAGGTATGAGCTCATCAACCTGTAAAAGTGTGGGGGCTCAAAAACAAGTTTAACTTGTAACCCAACCTTCCCTCAAACTGGAACCTTTAAGCTTTGCACTTAATGGGTGTTGTTTTTAAACAGGATGTTGGACGTTGGTGGCCAAAGAGATGAGAGAAAAAAGTGGATCCAATGCTTTTCAGGTTTGTATGCGTCTGTGACATGCATTATTTGAGGTGGGTCTTCTTATGCCATTGTGTGATTCAACATATTTGTATTCTTTTTCAGCAGTTTACTTAGAGATTACTTACTTTCATTTTTGTAGATGTGACTGCATTGATCTTTGTGGTTGCCTGTAGCAGCTTTGACCTAGTCTTACGTGAAGACCAGAATAAGAATCGCTTACAGGAGTCTCTTGAACTCTATGAAAGACTGTGGAAAAACAGGTATTGTTCATACATCATAACATCCATCCATTCCCAACATTCATGTCTTAAGTATTATTCTTGAAATTAAATAAATGTAGAGCTGTGCGGTGTTGCCTAACAAATTTATTATAAGATAGACCCTTCCCAAGTGGACTTAAAATTTTGTGATCTTAGGTTCATTGAATAATCGTTGACTGCTGTGATGTGTGAAATGAGGTTTCAATAGCCGAGGGCCGCGCATAGCACCCAAGTGGCATGAATGCCATATCCCACATCACAACAGTCAACGATTGTATTGTTATATTGTGCCACCAAGTCAAAAAGGTTTGTAGGGTTTGGAACTCCCAATACAAGATATCACTGCAGTGAGCTTCATGAGGCAGGAATGGAGACAACAATTGTTTTAATAAATAAAAATCTATCTATATATAAAGAGATGTTACAACGGAGGGTTTATTTTTAATTGAGAGCCTTTGCTTTTCTTCCAGATTTCTTAGAAGCACCTCAGTAATTTTGTTTTTGAATAAGCAAGATATCTTGGCCCAGAAGGTATCCAAGGGTACATCACTGCTCAGCCACTACTATGCTGACTACGAACATTTCGAGCCCCCAGGTTAGTTCATAATGCAGTGTGAACAAATGCCAAGCAATTACTTGTTTTATTTCATTCTTATTGATTGATATAATATGTTCTTGTAAAAAAAAATAAAATTTGCTGTTTGGGTGACACGTAGAAACAGCTCTTGTTTATGTTAAGCTTTTTTTCTTTTTCTTTTTTATTTGGCTTTTCCACCAGACTTGTAGAAAAGCCTTTGTTTCTGGACTTATATTTTTGTTTTTGTTTTTCTATCCCAAATCCCATAGACTCTGTACACATTTTTTTTTCTCGCGGGCCCTTTGGGCATAAAACAAAGTCATATGATATTGAAACTTAACATAGTAAAAAAGCACATAACAAAGGTCTTTCGCGAAGATAGACGTCATCATGGGACATGTGACGTCATCTTAAACGTGCATACATCAAGCCCCTATATCTCATGAACAGTAAGTCCGATTGGGTTGAAAGTTGGTTTGTGGGTAGGACGGGATGTGATATAGATGAAAATTGAGGTGACGTCATCATGACTTAATTATGTGATTATATTTATATTTTTGAAATTTAGTCATTTAGAGACAATTTTCACTATTTTTAGAATATACCTCATGGACCTTAAGCAATATCTCATGAACGCAATATGCTAAATTCAAAATGTTTTGGTATTATGTTTGTTTAGTAGTTATATTCGGACTCAATAAGAATGAAACTCAAGACAACTTTTTTTGTGCCTCTTCGCCACAGCTTCAAGTTATTTATTTCAAACTTTGTTCATTCGCCAGATACCGAATTGATATGGGCAAGCTGGCATCAAGTCATGGGGCTAACAGGCCCGAAAGAAACATGTCAAACACATAATGGACTCCCAGGTCCTGTACATGTACGTCAATTATCAATTTGGCTCCCAGGCCAACCATTAATGAATAGGCATGCATATGACCCAGTCCACATCTGTGGGGGACAGCCATGGCTGTGCTATGGAAATACAGCACATCCGACCCCTGGGGTACGTAAGGGGGAGTGGCTGCCCCTTACAAAGTTCAAATCGCATTGTATTACTAAAAACATCAATATCAGTAACAATATCAGCAACAATATCAGTAACATACCCATAAAACTAATGCTACATGTAAAGTCATGTGTGTACATGTACATGTATGTAGTAGGCATGGGCTGTCTTCGAATCCTGTTAAAGACGCCACACGTGCGCAGCACGCCCCAGGAAGAAGAAGACCACACTAAACAAGAACATATTTACAATCTCCCCATCACTGCACTGAACTTAATTCCCTTAACACTGAATGTGTGATGCAATGCAGGAGACAAAATCAGACAGCAGTAACTTTGTTCCCATATTACTGAGGTGAACCCCATCATACAAGAACAGAGCATGATTTGTCCTCTGAATCTCATCATGGGGTAAAAATGAAGCCCCAAACAGCCTGCAACGAGATCGCGCCCACTTGTTAATTGATCGGCAGACCTGGTCCATGGACTTTTGATCCTTTGCCCCAAAGTAAAACAGGCGTGGCAGAATAGCTGACCACACCAACGTGGTATGGAGGTAGCTTTGATGGCAACATTGCATGAAATATGCAATACGCTGCCTAATCTGAAACATGTCTGCGCGGACCATGTCATTAGTACCGATATAAATAATTAAAATATCTGGGTGACCATGGGACCCCATAGAGTGTAGCAACTTAGGGAGATTATGCAGCTCAGCCCCACCTTTGCCTCTCCAAAATATCTGGCCGACGAGCACGACAAACAATTGAGTCACCAATTATCCAGACTGTCGCAGGACCTGATCATACAAACATGTCAGTAAAAGTGAAAAATGGCAATTAATTCCCAACTGGCAGGGATCAAGCATGCAATGTATGTGGACGGATATATGTAAGAACTGCGTGTAAGCGCCAACGACCCAAATCTTGAATGTGTGACAAGGGAACCCCTAATGTGAATGTTGTTGCAGCACCGATCCGAAACGAGTGGGTTGTGAAGTTTTGCCCCATGAGCCCCATGTGTACCAGCGCTTTATTAAGCACAGCACCAAATTGAAATCTTGTCAGTGGGCTCCCATCAAAATGACAAAAGAGTATACCCTGGTGATTAAGGCGCAGCATGACGAAATCATGCAATGCTTGAACAGGACAAAGCTCTTTCTGAGTAGCTTGAGCTAAATGAATTACTTGGGGGGGGGGGACCGGAGTGATTTGTCTTACTACATCGGAAGGTAATTTCAACTGAATGGCCTGCCAGTTGAGTACAGCAGAAGCAGATATCCCCCTTTGAAGGACTGACTCCTGCACTGCCTGCTTTGAATTTGCTGCAAACTCCCCGACCCACATGAAACCGAAGAATGCACCGAGCATTACTGCTTTGAACATTGCATTTTCGTTATAAGATGTGCACACTAATGGCAATGACTCAATGATGCTGACCAAAATTGGCAATGAAATTGGCATTCTACTATCATGTTTGGGGGTATCCCGACGAGCTCCCTCAAGGAGCTTGGAAATGATAAAATCCTTAGTAGGGTCCGGCCAACCATGCGATTTATGAAAATGACCCACCCCGTGACTAAGTGGTAATTGTGGAAGGGGACAAGTTATGCAATGACAACCAAGCCACAAATTCCCGAACCATTTGGACTGATGCTGGAAGAAGTGTTGTATGTCTGCTGTGCTGTAAAAAGTGGAAAAATGCATGCCAGCCACTGGCATACGTCTTCTGAGTGTTAGCTGTCCAAGCCAATGATAATAAACGGCTTATCTCCAACCCTACCATACTTGGGCAAGAAGAGGTAAGGGGGTCATATGTGATGCTGCTTGAGGTGCCACAGCATGAAAACGCTCCACCTGAAAACGGAACAGAGAATCGGCGATATTATTGTGCACCCCTGGAACATGAACAGCTTTAAATGTAATGTTAAACTGGAGGCATTGCAGTACAAAAATTCGAAGCAGTCGCATTATCTTGGGACACTGAGACGTCTGGCTAATAATTATATGTGCAACCGCCATATTATCAGAATGAAAACGTACCTTCTTATTGACCAATTGGGCAGCCCAGCATTTAACTGCCACAACAATTGGATAGAATTCCAAAAAGGCAATGGATGGTGGATTTGCTGATGAAATGTGAAACCCAGTAACTCATAGTCTGCTGGGGCCACAGGAAGCAGCCGAAAGGCAGATTTAATATCGGACTTAGCCAACCATGCCCCAGTACCATTTTCACGAACTTTCCCAACTGCTTTATAAAAAGAAGCGTAATGAACGACACATAAATCCTTATCAATAAAGTCATTAACAGACCCCCCAGCTGGAAATGAAAGGTGGTGTATCATACCGTAAGTACCCGGTTCACGTTTGGGCACCAGCCCTATAGGTGAACATTGCAGTTGAGGAATTGGAGGCCTGTCATATGGCCCAGCTATCCTACCTAGGAGGCTCTTTTGCGATCTTTTCCAAAACCACGTGTGGAAGCTCTTTTGCGGATCTAAGACAGTCAGCATTTCGGCCAACCCGAGGGCCATTGTAGCCTAATGAAAAACCGGAGGTAAACCCTTCTTGTAATGTCTTTGCATCTAACCTATTAGGGTATTCTTTCAGTATGTGCTGCAGTACATTTAGCTTAATTGGTGTTGGGGGAACGGAATGCCTGAGGTTGCCCTGCTCCCATCCCTTTTGGAGGCGCTTTGGCGATGGCAGTATGCATTGTTTTTGCGCTCTGCGTCGCAAGGTGCAAGCCCTTATTGCCAGTGGTTACAGCCCCTGCACGTTGAAAATTACTACAGCACACATGTACACCGTGACTGCCCTGGTAACACCTGCTGCACTTGTCAGGGGTGTGAAATCTCCGCTATTTAGCGGATTTCCGCTTTTTTGTTCAGCGTGCCACATTTTGTTTTCCGCTTTTTTTCTTCCGATTGTCCAGATTTCCCCCCGCTTTTTCCCCCGCGCGTAAGCATTGATTTTATTTCCGTTTATTTTATTTTCCGCCGCTGCCGACCGAACGCACGCGATCCGCTCTCTACAACATACACGTAGCTCTGGGGTGCGTGCAAGCGAGTATTCAATGTACTGTACATGTACATACGTACGTACATGTACATGTAGGTGTGTACTATACGATGCCATGTGCATGCATTTTTCAGCTCGAAGCCGCGTGTGTACACAACGTGTAAACAGCATCCGGGGAACCAACAGTCATTGCGCTGTGATTGGCTGCAGATAAATATGAATATTCACACATGCGCCATGAAGCGCGTTGGGACTCTTTGCGGCCGTTCCTGTGTCTATGCATGTAGTGACACGCGATGATCTCCACAATAACTCGCTGTAAACATCGTCTTGTTGCAAATATAAAGCCTTGAAATAAGACTAGTAAATTGTCGCCGTGCCGCGACGGTAGAGGGCATCATGCGTGGCAAAGTTCATGTGTGCATTTCATTGCGCTGCATGCACGCAGGCCTGCTGCGTGTTCCGGATCCGCTGTATGCTGATACGTACGTTCGTGTGTCCTTTCGAATGTTTCGAACATATTTTGACATTATTAATTCCGCAAGATGTCAGTGCAACACAAATGTGTTATTATCCAAAGAGGTTCGGAGTTTGATATGGACATTGACAAGACCGATCCTCAGGTTACGAATCCGTGGAAATGGATTTGGATTGAACACATGGTTAATCAGCAGAAATTAGGCGACTCGATCAGAAGCCGGGACACGCGATGACGATGTGTATCATCTGCAGTAAGGAGTTAAAATATGGAAAACGTGGTCGAATTTCCCAGTTTTCATGGCCATTTAGGCAGTTTCAAGCCAATATGAAGGAAAAGTTAACTTAAAAACATGCATAAATTGCAAAACATTTTCGACCAATAGTTGGCCCATGGAGGAATAAGAATGGTTGGCCCATGCAGGCATGCCAGGAGGCTTTAAAATGCACCACAGAGCATCTACATTTCAAAATTTTTTCGGGGCCCTTGGGCGGGCCCCGGACCCCACG